TACAAAAAAAGAAGTCGTGATGTTCGATAGATTATAAAGATATATTATGGCGACATATGGTATAGCATGAGACGAAAAAGATGAGTATTAAACGATGATAATCTTATTTTATTAGGCAATTAATTGAATTCTAATCGATTCAAACCGAAACATTTATCGGAATGAAATCGAAATATCTCGCGAACACTATCGCGATGAACTATCTATGACACATTGAAACTGACTCACTAATTTGCGCTCAACGCAACAATTCATTAAATGCGCTTATTACGTATGAGTTTTTTGGCATTCATGATAATACTTTTATAGCATTATATAAAAGCGCTTAAAATGAACTGACTAAATTATCTCTTTTTAATTGTTTAAAAATTTAACATTTTTAAAATGAAAAAATGCATAATTAAATTATTTTCATTAAATTTTTATTTGTTAAAAATCAATTCTTAATAAATTTATTAGAAAATAACAGTTAAGAAGATATTTGATATAAGATGCATTTTTTTATGTAATTATTTTTTAAATATTTAGTTTTTTTATACTACAAATTCTGAAACAACTACAAAATAGCAATTTTCATAAGAAATTAATCATACAGAAGATTAATATTATATGTAATTAAAATCATATATCGTGTCTTAAAATTATATTTATATTTAAAATTATATTATGTAAAAGTAAACACACGGAAGATAAATACTTTTTTAAAGAAAAATTTATTTGTGTACAATTTTGCGTTAAAAATATATTAAGAGATATTAAGAGATTTTAAATAAAAAATGTTATAAATTTTATCATAATGTACAATTATTATTACACTATAGCAACAAAAATTTATAAATTTTAATATACTGATAATGATATTGTAAGAAATATGTAATTTATTACATATTTTTCTATTAACATTTAGAAACATCAACATTTCTCATTCATCAGAGATGCTTTGGTTATTGTCCAAAATTAAATCGCGTGGAAACTCTGTGCGTGATATTCTACTGGTTCTCTCTCAGATGCAATATGGGGAACTATCTTATACGTGAACCGGTCCGATACGATTCTCACTCGCGATCCAGGGAATCGGATAGAACGGACCCATTGACCAAGTGGCCTCGTTTGTCGAGAAGACCGGAAATGGTCGTTCAACGACGATATACAGAAAACAATTCGATAGAAATGCACATCCTAATCTTCCACGTTGTGATGTATTGATATTTTTTTCTTATAATTGCGGATGAAGATGACAATGTACTTTGATATTTTATTAAAATTCATTACTTTTTTGTAAAAAAGAAGATATTGCGATGCATCACTAATAATAATTAAATTACGTAATAATATGTCATATTATTGATAAGTAATTAATTAAAAAAATATTATTTTAATACTATATTAAAAAATATTTTTATGCTCTATGTCCAAAGAATTTTTGAATTTAACGCACGGTATTTTAAGGCAAAAAGTTGTATGTTTTATAAAATAAAAATAATTAATCTCTTTATTTACAACATTTTCGCGGTAGTGAAAAGAAATACGAACTGACATTCAATGCGATTATTTGGTCATTTTGATGCAGAGAAGACACGCTATAGTACGTGCAAAAAAACTAGTGCATTTATAATTATACACATTTTCTTATATACGCGTAAGTATATATATATATATATATATATATATATATATATATATATATACGCCAAATTACTAAGAACACACACTGATGCTTATCCCAATTACAAACGCAGCGAAAGCGATGTCTACGTATAAAAATGAGTTGTTCGACTTTTTGGCTTTTCTATACTTTCTATTAAATTGCCGGAAGCCAATTGCGAAGGATGAGCTTAGAAACTTTTCTAATATATATTGGTCTTGTACATATTTCACCAATTCCGTTTTTTATGAAAAAAAAGTAATTCGCTTTATGAGTTTTATATACAACACACACACACATACACACACACACACACACACATATATGTGTGTATATATGTATATATATAACTCAGTGCGATTATACTGTTACATGCACTAAATAATAGTTGACGATGTATCGTTAACGCTGTGCTTTCAATTATAATTATATTGTTTTTTTTTTCACCATTGCACAACGGTTCTACTTGGTCTAGTGTTGTTTATTATGAACGTGGGATCCAGCCAATCTAGCTAAAGAACTACATACATACATAAATTAATACAAACAATCCTGAAGCATATTTACGCAGAATTTTATATTCACAAGGTTCTGTATACTAGATCATGTGTCAAAAATTCTTACAATATTATGTGCTTTTAACGTATATTATTTATGTGTTTTTAACATATACTATTTATGCGTCATTTGACAGTCAGTTGACATATATTATTTTTTAAGAAAATATAAAATTTTCCTACGCGTTTTAAATTTAAAATAAATAAGCAATTTTAAGTGATAGCTTTCTAGAATGATATTAAACGATTTGATGTTGATCAATAAATATAAGGTGTATTTGCATATTATAGTTATATTTTTTATTACGAGCAAAGCATATTCAAGATTCTGATCCCGAAATGCATGCCTGGAATTCGACGTGTAACGGTGCACCAAAACGCTTCTTCTTACAAGCGCCTTATGATGGTGCGACTCGTGGAGAAAGATCGGTGTATATGGACAAGCTTTCGCGGCTAGGTCGTGACGTTAACCTCTGTACCTATCTACTTACCTATCTATCGCGAAAGTCGCTCTTACGAGAAAACAGGCTCTAGATTCAAGAACGAGAGAGGCGGATATGGTGTATTTTCTTCGATTTCGCCCACGCCTCATTATCCATCGATTAAGCATCCAATATATTTGAGAGGTATTTTACACTATAAATGGCTATAAATGTATCGTAATCTTTTAAATGCTTAAATCTTTTTTAACCCATTTATTCTACAAATTTATTCCATAAAGACGCATTAGAGAAGAATAGCCACTTGAATTTCTCTCCGATCTTTCTCTTGTATAATTTTGTAATTATTTTTTAAAGTAAATATGATATAAATTTAGGTCGAGGAAAATTGTAAAGATTGCTCCGGAATTTAATATTATAATATGTAAGTATTAATAATTTTAAAATTAAGACAGATTTCTCGTAACAGGACACATATTGTGTTCTCATACTAAAAATTGATCCATTTATTATTAATATTTTATAATAAATTTTCTAGAAAAATACAAATCTTTTAAAAATTATTTATAATTAATTAGAAAAAATGGTGTGCTTGTTAATCGTTATAATAGATATAAATCGATCGATTAATGTTACATCATATATCTTATACCAGTTCCTCTTGTAAAAAGATATATCTAACTAGACAGATTTGATGAAAAATAATTTTTAACATAGTAACTTAATTATTTTTTGTTTGTACATGTGTTACGTTTAAGCTTTCATTAAACAATATGTTTGATTTGATTGATCGTTAGAATAATGAAATTAATTAGCAAGTTCACCACTCGCATAAAACTGGATCGCAAGAATTAAATCAAATCGTTTGTTTTTCATAGATCCTATTGTTATTTTTTTCAATTTATTTTCATATCTCTTCAGTATATATTTTGTGTACTGTGGATTATAGATATTAGTAAGAATATAAGACAACAAAGAAAAATCGATAAAATATTAATGGTATTTATTCGTTGAAAGTTGTCAATGGGTAGTGTTCCAACAGAAATTAGCATGCGATCAACCGCAAACACACGTAACATGCAATAGCGATAAATCACAGTTGATGATATCTTGGCTAATTAGAGAGATCATTTACTTTCTTCGAAACTTTTGTAATGCGCTTTCTATGCGCGCGCTTTGATTTTATTTTACTAGTTAATCAAGTAACGTAAATAGATTTACAAGTGAATGTATTAATGAATGGTGAGTAAACGTACGGATGCTATTCAAGAATCCGATAATAGCTCAAGCAGTCGGTGTATAACATGTTATTAGTATACTTAAGTATACGCACCTAAATATGGCGAATGTACCGATAGACATGAGAGTTTGTCCTTGAATCCTCGTTATTCCAGAACAAACGTATATCCGCTGCAGCAACTGCTGCGTGCCATATGCTGCCATCAAAGTATGTTAATTCGGTGTGGCAAGCACATCTCACGCGTTCTTATGTCTTCGCAACGCAATTTTTTCATAAAAATTAATTAAATCGACCGAAGCAATTTAAAGCGCATTTCAAAATCGGACACTCTACTCCAGTAATTTTCCCAAACTACAATGATTCGTTTATTTTAGCGCTTTCCGGCATTATCGGTTTTCCTTCGTGTCGCGACTATGATCGAGTCTCACCTCTCTATTCTAAAGTCCGTGAAAATCCGGGCTTAGAGCCGCGATTAACGTGCCATACAAGTCGCACGCTCGCGTATAAGGTACCGGGGATGGATGGCATGCGTGCTCTACATCCGTGACACGGTTCTCGCGGTCAGGCAAGTCGGTAATGGTCCATCAGAACGACAGCGGCTCGCGTGTTTCCGTGCGTTCGTTCATGAATCGCGATGTCTTAACCCACACAAGGACGAGAGTGCGATGAGCCGCTACTCACGGCGTTTACCTACGACGCGTATCATGTGCATCGCACTGGGAACTAGTTTGTGTGCACGCAGGTGAACGGGGGTTCCCTCCTCCCCCTCGCGGGGAAGACACCGGTGTTGTTCGCTTTGCACGACCAGCAAAACCAGTTTGCGGGCAAAGGATAGCGCGAAAGCGTCTATCCTTAGGTTCCTTTGATAGATTCTCGGGTCAATCCTCTCCTCTCCTCGACGCGCGCGAGATCACGCGTACAAGGCAGTCATGCACGATCTATCCCACCATCGCTGTTGGACCTACCGCACGTTCCTAGAGCCGTATCAAAGGCAAAAGTGGGCATCGTTGCCGCTCGTCCCTGACCGTCATCACCCGCCACATCCACGCGTCGTCTCTCGCGTAGGGGGCCTCTATATACCTCCCCATAGGAAGGTGGTGGGTCGACGTGCAATAACATCGTGCACATCTCGGTATCTAAGGCGGAGATCTACGTATATAAAGTCGTCGGGGCGAGACGCGGGTTTAGAAGCTTTGTACTGCTCGTCGATCTAAGTATCGGGATTGACAGAAGAGAAGAGTGCATCGGAAGGGCTGTCACAATATCGATCGGATAATCGAGAAAAGGGCCGCAAGTTTTTGCTACAGCGTGTACCACGTTCCACTCTCCTCGCGCCCCTGTAGCTTTCGTGGCTTCGGGTCCAGGTGGGTCAATTTATCATTTCCGTTATTCGTGAATCATTGAATGTTGAACTCGATTCGTGCACGTTCATACATTGCTCGAAGGTACGTGCATCGAAAATCTTGCCTTACGTATTATTGACATTTTAGTCGCATGTGTCGTATGTCAATCATTATACTTTTTTGTAATTCTTATTATTGTTATGAATAAATAATAAATTTTAATTATTTATTTATAATAATTAGTAATTATTATAAGTAATTTAATTTTATTCTGCACGAATTTCTTATTTCTTATCTTGTTATTTGGTGTTAAATTGATTATAATTGAACTGTAATCGGTATCAAATGTATCTGTAAAATATATTTGGTCTTTTTGTTTAACTGAATTTATTAGAAGAGCATCATGAAGACAACCCTAATATTGGCATTATTTTGTCTGGGAGTATGTTTGGCAAATCCTTTAGAGAAAAAGGAGAAGATAAGTGTCATAGAGCAGCAGTCTGCAACGCTAACAGATCGAGCTAAGTACGAAGAGGAACTTCTTCGTAAACTCAATTCGAAATGCTCCCAAAACGACATCAGCAGTTGCGTAATGTTGAAGTTGGTGACATATATGAACAAGTTGTTGAAGAAAGCCTCGATCGAACTCACTGATGACATCGAAATCAGGAAGACGAGCCAAACGTCGGAGGATGTGATTACATTTGAAGCCGGTAGAAGTAAGGACGATGAGACTCAATTTCTTGATCTCATCGCAAATAAATTTTACGCCTTCATCAAATCGAGAAGCATCAAATGGAGGATTTTACCCGAGGATGATATTGTTGTGTCCGCATCGGAGGATGAGACTGGCTCGTTAAATTTGGGTCTATCTATTGAGCGCGCTGACAAGCCTCTTCAAGACGGTAATTTTGCATTTTTCATGAATGATTTTTCATTTTTTTCATTTTTTAAAATATGGATATTTAAAGTGTTTGATAAGCTACATTAAAACGTATTTAAAATATTTATTTAGCATAGATTTTAAAAATTCGGCTAAATGTTTCAAATTTTACTTTAAAAGTGAAATTCCATTTAAAATCCATTAAAAATATTTATAAAAAAATTTTTTTATATTTAATTTCTAAACACTTTTATTATAATTATTTAGAAAATTATTTTAATTTATTTAATTTATTTAATTTATTTTATTTTATTTAATATTTTTGTTTAAAAATTATTTGATATTTTGTTTAGAAATTATTTTTTGTTAAAGAAAGATTATGTCAGTGAATAAAGAATATCACGCTATCACATCGAACATCTTGCATATTTAAATGACGTGTCAGTTTTAGTCTGGTTTCGATTTTCACTGTATTCGCGCGAGTAAAGTTGTGTCACCGACTGCATAAACAAATAGCTTTCTCCTTTTGGTTCATTCATCCTCTTATTCATCTGTTTATCACCGAACTTTATTGCTTTTCGCGTGGAAAGTACAATTATGCATGTCGCGCCACTTCTTCACCCACTGCTTGGCTAACTCGCTGAAAGTGACAATGTTATTTTTGTTTTGCCTTTTACAGGCCGTGGAAAGAAAAACAACATGGGCCCGTTGATTGCCGCGGCTGTCTTGAAGATGGGCCTCATCGCTGGTCTTGCATTCAAAGCACTCGCTCTTTTGGTCGGCAAGGCTCTCCTTCTATCAAAGATCGCTCTTCTTTTAGCTGGTATCATAGGTCTGAAGAAGCTCTTCTCGCAAGGGAAGCATGTGACCTACGAAGTGGTCGCACATCCTCATCATGATCATGGACACGGCGATAGCTATTCCAGCGGATGGGGGAGAAGTTTCAATGAACAAACGCCAATCTTCGGACAACCGGACGCTCACGAACTAGCTTATTCGGCTCATGTAAAGTAAATAATTTTTATGATCGAAAGAGAGCCAGAATCCAAGGATCGTCCGAGATCAAGATGAGAAGTGCGACGTCTTCTCGGATCCGTATTCTTGAGAATTTCCCGTAGAGTTACCCCGCATAGTAATTTATTTGCACTATCCATTTTAATCGTCTTTTTCCTCTTCATCTTCTTTCCTCTTTCATCTTTCTCATTTTCTACGATCGTTATCGTTGCACCTTCTAACTCTCTCTACAGTAATAACAGATGTGCTCTGTTTCTTTATTATTGTCATGCCTAAATTTCCGGACGACGAATTGCACGACGCATGAATACATCCATGACGCACAGCGACGAACATATTTACGGTAACGGCAACATCAGGACGTCACATTACGGATTACGGATACGTAAGCAGGTAGACAAGAACTTCTCTGATGTGTGAAGGAAGGACGCATTACAAGAGTTTTACCTACTTTCGTGACTCTACTTATAGATAATCGCGGATACTGCGAGACTCTCGTCAGTAGGACATTGGATTACATACGAGCGCTGTTATATTCTTCTCGTCCTTAGTATTATGATCTGTGATATTGGTGAGAATTTAGATTTATATTTGGATTAAAAATATTAAATGTGATTATTTTATTTTTGGTTTGTAGTTTTGCATATTTGACGCTATAAATATCTGATCGTTTTACGTATTAAATAGAATTGTTGACAAATCATATTCAACGTCGGATGATTATAAATTAGCGCTGAATGTAAAGCTAAATGTGACATGAGAATAATTCATACTCACACATACACACATATAAATATTATTTTTATTATTTTTCCTAATTATTTATTTTTTATTCACATTCTTACGATAATATTTATTCAGATTGGAGACTTTATATATTTTTAAATCAAAATTAATTTTTAAACAAATCGGTTTTGATGGTAAATTTTATGGTCCGATTTTATGCAAAATGATGTAACATTAGAGGCTTAGGAATTATTTAAGCTTCTTTGGTAGAATTTTTAAGGCTTATTTTGAGAATTATGTAATTTTAGACTGTAATGAATCATAAAGGATATCTTAAAATTTTGTATGTAAATAATTAGAAAATAATTAGTAAATAGTAAATTAACTAATGTACCAATGTAATATATTTATACAAAAATTTGATGTAAATAATTTGAAGATTGATCAGCTTCCGCGTTATTAATTAATAACGCGAAATAGAACATGTCTTTAACAGAGAGTCTTGTAGCAATCTGCCGGACGCAATGGACGGACGAATTTATATATGAGTTAGATAGTTCTTTAACAGAAGGACAGAAAAATACTCAGACGCACACAACACCAAAATGACGAAAAATAGTAATATTAAATTAACGCATGTATAACTACGCTTTATTTATATTTATATCATATGTATTTAATTTATTTATTGTCCGATCAAGACTGCAAAATGTATAATATTTTTTATATTATTATTTATATAAATAAAAATAAATATTTATTATTTTTATTTTTATAGAGAACTGCACTTATAAAAATATTATAAGTGGATAAAATGATTTATTATTTTTATATCTTCGTTGTATACATAACAATAATGTGATTTTGCATACATTATTATTATGTCTTGATATTTTTAAAAAGAAAGGAAAACAGAATTTTTTATTTCATTCAAAGAATTATCGAAACAAGATTTTGACATTGAAGCATCTACAATAATTAATAAGCTCTGTTTATATTTCAATAAAATTTTTCAGGACGCTTTGCTGTTTCACATTTATTATTTATTTAATCCTATCTATAAATAACACATCCGTATTTTTTATTTTTCACAGCAAAATATGATCGTAACTGTTAAGTTTTAATGCATATAATAGAACAAATAATTGTGATGTGGCGTTGTAATCCCGTAATGCTCTATTATCTTTAAAAAATATTTAAAAATGTAATGTATATTTAATATTAAATTTTTAAAATTGTCCTTCTTTTTAATCATGATTGATTAATGTTTCTGATGAAACAATTTTCGAATAAACCGAAATGGATACGCTCGATTACACATTAACTAAACATAAGTTTCTACGAACAATTCAGCTATGAACGATAGCTACAAACAATACTATTATGTGGTAAGTATTTTAGTCACGATCGTTAGTTGTGGTCTATTTAAGACGACTTGTAGGCCGGATAGGATAAAGTATCAAATAAACGCGAGAATAAGAGTTTTCGCGATTTCACATCTAGGCGATTCATTTCGTTAGTTTTGCAGCGGTAAAATAAAATTGCAAGTGTGCAGAAAACTTGCAACTTGACTAACATCAATATTTACATCAATAATTAATAAAAATTTTAATAAATAATTAACAAATATATGATAGCCAATAAAAAAAGTTTATTAATAAGTAATTAATTATATGTTTATTAATTCTTGAGAACTTACAAAACTTAAACTTGCAATATTTGAATCTTACTTTGCATGTGTGTACAATACATAAAGAAAAGTAGCATATTTTTTATTACGTGAGATTCTTACATAAAGATTTCTCTGGACAATTAAATCACTGAAAATATTAAATGTCAAGCGCAACGTTCCGGTTTACGATTCTTAGCGGGACTTTAGTGCCAGACGTGCGATTATATCAGCTAGCTTATTGTATGTGGCGTAATGTGCATTTGCGTTTTACAGTCATATTACTGTAAGTTTTTATATCTTGTTATACATTTAAAATTTTTTTACGATCAGTAGCATACAATAAAATAATAATTATTTAATTACAGTACAATATAATAACAATTGTTTAATTTTTATATTATTTTTATATAAAAATTATCTATATTTTATATAATTTTTGTATTATTTTTTCTGTCATATTTTTAAATTTTTGTATATGTATGTATCTATAAAGTGGACTATTTATATTTAAATAAGAATATGAAATTTCGTTTGAAGAAGAGATGAGCACATCTACCGGATCCAAGGGAAATTGTCCGGATCACGTGATACACCAAACATTTCTCATTCAAACAAGTCGGCCTCCTTTCTTACGTCCGCTTTCTCCATCCTGATCCGTAAGGATCAGAAGGGAGATATTCGCAAGATAACACACACGGTGTGGCAGAAAGAGAAAATCGTTTATCTCGTACCGTTCAGGAAATTGACTTTCGATTTCCGACACACGGGGAATCGCATACAGATTTGACCCTATTTCTTTATTTTTTTAAATTTTATTTTTTGAAAAGCGTTCTCACGTACACGCATGTAACGGAAAAAGAAATTAAAGTTTGGTGTGTCCAAAACCTCGATTATATACGGATATCATTTTGGTATTTGCTAAGAAATCTATTCTAGAATTTGACTTAATTGCTATTATTACTAACTATTTTTTATAGATTTCAATCGTATATTATGTGTTGTCAGAAAATTAATTAACACTATCGTTATTGGAAAAAGAAGAAAGCAAATGACGGAACTGGAATTACCGTTGATTAACCGTTGATTTCTGATATGTGGGTCGATCATTGCCAGTAACCTGGATTCTTGTTGTTTATTTCAAACGAAATTTTATTTATAGGCTGGAGAAATTAACATCGAAACAAAGCGATGAAAATCGATTGAATTTTATTATGAAAAATCTGTCATCATGTTACTACGATATTGATTTATTTTATAATTTTTGCTTTTAGAATGGCAAATAGCTTCCTAATTCATAATCTTAAAAATATGTTAATTCTAAATATGTTAATTTATTAGAGCAATAAAATTTTACAGACTATTATTCTCATTTTTTTTCCTTATGATATATGATTATATTATATATGATGATATGATTATATTATATATAATAATATGATATTATATATAATTGAATTAATATTAATTAATATCAATTAGTGATTATGATTATTATATATAATTGAATGCATTAATTGTGATATCGATAGTATTTTTCATCCGACCTATAAATTGTGTTTTATCACTATAATTTAGGAATTTATTATATTAATTTACAAAGAGAGAATTTTAAAATTTTCTATAACTTTTTAATTGTTATTTCAACAAATATTAAAATAAAGATGCAATGCTATCTCTCTTTGAGAGCGTCTAAATGTGAAAATCTCGTAGCAAGATAATGACACAAAACACAACTCTGATACGGCCTCTTAAACCCTTAATACGGATACTTTATCGGGAGATAAATTCGCAATAAACCTCAATCTTATGAATGGAGCGAAATACAATGCAAATACGTAACATATAGTTATAGTTATAAATTCTCGCGTTTTAAAGTAAACAGAGCATAGCTTAGTGTGTGCACCAATTAAAACTATCATGCTACATATGTATACAGACTTGGCAAGTGCGATACACACGATTACTATTCCGAGAACTAATTCTAATCGATGAGATCTCGTCTTGAATCTACGCGAGCTGCGAAAAGGTTTATATAGTCAATCGTCCGTATGCGATCGAGTCGTTCTGAAGAACGGAAGAATGATTTCGAATCGGCTGTAGTTATACCTACCAACCTCTGCTACGTATATATCGTAGTATCGAGCAGAGCGAGGGGAAGTGGAACAGAAGAGAAAGGCATAAGATGAACTAGATTTGTGGATTAAATCATCTCTTCTTTTTCCTTCCACAATGTTTCTACCTCGTTCTCACCTTTTCCTTCGCAGACCCTACCCCTTTCTCTCCCATATTCATTCGCATTTCTCACATACCCGGCGTAAGAGGTCGATCCGTTGTGATGTCCTATGTACATTGACACGATCTACCTATCGGAATAAAGATTGACAATTATTTGCTTAGCGACTATCAACGATGCGCAAAATTCCATGTTGGTTTCTCGAGTATCAAGGATGTTCCGCGTGTATTTGAGCGAGATGTGCGAACGAATTGCATACGAGGATGTACGCGATCAGGATTCGAAATTGGCACAATTCTCTTCCGCTCCACTAAAGCACGGAAGAAGAGAAAGGATGGCGAGCCGCGAAGCCGGGAGGAGAGGCGCGGCGTCGAATGATCCGGGAGTCGATAGTATATGATCTAGAATGGCATTAAAGATCTCGCTCTAAACTCGCCGGGATTACGTCTGGCCGACGTACAGGTAAGAGACAGAGGGGAGGAAAAGGCGTCGTCCACGTCGATGGTGATTGCGCAGCCTCGCTCTCGCAAGCCGACCGCGCCGTAACGCTCTGAAACGCCTCGGAAATAAGAATTAAACGTCGAAGAGACTGACGTCTAGATGAACGAAAAATTACCGGCTAATGCACAGCAAGAGCAGAGAACGGCAGCCACCGTACCGATGCTCTCCTTGCTTTTTTCTTACTACAATCACCGACCGTCAAGTAGATCTATATAAATGGGAATTGCAAGCTCTTAGACTGCAGCACTCGAACCTCCGCCGTAGGTTCCACAGCTTCACAGTATTACCCGGGATTCCCTTATAGTGTTTTCTTCCGGCAGTCCAACGACGCGAAAGGGAGAGCAGGAGCCCCGGTGGTCTCGACGGCGAGCCTAGACATTTCGTTTCGCGACGTTCGTTTCCGGACGAAACGATGTTTCAATTAGGTATACCGGGAATCGGTCGTCGGCATTTACATGTCTGTCTGACATTGGTGATCTGCGCGTTGTGGATCGTCACGATCGACGTCGCCACTGCGGAAAACGCCAAGGACGCGTGGACGGGATTCTCGACATCGTGCGTGACGGACGATCCGAAGAACGCGTCGGTTTCTTGTCACGGAGTGCGTATCGTTCGGAAGGTCGTACAGCAATTATTGGAGAACACCGTCAAGGAACGGGACATCGAGCTGTTCGATGGCATATCCTTGGTCGAGGTACCCGGCTCCCTTCGGAAAGCCAAAGTGTTGAAAGGCTTCGGAGGCCTCGGGCCCTTCATGCAGTTTCTGGAGGGTAGAGAACTCAGAGTCAAGCTGCCATCTTTGTTCCCTTCGAACATGGAGACTGCGTTGAAGGAGAGTTTGCCTTCCGATTTTGAAGGTTGGTAATTTATTAGAACACATAACCGAAAAATGTGTCGTGAAAATTTCATGAGGATGTCTAAAAATTTTATATTTTGCAGCAAGAAAGAGTGGAGGATTCGGCGGTGGCGGTGGCGGTGGTGGTAAGAAAGGCGGCGGCGGCTTGATGATAATGGCTCTTATGATGGGTAAGTTCATAAAGTGAGCATTTAGCTTTTGAGTTTAGCATTACATAAAGAGATGATGATTATGCGAAAGCAATTATATACTATAATTATCACATGTCTCCAGACTAAATAAAATGTTCAGCTTTGTGCGAATATTTTGCATATTTTGTTAAAAAATTCCGCATAACGATGATATTGCAGTGTTTATTATCGTACTTGATTTTATATAATATTATATATTGGTTAAATATAATATACATTATTTCAGCAAATTTTCATATTAATATTAATAAAATTTTCATATTAATATTAATATGAAAATTTGCTGAAATATTAATATTAATATTAATATATTCTCAAAATGTAATTTTTAATTCTTTTATTTATATTTAATATGATCAACGCATAATTAAACATATTATTACAAACACATTTGCTATTATGTATTGCTATTATATATTATTATTGCAGTCGTTTTCGATATAATCTTATTATATTCTCTTTATTATAATTAAAATTCCATTAATTCCATTAATCTAACAGATCTATTCTTCTCATTTATCCAGGTAAAATGATGGCCGCTATGGGTTTCGGCGCGTTAGGTCTTTTATCCATGAAAGCGTTAATGGTTTCGGCCATGGCTTTAATGCTGTCACTAATCATAGCTGTGAAAAAACTAGCGAGTGGTGGTGAAGATCACGGTGGTCATCACGTCGTTTACGCGCAAGAAGTTGGTCATCATCATCGCAAAAAGAGATCAATCGAGGATGACGATCCCACGCTCTTGCCTTATAGAGGATACGCCAATCTTTACGCTAATTTGCGAACATCTTGATACTCTTGTTAATTGCAGTAATTTTCGCAATCGCGAAACTGGATTGATTCACGAGCTTATTAACTCTCCTGTCGTTATTAAAACTTTATTCAGATAGACACAGCTAGACATACCACGTTAACAGCGGTGCATTGATATTTAAGTTAATTTGCATTTTAGTCACACCATCATTGTCACCCTTCATCATCGTCTCTCATTCATTTAGCACAACGTGCACCTTTTTCAACGTGGCTCTTTCATTTCTTCTTGACTACAAAACTGTAAACCGCGATAGGAGAGTTAATAGACGCTGAAAATTGACCGACGTGACGCGAAATTAGTGACAGTGACAGCAACGAAACGACAGTAATGAAGAGACTAATTGACAGCTACATTAGAAAGTGATGTTTAACAAATGTTTGCTCACGCGAAATGCGATAATCGATCTCCATTGGTCTATCACTTCGACAGGACTCTCAGTGAAATATCACAAAAATGCACGGGAAATAACCAAAGTACGTTGTTGGACTTTTTTATTTATTTATTTATTTTTTTACACACGTATTTATTGTTGTGTGCGACACATGTTAATAAAAGCATACGTGTTTGGACTATATCGTGTTTGCATTTATTACCATCAGATTATTCATGTTTCTCACGATTATAATAATTATAATAATTAATGACATGATAATGAAACATTATCTTAATATACGCTAAACAGAAGCGTAAGATGTCATAAATCACAATAAATGCCAAAAAATTGGCTTAAACAGGAGCAGCATTTAGTGGGTAATTTTTGGTCGAGCCTGTGTAACGTTATTATCAGAAATTAATAAGGCATTTAAAATAATAAGCTGAAAAAATGAAACGATACGGTTTGCTGATTCTCTCGGGCTCGTCGAAACGATGCTTCCCATTTGATCGCACACGGAACATTGGAAAATCGCAGGAACGAGGTAACGAATCGAGCCAACGAGGAAAGTGTGTCAGCGACCTGCCGTGTCGCATGTTGCATATTCACCTGTGTATGGATGCGGCGTTTACCCAACTAACGTTCGTTACAACGATGCAAGGTTAATAATAGTTTGCGCTGATCTCACTTAAGTGGTTTAACGGCGATACAAAACACGCACGTCGAAAGTTAAGTGTGCTCCTAGTGACACATGCAAAAACACATCGCGAACATTGTCTAAAAAATCCGATTAATAATATATGACTGACGTTAATCATATTCGCATCTATTCGGATATTTTATGAGAGATCTAGATTCGTTCGTGTTCTGAATATCAATGAGCAATTTGTGTGTGAAAAAAATTCGTCGTAAGAATCTCGAGGAGACTAATTTGAATCTTTCAAGAAAAAGAGGGAAAAAATTGCAAGAATATCGCCTGCAGGATTCAGATCGGTGTCCGTTTTTATCCGCGATTTCCCCGCATGCACGCGAATCTCAACCCAGAGCGGATTACGAGGAGCTCGACGGAGGAAAAAACATCGAGGGAGAAAGAGGCGGAGGAGAATCGTAATGGAAGAAAGGTTCAGTCGAGACAGCGAGATGTAAGAGGAACAGTTCCTTCTTTCTCTCTGTGCATCTCTCCGGCTGCCTTCTCCGCGTTGGAGTCCTCCCACTGCAACTCCCGGCTCCTTCTTTCTCCACGTGTGGAAGGGAACGGAAAGAGCTCCGGCTATAAGACCCACTGGCATACATACCGATCGTTTCCTTTTTTACGTTTCGAATATCATAAAACCTGGAGAGTCGCGTTGAAAGCAGCTCAGACGGCGATGCAGTCCCGAACGGAGCCGGTCGCGAACGCAGCCTGCGATGCGACTTGCTGCAACTCCGTTTATGTAGAATGCGAAAGCAATCGAGATCTATAATTCGTTGCGTTGCCAGATTATGCGAATCGAACGTTTTATAAAATGTTCCGTTATTAAAAAACGCAATTGTGCCTATCGCATGTATTTTATTTTTTTACCTTCTTGTTATGATGTTATTTTCCTGACGTATACGTATTATGCAGTATACTATTTACTACAATAATACGTATATAAATAAATGAATTGTCGAATTTATTATATCTAATAATAGGAATAAATAATAAAAAAATAGTATGTAAGAATTGAATATACAATGAAAGTAATGATTTGTAAACCTTGAGCACAATGATCAATGAGAAAGCGCCATTCACATCTTTTCTCTCGATATTTTTAACTTTCTGTAAAGAATAAATAAGCAACGTATTTATCATTTCAACGATACTCTCTGTTTTGTACTTTTTTAAATAAATTAGTTAATTATTATTATATTTATAAATTAAATATTATAATATAAATTATATAAATATAATTTAAATGTAGAGGCTCTTTTGTCTATCATTAATAATATCATAAATTATTAATATAAATGTAATTCTTCTATTAACACTAAATACACATTTAAATATCGTTATAATATGTGCTTAGTACTATAGGGTTAATGTCATGTTTTCTGGCACACGAACCGTGTTATGGTCCATAGACGAGAAGAACCAGTTGGGCGCGGAAGAGTAGCCCGTTACATTCCACGCTCATTACGAACCTCTCGTAAGGAAATTTAAAATTCAAATTCGAGCTGCTCGGCTACCGGTCAAATTTTCAGGTCGTACGCATGTCGATGGCCTGTGGGGATCGTAGAATCAATCGAACATTGCATCAGAAATTCCTAGCACAGCCTACTGACATTAAACCAGTTTCTGACAAGAGTTCGAAGGCTAGAATATCGAAAACCGCTACGTAATTCTTTTCGATTTAGGGCAAGAAATGATTGTTGAATGCATTTTTATGACTTTATTGTCTTAAGGATACGTTTTTTTAAGCAGTTCTATTTTCGTTCACTGAATTCTTATTAATCCTACCGTGGGAACATTTCAATTCATTAGCATATTTGTCTGGAAAAGTACCGTGATCTCTTCGAAAGTCGGCGAATGTCTTTAACATAAAATTAAGATTGATGATATTAAATGATAATAATATTTTTATTGAAATCTATTACTTAAGAATTATTTTACTATCATTCTCTAATAATTATAATATTATATAAATATTAATTTATCTTTATAAATATTATATAGATAGTACAATATATAAATATTTCTCAATATAAATATTAATTATATATATAATTATAATTAATTATATATATAATATTATATAAATATTAATTTATCGTTGTAAAAGTAAAATTGATAAACAGAATTTAATAGATAACCTAAGTTTTATAAATAGATCTTACTATAAAAAAATGTAATTATCCACATAAATAGAATATCTACTACTATACCATCTGCTGCTGGCTCATATATACGTACACATATATCTTATACATACAACGCACTATTGATATGTTGTGATGAGATAAGTATGTATAAAATTTTATTAAAGTTTTCCTCTCATAATTTGTTATCCTACTTCTATTTATATAATATATTAAAAATAATTTACATGATAAAAGCAAGAGTTAGCGTAATCTATTCAATGGAAATGTTTATTTTTAATTCGTGTTTCACTAAATAAAATCATACGTTTGATTGCAATGTAGCTTAACTCCTCGTGCAAAGTATAGTGATTTTACCGCGATAGGCGTATCCGTGGCTTAACGATCGTTGCTATCGTTGAGCGTAAAGGAGAAACTTTGGTTTTACTTTTTAAGGCTTGCTCTCTTGCGATGGGAGTGAAGGATCGACGAAAGGATTCTGAGCGCTACCCAATGACCGAGAAAAGATGAATGAGTACTGACGTAAGGTCGGGAATGGGAACTATGCTGTTATTGAACTTGCTTTTCATTGAATCCCTTCTTAAGACGAGACGAATCATCGGCCGCGTTTAAAACGGAGAGTCGCTTCTTCGTTACTTCGTAATAATTACGTATGTGAATTAACAATGAAACGCGTATGACTTTCAATAATATAGCAGTGAATAGACACGTAGAGCACACTTCTTTCACTTCCTTTTTTATCTTGAATAATCTCATTTTATCAAATATAAAATGATGAAGAAAAGTAAATGTAGTATATAATGTAAAATATATAAACAATAAAAAAGTAGATTTTATAAAAATTTTAGGGAGAGTTATAATTATATTTCTGCACATCTTTATAGAATTGTAATATAATTATATTCTCTATTTATATTTGTTATAATAATACATATATTTTAAAAGAATATAAAATTGCTTCAAGTCTTTTGAATCACATATTTTCAACAATTTTTAAAAATATAAAAAATGTAGCATAAAAAAGCTATGTAAAAAACATCCGATATGACTGTATAATGCTTTCAAAATAAAAGAAATCTATATTTTATATTTTTTAATATATTATTTCCGATAAATAAAACACCATATAAATCTTTGTTAACTACTTTGGTGGTGGTCTTAGTCGCAGACCACCTACGCGGTTTCACTTTCTTAAAATTTGAACCCACGCTGCACTTATGCGCTCGCTGAATACAAAGATTTTCTTGCTTGATTGTTGTGTGTCTGCTTTGAACCTTCCTGATAGGTTGGGAGAAATGGAATGAAAACGACAAGAGGTGTTATCCGTTAGCGTGGTCCGTGAGAGTCGCAGGGTCAGAGTAGAAAGTGGTGTCCACGATGAGGTGCGCAATGAAGGTCGGATCCGGGATGTTTAAATTTGATCTATACCAGTTTTCTTTCATTCATACCGGATTGTGCCTCGTATCCGCATCGTACAAATCAGTGTGTGTACGAAAGATCCATATACGAGGAAAAAGTATGATCATTTCAAGGCTTTTTCCCTTGAGCTGTAATGACAATTATCATTTCGAATTGCCTACGAAACTAATTGAGCTACTTAAATTATCGCGTTACATTGCTCTTGTTTGTAAATATGATACAAACTTCGTATTCTTGATTTACTGGGCAAATAAGATTTTCAGTAGTAAGAGTATGGGATCTAATCAGACACAAAGGTCGTATTTTAATATATTTACGGTTGTTTATCGTTTCTTTTCTTTCTTTTCTATGTACATGATACGAATGGCTGTAAAACTATATGAGTTAATTAAATACAGTTTATTACTATTTGTAGAAATTATATAGTGAATGCATTATTACCACGTGTTCTTTGCAACTGGTTCTTTAAATGTTAATTTATCTACGCTTTCTACCCAGTTGTAGTAACATTCGCTTAAAATGGACACACTGAACGATCCTTTCCCATCAAGTCTTTTATTGTCTTTCATTGAATATGATAATAAATACCAAAATGGAGAAAAAAATACATGCTGACATGTATTCAAAGTCGGTTAGTATTAAGGCTGGAATTTAAAATCGCTTAAATGGCGATTTCTCGAGAATGTGTTTACATGGGATTTAACACATTCTTGAAATTCGGGTCCCATCCGTTTTTCGATTTTGCATATGTAAGTATGTAAAGTAATCAGGACAAGTAGAATTATCATCGAACTCGACCAAAGATACATCTAGATTCTTCAGACGTTAATAATTTATGGTTTTTTTATAGCACATGTGTATGAATACTCATATATTAAATCGATTATACATATATATTATATATTATATCATAAGATTTAAGAAATATACAAGTAAGCCATTTATTTTATTCTATAAAAGAAGTATTAAAATAAATGTTATTATCACAAATGAAACCAATCAGCTGCCATCTTCAATTATGCAAAATATAATTTCTCTGATATCTGACGAGTGTTATTAAATTTACATTATTATCAAAATCAAGTTATGTATTAAATTTAAGCGATAAAGAAAGTTATTCCATGCCATATATATAAATATGAAAATAAAAATGTATCATATATTTATATGTCATTTTCTATCCAACTCAAACACGTAGCATTAGACTATTTCTTTGAAACAGTTAAAAGTATTTTGTTTTATTACCTCGTACGTTGTACTCGCATTTTTGACCGGATATGCAATGAAAGCACATATCCTATGTAATACATGTCGCAATGCAAAGTTGGTCCGGTATGTTTAAGAGGTACGTTGTTGGAAGAAAGCGTTTTTACTAGCGTTCGAGGCGTTGTCCCTCGCAGTTGGTATACACCCGGCCTCTATTTGCTCTGCCTAGGTAGGTCGCAGGTCGCATCGCGGTTGGCGGCGTGGTCGGACAGTCGTAGGTACACCAATCATCTATTGAACACATCTATACATTGGTAGTGTGTCGGTTAAACGGATGCGCGACGCACGCGATGCTCACGCATTCACGCACGTCAATTGGAAAAGAAAAAAAGAGGCAGTGGGGCGGTCACGACGGTGGAGACGGTAGAGGAGGGGTCCGCCAAATATAAGCTAAAGAGATTGTCCGATGGACCACACGAAATTTCACTACGCACGGAACGGCTTTCGGAAAAGGGAGGTCCGAACTACGTAGATCCATCGAACGCGTCGTGCCGCGATCTAGTGCCAATCTTTCTCCCGTTTCGTGGAATTTTCCGCACTGAGTCATGAAGATGCTGAAGAAGCTGTTGATCTTGACGACCGCGATCGTCTTAACCGCCGGACAAAGCATCGACGAATGCCTTAAGCAAGACAGCATAGCCTGCGTGCAAAAGACCCTATACAGAACCGCCAAGGAATTCTTCGCCCAGGATAAACTTGAGCTTGTGAATGGAGTGAGCCTTGTGAAAAGTAATGCTGATGACAGGAGTGCCAGATCTGGCAAGGAACTCGCCTACGATCAAGAGATAGACGCCGCCAACGATATCACGGAGAGACAAAACACCCTCGAGAACTTTATCAGCGATGAAGCTGGACAGCTCCTGACCGGTCGCAGTCTTAGGGTGAGTCAAGCATTACTAAAAATAAACATTAGTGAAATACATATACATAAGATATGCTTACTTAAAAAATTTGACGGTTGTTTTATCCATAGCTACATTAACATATACGTAAACATGGTGTGGTTGAATTTAAACTCTTCTTTTAGATTAATCTTGCACCCGCCTTTGAAAAAATCCGTGAATCGGCTCGCGCCATCAGCGAGTCTGTGCCACCGGAAATTCGTCAGGCCGTCGATGAAGTTGTCGAAGGTAATGTCAAAATTGATAGATATGATTGCTGATAATTTTCACACGAATCTTCACTCACATTAATCGATACATACAATAAAAATAGTTTGCTATGTCTTATGCAACTGTTTAAACAAATAATTGAATCATAATAAATAAATCTCTTGTCTTATTTTAGGTCGAGGCAAGAAGAAAGGATTGAAAGCGCTTATACCTCTCGTGATTGCCGCGAAAGTGAAGCTCGGTCTTTTAGCGACTCTCGCTTACTTTGCCGTCTATCTCATAGCGAAAAAGGCGATCTTCGTGTCTCTCATTTCCCTCCTCATTTCTGCCTTTATCGGTTTGAAGGCCCTCTGGGCGAAAAAAGCCGGCTATCACGATTATACTCCTTACAATAGCGGCTGGAGCGGACCTATTGCATCTGGTGGATGGTCTGGTCCCGTCAGCGGTGGATGGTCCGCTCCCGTCAGCGGTGGATGGGCCAGCGGCGGCTCTTCCGGTTGGGAAGATCCTCACGCTTACTCGCACAGCCAGGCGTACTCTGGCTATCATCATCACTAACGATAGCCATTGATGCTTTCTTCTACAACTTTTCTATTTCCCCTCTTCTTTTTTTTTTATCGAATAATGGGCGACGGAAAGAATGAGATACCTTCGAAAGTCGAGTGATTCAAGCTTCACTGTTGATCCTCCATTGTTCGCGATTATTATAAAAATATTTATTCTTATTTATATCATTAAATAGTAAATATATATATATAAATGGGGCGCTTGGCCTTTCCGTGCAATGTACATAAAATTATATATTACACAATCGCATATTTCATTATCGCGAATAGATCGAGCAGGTAAAATGTAAAATCGCCTTAAGCTGCGAAGCTAGTCGCGACACGTTCGATCGGCGAATAATGTCTTTATGTTGAGAGAGATATAATGTTACATATTACGATTTTGCCATCGCAACTTTAGCGCGAGCTTCGGCGCGAATCTACAAAACTCACTTGAGACGCAGGTTGGTGAATCATGGTTACATCTAGTCCAATACGATGTATATGCAACACAGTTACATCCTTACGAATCTGTATGCTTCGTAATATTCATTATAATTAATATTATTTATAAAGAAAATTTGAACATGTCAGTTATTGAAATCCTCTTCCTATTTTTCCCATATCGCGAAATATCGTCTCATTGTGTGTGCGTGTGTGTGTGTGTGTGTGTGTGTGTGTGTGTGTGTGTGTGTGTGTGTGTGTGTGTGTGTGTATGTGCATGTGATAAACATAATTTAATACAAATCTTAATACATATAAAATATCTTAAATAATCTTAAATAAATCTTAAATAAATATCTTAATACATATGACAAAATATTTTCGAGAAATTAAATAATATATAATATATAATATATAATACACGATGACTGTTAATCCTGAGACGAATTTAATGCGAGTACTCTCATTTAACTAACAGCGAAAGTTTCAATTCCTGATACATGAATGATTTGATAATTGATACTCCGTCACATAATTTAAAGAAGCGTATTATTCATTATGTCTTCATTCTTGATATCGAATCCGCAAATCATTCATGAGTCGAGCGAGAGGCTTCGAAAAAGAGAAATCATCGTAACGGCAGCGACAACTTTCCAGTCTTCCGGGAAGGTCCGAAGTATTTTTTTTTCTTTCTTTTTCGCGAGCGAAACTCTTCGCGGCCGCATTGCATAAAGAGTACATTCGAAATCGTTAATATATCGCGAGTGTTCTGCTCTCCTTGACGAGTCATCCGGTCGGCGGCGGTTCGAAATCGAGCCGACGAGATGGAAATGCTGACTCTCAATCGCGTCATGCGGCCGCGGGGGAAAGTGCACGTCTCAGGTGCATCCGGCCGGAATCAGTCGTTTTCTCAAGTCTGAGGTCGAGGGGAGGTCGCGACTCGCGTACATCATCCTCAATCGGGTCGAGGAGACACTGACTCACTACACTAAATGTTTCGAGACCGATGTCCTTAAGTCCCACATAGAAGAAAAATAAATAGCTATGGAAAGGAGGTTGAGACAAAGTACCTCGTTTCTTTTCCACACGCCGTGCATTAAAATTCCACCGAATTCAGTAAAAAGAATTTTACTTCGAATAGATACATGTCGATCTGACATTTTTTTAGGACGATGCTTCAAGAAAAAAGACGAGGCGAATTGATGGTAAACCGCGAACTAGAATCAATCTATGACTTTTGCTCTATTATCCTCCTTTGATGGATACCATGATTATAATTTGCGGGTAATTTACATTGAATGAAAAGTGTTTCTAAGATATAATATGTAAACTCGTGCGGATAAAACGCGTCAAGAAGTATATTATTTGCATGAGAGGCAAATCAGTGCCAGAGATAGAGTGTTGCAAAGAAAAACGGTGCAAAAAGTCAATTGTCACGCTTCATTACTCGTTTCTTTGTAACAACGATAATCACATTGCCTCGAAAAGGAGAAAAAGATGCGAAGTTGCTTCGAGAGGAAGAGGACTTTCGTTTGCGGTAAAGCCGAGCACGATGCAATATAATTATATCAATACTATAAGGATTCGATCGAATATGTTGAATCTTAAGAAATTTTAAACACTTCTCTTTCTTTATTGAATTGTTGCAATTTGTGTGCATTTTTCTACTTTACGTTGTAATAAAAAGTATTTTTAACTTTAGATTATTTTACATTTTTTTTCGCACAAAATAAATACTTTTAATTTTCATTGTATAATAATTTTTTAAATAATCAATTATAATTGCCTCTTTTTTATACGGCCATGGGTCTGTGAAACATTTTATAAAAGGGAAAATAATTTTCTCCTTCTGTGATGAGAGATGCGTTTCGCATAAAATGAATGAAAAAAAAATGTTGTGAAAATTGGCACTGTTGCCCGTCACGGATGTGCAAGCGGATGAATAAAGCCGTTCTTCGAGCTCGCTAAAGCGGAATTTCTCCGCGTTTGCAGCATCGAGTCGTTTGTCGTTTCATTATTAGAGAGTCGTAAAGTTCCGTGCTGAACGCATCTTTTACGCGTATAAAATCCAGGTACGCGATTCTCACGTTATGATTAATTTTAAGAGTTTCTCATGCGTCACTAGGTTACTAGACTTCCTAGCGATGGATTGGCTTCTTAAAATATGTTTATGAGACGCGTGTATCGTCGCATCATTAATTCGTACTGTTTTGCATAATAACTCGATCAATTTTGCATACAATAAATATTTTTCCTCGGCAAAACCGCAAAGATTGCTTAGCAACTTCAAATATTCCAGGTTACACTTTTGCGAATGTGCTCTATTTATTTATAACATTAGTAATAATAAAAAATAGCACTTTTATATTGCTTACTTAATAATTAAAATTGATTCAAAATCCGCGAAAATTCATCACACTTTATCTACTTTCTAATCTTCTATCATTATACATTCAATCATGCAATAGTCCACTAGATAAGCTTCATTCATGAGATGCATTTCTACTTGGCAGATTAAATGGGCTGCAATTTGCGGCATATGCATTATAAGGCATTGATATCGCACGTGCATACAGTGCGTACTTGCATACATATACAAACGTTATAGTTGGTTGAGATACCTTGAACCTAACCGAGTGAGCTTGAAACAATTAACGAGCAACCGTTACCTTTCCCATAACTTTCAACGTTTCACGGCCAGGGTCACGTTGTCGGACAAAATGGATATATCTTCTACAATGAAATGTAATTGGTGCTCTCCGTACTCATAATTGCTTATAATTCACGGCAGCTGACTAATTGGTATCACAGGAGCATCGCAACATTCAAGTTCCCGATTCTCCACGTCCTCCTCATTCGACAACATCAATCTCTCTTTCTGTTTTTCCTGCGACCATTTTTTGATTCCCAAGGAACTTTTATCGAAACGCTCTCAGTACGACACTTTCAGTAATTTTCTTTTTAATGCGTCGATTCTGAAACGAAAAATATATTAATAAAATATTTTTTATCAGTTTCCGTTTAAAGCATTATTTAATTCCGATAATTATTTTTTTTATTATTGTTTTTTCTGCAAATTTGATAAGAATCTGATTACTGCTTCGAATGATAGTATTTGTGTGAAAGATAAATACTAAATATATTTAGATAACTTTTTCATTGTATATATGTTTAAATTTTTTAAATATAATTTTTAATGAAAAAAGAAAGCTTTAATTTGGATAATAATATATAGTTGCAATGCTAAATATGAGTTTATATACGTCATTTACTTTTTTCAATTATGCATAAGAAAACGGGAGACATTCGCTTTTGTTTAAAAGCGCGCAGGAGTGATTTCTTGTTCATCTCGCTTGAAGTTTTAAAGAATCCAGACTGCGTCAGGTGTGCGATTTCGCTCAAGGCGACATTCGCTCTCGCGTACCGGGGGATCTTGATCTTTTCCCAAGTGAAGTCGGGATCGAGAACGTTGTTACTGTGGAAAGGAGCAAGAAAAAGAGAAAGAGAGAAATATAAAGAAGAGGGAGATAATATAAAAGAGAGAGAAAGAAAGAGAGAGAGAGAGACCAAAACGATCGCTCAACTCTCGACCTAGTTAAAAATAGGTGAGTGACCTCGTTCCAGGGATAATATCTCGTGTTCATCATCTGCCGATGAATTTTTCGGAGGTGGCCCGAGAGACATCACCTGCAATAATTAATCGCCGAATGATACACTATGAACTCCCGTAAGAAAACATGTATCTCATCTCTATATATTTAAATCGAGATAATACGATAACAAAATCTAATAAATTAATTTCTAGATAAAGCTGAATAATCAGGTGGCAAGATAATTTCCATTGTACTTCCTTAATTCAAATCAGAAAAATAATGTAAAGGAAAAGAAATTGCAGTTCACCTGTTCGTTATCTTCACGTGTTACATTGTGCCACTTCTCTCTCTAGCATAAAGAATTAATCAAACCGAAGTGATAAGACATGAGTCACAGTTGTTCTTAATGGAGGTTGTAAAACGCATCCGCTGATTCAACATCGATAAACGACGCTTCGTGTATCTATTAAAACTACACGACCTCCTTGAACTAAAGTATCTGGAGCGGTCACAGACTTCTGTGATTATTTGAATAAATGAAGAGAAATATCGAGTAGTTGTAATTCGCTTTATGAGCCCTAGAAACATTCACATTCCATAAATTGCACCGGCAAATGACCGTCGTGGAATCTCACAGTTGACCAGAATTTCTTTGATTAGCCGTCTCGAATCAACGTCGAATGCACGACATACGTGGACTCCCGCACTCGCAACCGTCATTCGAGTCGCACAACACTCTCGCAATAATCATGGTAGGTGGACGAAATGGTGCGGCAAATCATACAGGACCCACGTACTTACTATACTTTTTCTGTCGTCCTGAATGTCTATAGGTTTCCCTCGTGTTGTAAGTTTCTCTCATCGAATCTGGTTCGGACTGTATTGGAGGGGCTCCCCTTCTGTTACAAGTTAATATGTTTTAAAGTAGGTCCATAGCGTGAGAACATGCAAGAAGAGTGGGCGGAGAAATACAAAGAAGATAATCAATAAAGCGGAAGAATATAAGAATATATATTAATCCGAAAATTTATATTAATTATATTAATTCATATTAATCTTATCTAAAGGATCTTGGACATACGTATTATGAGAAGTCTTCTCTTCTGTATTATATATTTTCCTCTTTTCTCTTTTTCTCTTCATGAATTTTCTTCTCTGTCATTCTCAATTTTTATTTTATCGAAATAAAACGGGCTGACGTGAGGAAGGTCGATGAAAGGGGAGGAAGCCAGCGTGGGGAACTCCTGCGGTACTCGACACACTCGATAGAACAAGAGAGAGAAAGGGGTAGGGGGGGGTTACGAGAGAGGAGCAGCAAAAGGAGGGAGACGAGAGAGCGTACGATGCGGACCCCCGAAGGCCCGCGAATCCACGAAGGTTCCCCTCGTGCCATACTTCGGTATAAAAGCAAAGCAACCTCTTTTAGATGTAACACACGAGGCAGCATCGGCGCATCCTGGCGTGCCTTACGTACGAACGCGACTGCACGTTGTTGGGGCACGAAGGAGTCAAGAAACGTACCGCACGTGAGGCACGCGATTGTAGGATATCTTCGGCTTCGTTCGCACAAGACGCGTAAAACGCAGTGGAGTCGCACTTGGTGACCATGGCCAAACATTTCGTGACGTTACTGTGGGTGTCGGCGGCATTGACCGCGACCCTGGCATTGCCGACCAGCGAGAAGGTCAGCGGAAGTGAGAACGACCTGATGACGAACATATATGCCGACTGCCTGAAGAAGGAGTCCATCAACTGCATCAAGTACAAAGTATTTACCTTTGTCGACAAGATGCTGGCCGATAAGGAGGATATCACGCTGTCCGAGGGCATCACCGTCGTAAAGACGTCCAACGCCGAGGGCGAGGGTGCGCCCAGGTTGGTTGTCGGCCGTTCTTGTGAGAGAGAATTCCGAGAATTACGTGAAAATTCAAACATTGACGACAAATCCGTTCTATAACTCTTAGAAAATACTTATGCTTACATTTTTTGGCAGATCTATCGAATCCAGCGATTTTGATACGCTCTTATTCGATCGTCTTGGAAGATTCTTAAGGACGCATTCCGTGAAAGTTGACCTCAAGGGCAGCGACATTTTGGGAGCGATCGAGTCTGCTGGGCGCAGCTTCGAGGACTTTAGCGATAACGCTGTCGAGAGTCGTGGAAAAAAGAGTGAGTATTATATTATAATACGAATTATAAATTTATTTTGAAATAGTGATATAAGAAGACTTATAAATGTGCTTGGATATTAAACCGGTTATGATGCAGCATTGCTAATTTCTAATTATGTTTTACCGTATTTGTAATTCACGAAGGAATATTGTTACAACGAGTAGCTAAATGGAAAATCATCTTGAAAGTGAGACTAGCGCAATAATTGACTAATTCTTAATCGAGTCGTAAATCAATCGAATAATGTTGTTTGCAGTATCGGAACGCTTGCACTCTTACAAATATCAGAATTTTTAATCATCATAGCCACATCGTTACCGTCTATAATATGAGAAAAAACTAAATAATTAAATTTTACACAACTATATATATTATTTATAAATTACTAACATATATAAATCATTTTATATAAATTTTTCTGTTGCTAAGCATTTTAAGAAAGAATTTTAAAGATTATAAAGACACAATAGAGCAGAAAAAGATATAAATTATTCGCGTATCGAAAAGGTAATCACATGGGCTTATCGGGCCAACGTCAGCTGCGGTACGAGAGTCCTCGGCGTTCATCGTCATCATCGTCGTGTGAACACGCGACGATGATGACGAGGAAGCCAATACCGGTCGCAGACGTTGACCCACTGAAGAACTGGTTCCGCTTCCCCTTGAACCTCCTTAACCGAAGATCGGGAGAGCGCCGGGGATATTGAAAGATTGGGAGAGAAACACAGAGATATAGGGGGAGTGAGAGAGAGAGAAAGAGAGATCCCACCGGACGAGATTTTTGACATACTTTCCATCCTGATACTTCGCCTTGACCTTCGGCGCCATTCCACTTTAAAAATATTGTGCGTCTTCATATTTGGTGCGAAGTGATTTACGAGGGACCATTATTATCGAATTTACAATGATTAACGCGAGTATTTACGCGTTGTATTTTAACATCTGCCTATCTACTTATGAATTGAGTCTCTACTGTTATTCGATGATTAATTTCGGCACGAAAATAAAACAAGATTAACATTTTATACAAATTAATTCCGGAGATTATATATCATGTTATTTATTCATGAATGCAAACTCGCATAAATTACCTCGATACATTATGATGTTGTGATTAAAAAAAATTTCAGATATTTTTTACAATAATTTTAGTAATATTGTATTAATTTTATAAATTTCTGGATCATCTTTAACTTATCGATGTGGATATTGCCTTTTAAGTCAATTTGAGTCAACGATTTCTTCTAGTTTTAAATTGCTACCTTTATGAGTTACATATAATTACAAGACAGTCATAAAAAGAAGTATATGTGAAACAAGTACGCATTTCTTGCATAAACGAATCGCTATACATTATTTATAATTTTTTAGTTGTTTGATAATATGTATCTTGATAATCATGTGTAACAGAATAATTGGGAGGTGTTTCATGAGGCAAAAAAATATATTTAAACATGTAATGACTACATCTCGTGATGTATTCATATTCCCGTTCTCCACAGAAGTGTAAAGAGAGAATAATGATAGCATTAACCTTCGCGACCTATATTCATATCCTACATTTAGTAATAAACGAATATATGAATACGTTTTATTTTACGCAAAAAGAACCGAATATCTTAATCATTAATTAATTATAATTAAAAAGTCTATCTAAAGTATACATAAATACTTTTTCTTGTATAAAGAGCACATTTTTAAGTATTTATTATCGAAATATAAGAGCGTCGACTGCTGATTTTTACGCAAAAGTAAATGTTTGAAACGTTACAGAGAAGGCGCAGAAGATCCTAGGACCTCTAATGCTCGCCATAGCCCTGAAAGCGGCCGCTTTATTGCCACTGGCCCTCGGCGCGATTGCCTTGATAGCCGGTAAAGCCCTGCTCATTGGCAAGATCGCCCTCGTGATCTCGGCCATCATCGGACTGAAGAAGCTCCTTGGTTCTCATCAAAAGCACGTGACCTACGAAGTAGTTTCGCACCCTCACCACAGTAGCAGTCACGTTGTCAGCCACGACGATGGTGGCCACGGTGGTGGTGGATTCAGCGGCGGCGACTATGGTGGTGGTTATGGCAGCAGCGGACACGGATGGGCAAGGAGTTTACCGCAGGACGCCCATGAGATCGCCTATCGCGCCCACCAACCCCAGGCATAAGCTTAATCCGTAGCATAGAAAGTTTCTCCATCTTGTTTCTTGCATTTCTCTTCAACGACTTCAACGATGTTCCCTTTCGTTCCACTTGCGTTCGCTTCACTCTTTCTCTCACACATTTTTTCATTATCTCCTCCCTCTCTCACTTATGCTACTCGTGTACAAAAATACCTAGTCTATCTTGTATTCGAAGAAAAATTGCCGATATCCATCTAGTTTTTTCGCGATGTCCACTATGAAATTATTCAACTTGAAATCTCTCCGAATCTTTTTATTCTATTTCTTTATATTTATATGGTCTTCTACTTTTTCTATGTGATTCTCTTCTTTTTTTTCTTTTCGCTTTATTCTACATAACGGTCGATTTATCCCGCGGCCAGTCACCAGTACCTCTGGAAAATGCTCATTGTTTTATGTATGTATATTTATGCGAACTTTCGTTATTTATTCGTTACATCTTATATTAATATTTATTTGATGTTTGACTGTGTGCTTCCATTGACATCTCTTGTTTTCTTTTATAATAAAAAAACGACAAATGTCAGACAATTCCTTAGTCTTGTTCCAATAAAAGAGACTTTAATGCCTGCAGCTTCCGTCGACGAGAACAACCCAATGTTTCCTTCTCGTAAGAGTGACCGCTGTCCGTGGCCGAGTATTTCTATTTATACAACGTTGCACTTGCACTTGTAATCATAAGGCGTAACGTAAGACCATGAAATACGCTCTATTGAGTTTGAAACAGCGATCGCGTACCGGATACGGAGCAACGTACTATATTTTCCATACATAAATAGATATGTAGTGGAAATAAAATAAAGCTCACAGGAGAGAGAGCATGAGCGAAAGTAGTCAAGGAATGCGCAGTACGGCCGCTTTATTACTCAGGAATTCGAGCTATATGTATAATATATACGAGATTTTGTAGTAATTTATACGATTGATACGGTATACATTTTATATCTTCGGAGCTCCCTTCATATTCCTCACATTGCTCGTTCTTTTTCTTATTATTATGAGTATTTCAAGAATCTCAAAACAGTTTCTGCGGTCTGAAAACTAGAATAAAGAATATTAACCTTAAATCTAAATACATTATTTTATTATTATCTTAATAATTAAACGTATACATGTATTTAATAATTAAATATACGTATGTGAAGAAAGATTTTATTTCTACAAAATCAGAATTTAAAGAAATACTAACGACTTAACTTTAGAATCGCTTTGAAATTTTTATATAAAATTATACATTTAAAATTGTATTTTTTATAAAAGAAAAAAAATACCGTTCAAACTCATATAGCATGCGAATAAAGCGTGCTAATGCTCATATTTATATTGTATTAATATCAGGAACATTAATTTCCGTATCGCAGACACGATTGACTATTAGTTTTACAAAGTTAATAACTAAAACTCGAAAGAAAATCAGGATAAAATTTTCTCCGCGGGAGATAATATCTACCGTAATCTACCTTAATACTTGATAATACGTATCTTAACCCGGTGATTGCCCCTCCCCTTTAAAAGCGGACGCGCGTGTGGCTAGGTACAAGCCATGGTAACCTGCATACCGTGCGGGTTCCGTTCCTACCCAGGCGGCTTCGAAGGAAGAAAAAGGAGGCACGTATATACAATAACGACAGTTTCATCGGCCAAGTAGCCACGCGTATCGAACCGTCGAGAAAATCACCGGTCGTACAAAATGGAATTCAGGCCCGATGGTTCCGCGAACCGGAAACGACGGAGCTCCAGGCGCGCGTTTATTAGCGGAGCTTGAGACGCACGTTGATGGTGATCCATCTCTCGCGAGATCCGTCGCTTTCGCCATGTCGCGGGGGGATCATTTTCACGGCACGTACGCGTACGAGAAATCGGTAACGCGACATTATGCCGCGAATAAGTTCCGGCATCATCGTCAGATCCACGAGAACGCGGGGTGGAGAGAGAGGGGGAGGAGGGGAGGAGGGAGGGAGAGACTCGCGACGAGGAGAGGACCGACTCTCCTTCCTCTGTATCCGTTAGCTGGTCGCGATGCTTTCTTGGATATTCGCGTGCAGCTCAATGAAAACGTTATGCACCGGCAATTTCGACGCGATGTTAACGAAGGCGAAGGGGGTAGTAACGCGGTGAAGCAAACTATGTTTTTAACGATGACTCCGAATGAGACGACAAGGTATTTCGCTTTTTTTTCCCTCCACGCGAGAGTCTCCGTTTCGTTTCTCTCCTTCTGGAAAACAGTTTAATTCGTTAAATGGTCTAAGTGTATCTGCGCACGCAACGTTTTCACTTGGTACGACCTAGTTAAGAGCACGTCCGGCGTATATCGAATTGAACAGGATGAAAAATGTCAAGGATACAAGGGACACTAGGAATGAAGCATCGAATTAGGAAGCATCAAATGAATTAAATGATTAATTGGATAAAGAAATTGTGCCTAACGCGGGTAACGGTGTACGTTAATTTGCCGATTCATCGGTTCTCCTTTTTCGATGACATGATTATATCGGCGCGTAGAGGAAAACGTTTGTTCGATCTTCCATCGAAAAGTGGAACGTACATTGTCACATTAATTATAATAGCTGAGGCAAACGTTTCAGGAATCCCAAATTTCATGTCAGAAACATAACTGTGTATCGAATGCTCGATAAGTAACGAGAAATGCAGTTATACATTCAATCGTACATATGTGACGATGATCATTCTCTATCAGTAATGGTAATTTTAAACTACCTTGATTGACATTCGAAAAGATTTTTTTGTGACGTTTCAAAATCACATTTCGAGGCCTGTCTCATGCGTGAGGTTTATTCTGAATATCGTGTATATTCCCCGATATAATCACGAAATTTGACGTAAATAATTAAGGCAGCCTAGAAAGTAACAGCTGGAACAACGGATCCTTAGCTCGCGATCTCTCGCCACTTAACGAATGAACGATTTTATAGTATCGTAAATACAGGATAATTCCAAGTATGTATAAGCTCGTGCCAATAACACACTTTATGTTTTATTGCGCTTCCTGTTATCAAATATATCAATGACCGTAAACCGTGGCTCAAGGCGCTTTCTACATTAGACGTATTGTTTGGAGACTCTTGATTCGGTTCGCGCAGCTGGCGCGCGAAAATCTCATGCCGGTTCCACGACATTGTATTGTTTTGCGCCTTTCATTTTCAATCTTATTCGAAACGGGGCAATTGGTGAGAAATTAGAACCGGGAAACGATGAACGATGGGAGCATCGAAGCACATCGGTCGGTGCGTAGATGGTTGGTCTACGCGCCCACGCGCGAAAAGAAACAACGGAACAACGATACGGACGAAATGCGGTTAGACCGGTCGAATTAAGTCCGTATAAAGAATGAACATTAGAAAGACGAGGACAATTGTCGCGAGACGCCCGTGTAAGAACGGCAAAACTCGCTTGGATGCGCTGGTGGGAGATAAAATCCCGGGGGGAGTGCCGTGATTATGACGCGTTCCGCGGAGGTGAATTCTGCTCTCTACTTTCGTCCACCGAGTGGTTGTCTAGGTGCAAAGCGACTGCTCTCAAATCAATGGTATGAAAATAGTTACGATGGTGTACATACGCCGACCAGGTGGGGGAAATATCGCCCAGTACGGAGGTATACCTGGCTAGATATATAGAGCTAGGGCAGGGCTTCCGTTACGTACAGTCTACGTAGAGTGCTCACAGCTGTACACGCATCTCGCAGTGGTACGCAGCGTGTTAAATTAATCAGAAATCGGTAGCCGCGTGCGGACGCAAGGACTTTCTGGCTGGAAGAAGCGAAGGACGAGACGTTTGATTTTTCCTTAGTGGAAGGTACAGTGTCTTGATTGAGGTTTGCGTAGTTTGAACCTTTAGTGATTGTATTAAGTGATGGATTTTGTACACATTTTGTGATAAAGATATATTTTAAACTGATGAGTAGATGAAGTAAATTCATAAATAGACGAAAAAAATGTACGAATAATATAATTTCGAAGGATCATACTTGGGTAGAAATTATATTTTGAAAAGTTATCAATTATAAGTGCCATGAGCAACTTTAGCAAAAATTGGAACCTTTTTTAAGTTTATTTAAGATAAATTTTTAATAATAATTTGTAATGAGACGTAAACTTTTTTTTCTCTTTGATCTGAAATTTAAAACGTATGTTATGCGTTACATTTTTTCATTATGCACTATTAAAATGTAGGATCAAATTTTGTTAATGAATTAATTATTAAATAATTATGAATTCATTATTAAATAAAATTTTTTTGTTAATTTATTCTTATTAATTATTTTTCGCAGATATTTATTTCAAAAACATGAAACAGTTTGCACACTACGTATGTCTGGCTGTACTTGTGACGGCGGTCTCTGCGAGATCGGCCGAAACTAATCCTACATCCAATTCCATTAATGAACAACAAACCGCAAGGTCAAGTGGACTTGGTGTATTTGGAGAGTTGCGTTACGTCTATCAAGTGTACAAAGAATGCACCGGCGCGGAACTGAGTCCTTGTCTGAAGTTAAAACTTTTATCGGCCATGGATAGGATCTCTCGGAGCGTTCAATTGAATGTAGCCGATGGCGTTACCCTGGTTCATGACGAATCAGCTGCCAACGAATCCGAGCCAGAAAAATCTGTTCAAGAAATTGAAGCCAGTTTACCGCGAGCGTTAGAAGACAAGGAAGATGCTCTTAATAACATGATTTTCGACAAGATTGTTAAATTCTTTCAAAGTCACACTCTAAAACTAAGATTGCCAAACGTGGAGGAATTCCAACGTAGTCTCACAGAAGAAGGTAAGAAAACCAGCATTCTTAATAATGTTAGCAAATGTATATAAATTAATAATAGTTAGATATTTAAATATTATTTTTGAAATGTTATTACTTTAATTTATCTCACATATTCTTGTTCTATTTATAATATATGTTCAACAGAATTGGAATTTAATTTTTTCGAAATGATAAAATTAATTTAAATTGATAAAAACACATAAAATTTTGTCATTTTATATTTGATTAAATATTTTTCGTTAAACATTAATTATTACGGTATCTTCTCTAGGTCGCAAGAAGAAGAATAAAATGGGTCTTCTTGCTATTCCTCTGTTAATTGGCGGTACATTGGTACCTTTGGCTCTTGGCGCTCTCGCCCTGTTAGCTGGCAAAGCGCTGATAGTGAGCAAACTTGCGCTAGTACTTGCTGCTATCATCGGATTAAAGAAACTTGTGTCAGGAGGTGGCCACGACCACGGACACGAAGTCGTTCAAGTCGGCGGAGGACACGGATCGAGCGGATGGGGAAGATCTGGGCAAGATCTGGCCTATTCCGCGTACAAACCAACCTAGGAAAAGAAAAATATTACATTCTCATCGTGGCATCTCTTTAATCTCATCCCTTTCTCTCTCTCTTAACCCTCGCAAAATATTTTCTTCTCTGTTGTCGCGCGTAACTTGTATTTATTTTCATCCTGTAAACATATAATTCGATCTCTTCTCACTGTATTCTCCCGTTGTGTTCACTTTATGATCATTGCACACACGAGAACGCTCCTACACGGATCATCCTCAGTATTTATTGTTACACGCGTAGCGATACGCTTACCGCGTCACATGTGTGAACACAATATGTATATTTATAAATACGCAAATAAATTAAGATTATAATTAAATCGAACGATCGTACATTATTTCCTCATCTTATTTCGCAACTGATGAAATCTTGCGTTTCGTGAAATGAAATTTGCACAGCGCGTGCGAATGGATAGTTAATTATCTCGATAGCTCGCTACGTGTTAATTGCGTGTGATTATAATATTTAAATGAAATTTAGCACTCGCGTGATAAAATTCCATCGTCGTTCCTTCGTTCGTTGCGAGATGCTTAAAATTCGGGTGAAACTAACGGAAGTCACCGATACGCTAAAATCGTAGAGCCACGAAGAGAGAGGCAACATGCGAAAAAAAGAAGAAGCGAGAAGGATGCGAGATAAGACGGCGGGGATGAGGCCCGCGAAAGAACTGGAGCCTGACCGACTGATGGCCCGACGATTCGGGACTCGATCGAAAGTAAGCTCAACGAGACGCGATAGAAAATGGAGGGACGTGCGAAAACCGGAGGTAAAGAGGCGAGACAAACATGCGAGACAGAGAAATGCTTTTACACAAACATAGATCCACTCGTGTCTATTTGGACGACGATTTAACGTCCCGATGCAGGCGACATGAATGGACATACGTCTTGGAGTGTCCGGTTATCTCTCCGAGAAAAATGGAGAGAGACCATCGATTTCATGGCGAGCGACAGTATAGGTACCTAGAGGGAACCGAGGGGGGAGGGAGCGGCATCACCTACATACGAGAAACGCACGAATGAAATCTGACGTGTTCGCGCGGGGGCACCTTACGCACTTGTTTGATGCGTCCGCGACGATCGTGTGCGTATTCGAGCGTGGCTACCACACGCGCGAGAGCGCGAGAGAGTTTCTGCGTGCACGTAAGACGGACGTACACGCGGAGACCAGTCGGTGGACACACACTTCGGGAAGTAAACCAGGCCGAGCAGACCGATCGGGCCAGTCAGCATCCGCGCGGAGTCTTTTCAAGGTGCGCCTAACACTCTCTACCGTACCTGAGAAAAAGTCGATGCCTGTCTTTCCCGGTACCCGCGAGTCCATGTCTTTCTTCTTCCTCTCTTTCTCTCTACGTTCGATCTCACCAATCGACTTCTCCTGTCGTATCCAGACCCGAAAATTCGTGAATCTTGAAGAACGCATCTCTGTTTCAGGTGGTACCGTTTCTGATACGTCGACGAGACCCTTCTACAAATCAAGTTCCCGAAAGTTGCCTCGATGAATCGAGATCCCGAATCTCTCGTCTTCTTTTCCTCATCTTCCTGGAGAGTTTTTTTAATTGCTAGATATCTCGATATTGTGCATTTTCAGAGTAAGAGTATACATTTCGCCAATTTTCACTCCATCTCATTATTCATGCCGTGATATTCCGTGATAGAAATTCGTAATTGTACAGTAGTCGTAATTGTATGGCAATGTAAAATAGGCTGAAGAGTGAACCGTGAGTGTCCTCGTATGTAGGTCGTCACGCGGGAATTAGCACTAACTGAGTTTACATTAAGCACAAATTTATTCACGTGAAAGTACTAATATCGCTACTTTCTTCGGTGGCGCGTAAACAATTTAGAACAGTGCGTAGACGACAGACGATACCCGTATTTACGATATCGCGCGTTGTTATTACGAAGTAGTTATTAATCATTTAAATTTCTTGCTTTTCATCATTTACGAGTCCTATCATGAATGTATTATTCCGATGACTGGTTTCATTCATCGCTGCAGTTTCATTACCTTTTTAATGGCCCGTCTCATCTTAAATGAGTCGTATGCAGAGAGGAGCTAATTGCTAGGCAAAAAACCACAGAATTACGTGTGAACGTGGACGAAAAAAGAGGAGGCGAGAAAGAAAGGTGAGAACTTTCGTTTCGTTCATTCAACAAGGTGTGCAAGGTGCAAAACTTCTTCTCTCTCTTTCTCCTTTCTGTACTGTACTTCGTGCTTACAACGATAAAACGGAAAAAAGCAAAATAGATCAATACCACTAACCCGCATAACGATATACAATAGCGTGCAAAATAATATACCTGCATATATGTTTCACTTATTTTTTGTATCGTACCTGCAAGAAGAGAATACGCTCTAATGATGTGTAGGTAGTCAATGAATATAAAGACAGAAACGAGTTTTGTCAATCATAGCAAAGACGTTTTCCTTCTTCTTCCGTCGCTTTTTAGCCTTTGATCGCTTCGTAAGCATCAACGAAGCGATGGATGCAAAGATGGAGCCAACAGAGATGGTAGAAGACGAGACGAGGAACAACATGGAGAGAAGCAGAACGAGAAGAAGATCGAGAACTCTCAGATACGAAGGCTTCACTTCGTGGGGGCCTTGACCTGACCTCGATCCTCGGACGAGTTCACTCTCGCCGGCGTCGACGAGAGGAAAGTGTTCCATCAGCAAGAGCGCGCATGGCTACCACCCGGTTCAATGTATCGGATTAGCGCTTTAGTTTGCGATGCTGTGTATTTATGCGATCCGATTCGTCGTATATATGTAATACGTATGCGAAGGGGAAACTTTCAGATTTTGCTTGCTTGTGGTAAGTGAAGCACGTGGACGCCGATGCGTCTGCAATATAAAATCTGATGAGCGGATAGAATAAACGAGTGATACACTAAGAAAAAACTTAGCGGAAACAAAGTGAAAGTTTCTTGAGATCCGCTATATATTATATATCATATCGCGAGATCACAAATATTTGAGAAAAGGAAAGCAATAGTACGTAGATTTATTTCTATTTTAGAGTACAAAAATACGCAGATAAATCTGCGTTTACGTTATTTTTTATATATTACGATAATTTACGAAATCTTTTCAAATTGTGTATTTTTGATAGAATTTCTGTCAATTAAGATAATTATACATTAAATATTTAAGATATTAAGATATATAAAAAAATTCTCAACACTTTAAATATATTACAAACAATAAAAATTTTTCAAAAACTTGTAGAAAATTTTAATGTTCCAATCTGCGTTTACGTTATTTTTCATTACAAAATCTCGTTAAATTGTCGTAATTTTGATAGAATTTCTGCCAATTAAAATTATTATACGTTGAATATTCAAGATATTAAGACATACAAAAAAATTCTCAACATTTTAAATATACTACAAACAATAAAAATGTTTTAAAAACTTGTAGAAAATTTTAATTTTTCAATCTGCGTTTACGTTATTTTTTATTACGATAATTTACAAAATTTTTTTAAATTGTCGTATTTTTTATAGAATTTCTGTCAATTAAAATAATTACACATTGAATATTTAAAATATTAAGACATATGAAAAAATTCTCAACATTTTAAATCATATTACAGACAATATAAATTTTTCGAAAAAACTTATATAGAAAATTTTAATATTCCAATCAGATCGCTTCAAAACTTTTCTTGATTTTAATATTTATTAGACTGCTTTAGTCACGTACTATTCATTTAAATACTCAGTTGCCTGTTAAAATACCGATGCATTTTTACAAATTTTTTGATAAGAAGCGTGAGAAGGCAATCTGGACCGATGCAGAGATTCGGTTGACCACCTTCGGGCCCGAACAGGCGGTCAACGCGGAGAAAGTCAGCCGCCCATCTTTTCTTCGCGCATGGATACATCGGCAGAGCGAGTTATAAAATACTCCTGGATGTCTCCTTCGTTTTTTCATCCTTTTTTTTCTAGGCAAGAAATCTTCGGGTCACGATGACGTTGAGGTGAAGCGAGGCGAGGCGAGGCAAGGCGCGGCTCGTACTCCTGAAAGAAGTCTGGCTTAGGCCCAACTCACACACATGATCGGGGACCACGTCGATGCGTCCACGCACATTCCATGTGAAAAACCGTTAAACGTTCCGCGCGACAGCCATTGGAATACATTAATTTCAAAGACCATTGACTAGTTATAGTATCGGCCAGCGCCGGCACCGTACCATCTAGAAGAAGATAATTTTAATTTACATCTTTAGCTTTTAGAATAAATACGACGAATGCAATAGAAAGCGAGAAGAAAATTGCAGATGAATAAGGGATGAAGACTCGATAGCAATGCAATATTACGAGATATTTAATCAAAAAATAACTGTTATTAATTGAAATCGAGACATATTATTAGAGAAGCGGTTTAAAATTATATTAAAAATGAGAAACCCCATAATGAAGATGAACAGATGAGTAGTGGTAAAAGTGTTAAAATCGCGATTTCATGTAATAAGTCGTGCGACGCTGGCTGATAGCTAGCGATCACGCAAGGGTTTAAACCATCGCAGGCTCGTATAACATATTATAAACACATTATAAACACATTGGAAAGTTGTATGTGGAGGCGTATGAACGAAGCATCATCTAGTAGTGATAGTACAGAAATATCCTGTATGATATACCTTGTCGAAAGCGAAATCGTAAACCAACTTATGCCGAGTGCTTGGCCAAATAAAACGCGTCACTTCTCTCTATCAGTGCAATATTAGATCCTTCGTTGACGCAATATTTTTCAAAGAGATTTCCAGAATAAACTACTTATAACTCGCAATGCGTTTAATAGCGCATAATCATGTAGGAGAAAAAGAGAGAGACGCAATTCAATAATAAAAATAAATGTCGAGACAGTCTCTTATCTTGTCCTAGAAACTAATTATGACAAGTGACTCAATTGAACAAGTCATTTCAAGAATCACCCGGACAGACGCCAAATAATATATGCTACCGCAGATAATTCATCTTTAATGCATAAGCACTGCACATGTGTCCCTCTTTGAAAGCTCTGACAAGTAGGCAGTTTCTGTCGCAGCTGCTATATATCTTCACCGATATATTTATCTTGTAAGAAAGAGATATCTAAAATATATCTAAATTCTTTGACAAGAGCAGTTTTGTAGATTTCTCGGATTGTTTATATGCAAAACGCGAAATCTGAAATTAATAAGAATTGCAATGATGATCGATTGTACTTATTTCCGCTTTCAATGTGGATATTCAAAGAACACCCACATTCCACCTTCTATCGTTTGGTATCGGTACTTTTGGTGCCTTTGACCTGTGTCGAAACGTCTCTCTCGATTCGATCGTGCTCCGATCTCGTCCGCAGGAAGAGGCCAGTGGTGCGTAGGCACACATCATCTTTCTCTCATTTTTTTCTCTCTCTCTTTCTTTTCTCGTTTTCTCCCTCTTGCATTATGCGCGCATGTGTGTGCGTTTTACGCATACAGGGCGGATTTGTCGGGAGTCAACACACCCGTTGTGTACACAAACGACTTAAGTAAGTAAGCACACACAGGTAGACAGGAGAGGAGAACCAATGGAGAAGGATCGGTGGTGTGCAGGCGCGTCAACGAGAGACGCACACGACAAGAACGGAATGACCGCCTGAAGAAGAACCAATAGCTCGTATGGATTGTAACCCGGCGGGGGCCATCCGGTGGGGGCCATCAAAATTTCAAAAACGTACGCGGGCCCCTTTCGCGACGAGGATAAAAGGCAGCAATCGCGATTCTTTCGGGCAGTGTCGATACGATCGCCGTACTCGTTCGAGCGTTAACGTGTAAGAGAAAAGGGAGACGAGAGAGAAGAGAAGGAGAGGAAGTGAAGGAGAGCAAGTTTCGACAAGTTGGAATAATCGGTTCGATTTCGTCGGTCCTCTTTTCGTTGTCCGGAAGTTCGGAAAGAATCAACATGTACAAATTGGCAATAATCGGCGCACTCTTCGTGGTATCCACCCTCGCTGCACCGGCATCGCAGGATGCGGAAGTGGCACCGCCCTCGATCATCGAGGAAGCTCTCGACGTGTACGCTTCTTGTTCCGGAGAGTCGAACGTCGCGGTGTGTCTTAAGTTGAAGGCCCTGCGCTATGTTGATCGAGTTGTCCGCTCGGCTGACATCGAAGTCTTCGATGGGTTCAAGATCGTGCAGACCGAGGAGGCTAAGAACAGGTAAGGGACAGAGCGAGGATTTGCTCAGGATAGTGATCGCTACGTTTTATGGTGATCGAGCATTAAAATGACGATAATCGACATCGAGTGAAACTGAGACGTGAGAAACGCGACAGGTGAATTCGTGTGGTGAATTAATACTTGATATTTCGATTGAATAATTGTATTTATAAATATTGTATTACTTTTTGTACAATGCCAAAGTGTATAAGATCATAATATAAAAAACATAGACAAAGCAATTATTGCAATTGGATCGAATTAATTAATTCCTTTATAAGATTCAATTTGGATTTATTTGAAATATAATTAGCATGAGATAATTCATAAATTTATTATTCCAACGATAAACTGTTAATTTTGAAATTAACTTTCTGTATTCTTACTTTAATCGTTTTAATCAATGAACGATGCTACTTTACTATGCAAGAAACTTAAATGTCCGGTCATAAAATTAGCATAGAAAGTTGTTAACGAACGTCGGAGGATATTTCGAAACACTTATGCAAATGATGAAGCGCACACTTCTTTCTTTTCAGCCGAGCTGACAATGCAAGGTCTCTTAATGACATTGAAAATACCTTACCAGTTGAGACAGAAGCCAAAGAAGCTGCAATTGATCAAGCCCTTGTAGATAGAGCTGCCAAGTTCTTATCTACACACACTGTCGAATTAAGCCTCCCGGAAGACGTTGCCCGTTCCTTTGACGAAGGTAAAATTAAATTAAATTAAAAGAAAAAAACATATATAATATTTATTTAAATATATAAAAATATTTTTACACTTTAAACTATAAAATTCCGTTATACTTTTGATAAGCTAGCTGTAGAATACGTCTTATTATTAAAGATAGAAAAAATTAAAATATCCACATTATTAAAAAAATTAAATATACACATTATTAAAAAAAACAACAGATTTATATTTTGGAATTTTGCTTATGTTTTAGCTCGTGGTAAGAAGAAGAAGATCGTTAAATCCCTGTTGCCCATCCTTCTCCTTCTGAAACTTAAGGCTGCTGCCCTTATTCCAATTGCCCTTGGTGCTTTGGCTTTGATCGCTGTTAAGGCTCTCATCATCGGCAAGATTGCCCTCGTCATCAGCTTAATCATCGCCCTTCAGAAATTGCTCGCTTACAAGAGCCAAAGTTATGAGGTAGTCGCTCATCCCGTCCATGATTACGGACACGAGGTGCACCACGATCATCATGGCTGGGCGAGATCGGCGTCCGGCTCTGATCTCGCATATAACGCGTACAAACCCGCTGAATAGCCCAATGTCACGTACAACCTTTCTTCCTTCTAACTTTCTACCTTCATTCGCCAAAGTGATCATCCTTAACCCGGCGATCACACCTGAGGGAGGCGTGGCTCAACTTCTCAGGGATCCGCTCGACAAGCTCAGCTCGACAACGCGGACTTATCGACACAAGAACGACTAGATCGAACGTAATTTTACGCGGACAGGTAAATTACGACTGTTAAACGAGGACGACTACTGGATTTTTTGTGCGGATTGCATCTTTAATCAATCACGCGACTCGACGACTTGACAATACCCAAGCCGACAATTGATAGAGATGCTATCAATCGCCATAGATGAAATTTCGACGTACATTACGATGATTTTACGACGGAACTCATCATTTTTTATCCACCACGACGAAAGACGGTATCCAGAGATTATGAGAATCTCAAGATTCTCAAAATAGTGGAACCTGACAGAATGATAGAAATCACGCCCCCTCAATCATACACTCGTGCGGTATCCTTTCAGAGTTATCCGTGTCTATCGTACGCGGAACGAACTCGTAGTCAATACTCGCGCGGGACCACCAGATTTAATCCAATGATTATTTATATATCGATCATCCCGTTGAGATCATTATGTGTAACTTATCATATTATTTATAAATAAATTGTAATTTTGTATAATATTAAAAATTTGTGTTTTTAGTTTTATTTTCCTCATTTTCCATTCCACGAAAATATCCTCTATTACAGAAAATATGAATCTTGCCTAATATATGACTATTTTGTATCATTCTTATATTAATATTTTATATCAATTATTAATATATCAATTATAAAATATTAATATAAAAATTATATAAAATATATATAAGTATTTTTATAATATAAAAATCTGAAAAACATGAAATATTAGAGAAAAAGCAAAAAAAAAGAAGATAAACGATTTGCAGACATGATTTTATAATAAAGTTATATAGAAAAAGAGGATTTTCAAAAGAAAAAACATTTAAAATTAACAATCTGTATCTTTTAACAGAAATAATGTATAATCCGCCGAAAATAAACTTAATCAATATCTTATTCAAATATTGTATCTTCAGATTTCATTTGTGTCCTAGATTCATTATACAAATTCGATAATTATATTCGCGCTACATACGCTCTCTCAATTTTCTTTGTCCAGTTAGGAAGCTTGTCTCATCAATCTGACGATATAACGATCTTTCCGACGCTCCATTCTTCGACTGGCGGAAATTACTCTCCTCGATGCATCCGGTGTATCAAGCGTATTATGCGCACGAAATACGAACCAAGTATACTTTCGCTGCTTGTAAAATCTTCAGAGTGAAACCAATTGTTCTGTCGTGTGTGAACGCCCCCTTGTCGTCTATATAGGAGAGCCACAGGTACAGAATGAACAGTATTTTACGGGACCTTCATTGCTCTACGTCTTTTCGGCGTGATGGAAACAGGACACTCTGTTGATTTTAAAACAGTAAAAAAATAATGTTATAATAATTCAAAAATGTGTGAAAAATATTCTAGAAGCTAAGTTCTAGATGCTTTTAAAATGCACATTATTTTATATTGTTGACGGTTTTTTGATCCTCCGAAACGGAATAACTTCAGTTGTGCAAAAGCTTCCTATATAATTTTTTTAGTTTATTTCAAATTTTTTATCAACTTTCTGTGTCCAATGTTTCATTTAATCTGAATACGCTTGAAAGAGTGGTCAAATTGATATGTCGAGGATGAAAAACAAATTCCGTTATCTATGTCTGCTTATTCTCATATCAACGAGTTTTACAGTGATCATGGAACCCAAAGAGCATATCACTTTGGATAACGAACATTCCTATAGCTTCAATGAAGCTTTCGGTACATGTCTATCGAAGAAGGAACACGGCACATTTGAATGCGTGAATCGTGGTATTTTATGTGCTTTACAATCCTGGCACGATAAGGACACTTTGGAATTTGGCAAGATGCGACTGGATCGAGCGGAAGGTTACAGCAGAGATTTTTTAAATTTAGATTACGATCCGAAGGATTTCGGAAATATCGTGAAGGCAGCCGCCAAATTGATGGAACGCCGAAATATCAAGTGGAATCTCGATAATCTATATCCTGGATTGCAAATGCGCGTCGGACCAATGTTAAACGGAGATGGAATACTGGAATTTGCTCTCGATAAAAGAGCTGCTTCGTTCGACGACAGGCAGACTGGCGGTCCAGGTAAAAAAACTGTAATATTAAATATATTATCGAATTTAAATTAACCATTTTTCAATTGCTCAATTAAACAAGTTCCTTTTCGCCCAGAAATTTTATGTTGAAAACTGATTCGAATTTATGAAAAAAATTTGTCCTAAATGCTTAATTATTGCTTTATCTGAAAATTTATTCGTAGTAAGATACGTAGAGATAAATATTTAAATATATTTTTATTCTTTCTTTATTCTTCCAACATTAAATATATTATCGAATTTAAATTAACCAATTTATTTGCTCAATTAAACAAGTTCCTTTTCCCCGCAGAAATTTTATGTCGAAAACTGATTCGAATTTATGAAAAAAATTTGTCCTAAATGCTTAATTATTGCTTTATCTGAAAATTTATTCGTAGTAAGATACGTAGAGACAAATATTTAAATATATTTTTATTCGTTTTTTGTTTATATATTCTTTCAATATTCTTCACGTACGTATACCTATGTCTTATATAATAACTATGAATAATGTAATTTAAGAGTTACGCATTAGTATTACAGATTCTTTTACAAAAGAATGATTATGTAAAATAGAATGCAAAATGCTTGCTTTAAAAAATTGCAGCTTGTTACATGCAGAATTACCTGTCTTGTTACCTTAGCACAGAATCAAACCTTACGCTCAGGTTCTTGTCCTGGATAAGCCGTTACGTGTGCCAACTGATTTCAAGAACGTCCTCCAGTAGGCAGCACGGCCAAGGCTACGTAACTGGTTGTAAATTCAAGGGCAATTTCTATCTTTTCAGGAAGACAGTTAACCAGACATATATTACTGCCATTTCTCTTGGGTTTCAAATTCAACTTGGCATCTCTAATTCCGCTTATGTTTGGTTTGCTGCTGATTGTGACCAAGAAGGCTCTGCTATTGACGAAAGTGGCGCTATTTCTAAGTGGTCTCTTAGGATGGAATAAGCTCTTTTCCGGAACATCTGCAACGTCTTACCCGGCGAACGCGTTCAATGACTTTCATACTTACGGATATGAACATGAAATACCAGCAGATGTTTATTCCCATTATGAGTATCATTATCCGCAGCGACCTTACAAAAAAACGTTACAAGACTATACTCCTTTTGATCAGCATGTCATTAGAGAAGTAGTCAATGTTTATGAAGGAAATAATGACTCGGGGCAAAATAGAAAAAATGCAAAGAATTTTGTTTGGACTCAAAATTAATTAATCGTACGATTTAAATATATATAATAAAATTTGAATAAATTACATAAACCTGTGAGAGTGAGTTACAAAAAGCAGAGTAGGTGAAGCACGTCAAATTTTCGAGTAATTTATAATTCAAAAATGGCTATTTCGGTAAATTTTATGAATTTATTATGGAAGAATCTAATTGAAATATTTCTGTCAATGACATCGTATAATACTAATCTTCATCTTTTAAATCCATTTTCAATTGCCGTTGCACGATTTTTTTTGGTGAGATATAGTATGAGTAAATTATAAGAAAATTTACGTTAAAAAAATTTACATAGACACCAATATGGAATCCAGAACCATATTAGATCCGCCATCCTAAAATTTGAAAAGATTTACATCTGTCAGGTTCGATTGTCAAAAAAAATCCTGTAGAAACATATTTAATACAGTTGTTACACATTTTGATTGAAATCATTAAATTTTTCTAAATTTTATTGTGATTCTGATCATTATATTGAATGACAGGTTCATGGCGTTCAAAAATTTATATTTTTACCCAAATTTTGATTCGTGGTAAGGCAGAGAGGTAAAACGGTTGATTTGGAATAGCTCATTGAATCATTATGCATGACCAGTCTTATAACTTGTACGTCTCAGTGAAAAAAAATTGTGCGGCGGCAATCGAAAGTAGAAGACTAATATTGAAAGGTGAAGACTAATATTATACGATGCCAGAAATATTTCAAAAAATTAAATTCCCTCATAATAAATTCATGAAATTAATCGAAATAGCCATTTTTGAGCTATTTAACCACAAATTACTCAAAAAATCTATCAGATTCACCTACTTTACCTTTTGTAATTAACCAAACTTAAAATTTCGCAAGACTGTGATTATCAATGTTTAAAAAAATCACATGATTTAAAATAACTGTTTTAGATTTAAATTTAGATCTCTAATACTTCACTGAATTATTTTAAAATATAAGAAATGTTTTATCAATTATTCTGATATTCATAGAAATAAATTTTGTGGAGAATTTAGATTTGTTGATATAATTTGATTTATTTTATGATATTCGATTAATTTAAGCATTTTTTTATTTACAATATTCACACATTCATTATACATATAAGTAGATAAAAATTGTCACTAGTTTTATTGAATATAATATTAAATGTTTCAAAAAACCAGTATACTACTTTTAAATGATTAAACAATATTAAAAAAGAAAAAATATTTATTTTAAATAAAAAAAGATAGAATAATTATAGTACGTTTTTTATAATAAATTATCATTATATTGTTACTACATTTTATATGCTACCATCCATTAATTATATAATTAAATATGTGCGTGTGTAAGTAATAAAACTGATTCAAGCATATTAAGAAGCACTTTATTTCTCTTATTAAATTTAGATTTACATAATAGCATAATATAATATTTTTTCTTATAAATATTGATTTATTTTATTCATGAAACTAAATTACATAACTATATCACATAATATAACATTAACTTTTAACTTCTTACTTTTGTTAAAAATCATACTTTTATTTTATTATTATTATATATTATTATATCAGATAGTTTTTATTAATATGACGTATAATCTCTTGAAACAAATTGCAAAGAAGAGATGCATTCGATTATTACAGCATGTCTAAATCACTTTTTTTTCTCTGCATTGTGTAATGATCTTTCTAACGAATTCACTGTCAGTTTCAAATACCTGTCTATTAATTCAAAGAATCCCAAGAATTGTCATTGGGATCCTGGTGTTTTCACTTAGTGATGCCATTAGTCTCGACTCATTATTGTATCATCTTTTTTTTCGGTCGTCTAACTGTACCGGTAATTCTCTTTTCAATCTTACCTTACACCATCCGCAGGAGCGGTAATGGTTACATCCGGGAAATGCATTTACTCATAAAGAAAAATACTACCGTGTCTTTACGGTCATGCGAGTATATGTATGGCCACATGTGTATAACACTCTTTGTCAAGTTTAACAACTGAGGCGAGAATCGCATGATATAATAACAGATATAAAAATTTCTTGTTTGCTTAATTATTTGTCTAATAAAGATGTATGTAGTCTGAAAAATAAATAATAATAATAATATAAAGGAGAAACTTTTATTAAAAGTACATGTTTACAAGTACAGACTTCTTTGACGGCTAGGAAAAGTGGATTACACGGAAATATAATACTTTACGAGGAATGGCAATGTTACTGTTGAGATAGTACTATTCGGTAAAGAGACCGTGACAAAACCTTACGTTTGTACGTATGCTTTCTTCTTAATAATTACTCCTACTATGTCATTAGAATCGTGGAGAGTGAAGTAGATAATGAATACCTCCTATAATCGATGTCGCTGTGTAATCGGAATTCACCAAGATGATGTGGAATTGAGCTGCTATGATAAATAGCTTACGTCCGAAAGAGAATTAAATGCATTGAATACAGTGGACAGCGTTAATCAAATCCATTATTGTTGTAATTGCTGTTTCTTTCCAAATGTAGCTCGTCACGGAGCGTAATCTGTGTCGAATTAACAGTATCTTAAGTGCTACGTCAAGTTCCTTGGCCTTGATTAATCATCATATATTGTATAATATACATATAAAATTTATACTTGATATAATAATTTCCATTTTTTTGCAATAATTATGTAATAACTAAATAACTAAATATGTAAACTTTTATAGCGAAATATATTTCCTTCTCATTCACTGCATTTTTTAAAAATGTACATTTCTTTCTACGTCAAAATGTGTAACACAAAAATATATTAATCAAAATAAAATAAAATAACAAAAGTAAAAAAGACAAGGTAAAATACTTCTTGAAGATATTTATAGATTGACATTAAGGATAATTGCTCGTATTCTTATCTACTTGTACAATATTCGACAATCTCTTTAATAGCAAATATTGTTGTAATCTCTCAGAAATCTTCTACGATCTCTAATTAATATAATTCAATTGTCCCTATAATTAAAAATTTAACAATCAAAAATTTTACTGCTCTTTTTACTACAATAAATAAATCAATAATAATCATTAAACTATTTTAAATATCTGAGAAAGAGATAAAAAAGAGATTTGCATTAACTTTTTGATGCATAGTGGTATGAAAAATGTTTCATTTTTTTAGTACTTGAACGTGCTTGGTGGAGACGTTATTCATACACGTATTATCTTTAAATCGTGAAATTACTACAAACACAGAGATTTACATTCTATTTTATCTATTTAATATAGTTGTTAATCATATTTTACCAACAGATTTTTATTATTTTGTGTAATTTTGTATCGCAAATAATTAAAATAAAACTATTTTGTCACATTTCATAAAAATAAAATTGGGCGACAAGACATATTTTATTGTAAAATTTGTGTGGTTTAAAGAATTGGATATTAAAATAGATTAGTAATAAAAACAAATAATTGGCCTCGAAAATAAGAAAAAATGATTCTACATAATTTTGTGGCAAGCAAAGTTACTCGTGCATATAAATCTGTGAATAATCTTCACTCGTTTCTTTGATTTTGCACGTACAGTTACGCCCGGATGAAAGAATATCGCTTGTTTTACCTGCATTCCAATGTGATCTTAATACGTTGCTATTAACGTTGGCGCGGCGGAGTTTTAAGGATCGTTTAACATACAGGTCATAGCGATACTTACTTACGGGGCTGTACGACATTGTTTTGGTTGAGAGGACCTCTCCTTCCGTTGTTGTGGCGTTAAACAGCGCGTGGATCAAATACGGGTGCGTATACTAAGAATTATAATGCGTTTGGTAGGAGAGACTAAATGGGTGCACACTTATATAAGTCACAATGCAACCAGATTCTTCAAGTAGTCGGTGAGATTTAGCTGACCAGTTGACCAGTAGAGAGAATAAGATAGAATTGTAATAGAAAAAAAACTGATGGTCATTCTGTTTGAGATAACTAAAAAACACTTGGAAACGAAACATCGACGACGTGAATGACACAATCAGAATGGAAAAGCGACGTTCAACAATTTGGATTTTACGTTTCTTTCATCTTGCGATTTTCTTTAATTTAGTGACCGCTAAAAGTGAATATACGAAACTGTTCGAACGGTGCACGAAAGAGAAGAACACCTTCGATTGCTTCAAACGACGCGCCTTGGAAATACTTACAATAGCGACTCAAGATAACTCTGTATATAAGATCAATGACTACATTTCCATTACCAAAGATGTAGCATCAACCGCGAGAAATTACAACTCGATGACATCTGAAAATGATACAAAATTAAGTCTTGATGAGAAATTAGATAATAAATTTTACGAATATATATCATCGAGAAGCGTGAAGTTAACAATACCAGGCAATGCTTTTGAAGGTAACAACATGTACACATATTTAAAAATTATTAATAAATTGTTAAATTAATAGTATTAAAAAAATTTTGCAAAAATAATTTTGAATATTTTAAATTAGATTATTGCGACATATACAGGGTGAAGCAATATCTTTGTCTTATCTGGAAAAAAAAATGAATTTGCAACGAACAGCGACATATTTTTCTTTAAATAATTATATGTTTTCTTTATTCTTATTAATTGATTCCTTTCATTATTTCATGCTAAAATTATTAAAAATAAATAATAATATATAAAATTATTAAAGTAAAATAGTTGAAAAATAAATATTTTACAAAATGTTTTGTAGTTTATATAAAATTGTCAACTTAAAGAATAAAATATTTTGTATATTATTCAATTTTTGGCTATCCTACCTTAACTTTTTATGTAAAATATTGTGAGAAATTGGTTTATATAAAAAAATTAGGATGATTTCATTTAAGAAAATAAAAATAATTTTGAAATCTCTAAAGTGCCTCTATTTACGGAAGAAATATTATTGGAATATTATGGTTTTTTTGATATAATTTTCGTAATTAGAATTTTTTCATATCTCTAAAAATAGCACAGATATACAAGTTGACATAGTTATTATCTCACTATATATATGTATATCATAATCTAAAATATCTTATTATTAATATTGCTTCATTCTAAAGCAGTAAACTGCAATGGATATCCAATTGATAGAGAAAATTTAAAAAAATAATAAATTTTTAATAAAAATTTATAATATTTTAGGCAGAAAAAAGAAGGGCCGTTTTGGATATATAATAGTAGCAGGAGCAGTATTAGCAGGTAAGTTTCCCTTATAAAGGATTTAAAAAAGTAATTTTAATATCAAAGTTGATAAGAGTTTATAATGGTATAATCAAGAGAAAGAAAGAGAGAGAGAGAGAGAGAGAGAGAGAGAGAGAGAGAGAGAGAGAGAGAGAGATGAAAAATTTAATTAATATTTAATTTTATAAAACTTTCAAGCAATATTGCTCATTTTTTAAATCAATGCGAGAGAGTGTAAATATAAAAAAATTAAATAAAGAATAAAATGCCTTTGTCTGCTGTTTTAAAAGTGATTTTTATGTTATATGTTTTCTCATTTTGACATTTAAAACGAATAAAAATTTGAATTATTACAAAATTCTTATTTCTTATTATTTTTAATATAAATCTGAAATCAATCATATTAGGATATAAAATTCACTTTTCTTGTTTACGAAAACATTAATTATTTGTTTAGGTATGATGGCGCAATTAGCTTATGGAAAAATAGCTTTCCTCGCCGGTACAGCCTTGTTGACAGCGAAAATGGCCTTAGTTTTAAGCGCGATAGTTGGCTTGAAAAAGCTTTTCTCAAGCGGAGGAGGTGGTCATGAAGTAATTTATGCGACAGCATCCGAACATGGAGGAGGCGGTGGCGGTGGTGGATACGGTGGCTGGCAACGAGCAATGGAAGTTGTTCCACCAACTTGAATTATATTTGACATTATATCACAAACTCAAAATTTTATGATATAGTTACCGAATGTAGTACGTTTTTCTTAATGCATCTAAAAAGTGTTCTGAAAATATTAATTATTATTTATTATTTTATATATTTTATATATTTATTATTTATATATATTATTTATTTAAAATTGATACACACATGTATTATATATTATTTATTTAAAATTGATACACACATGTATTATATGTAATATTGATACACACATGTATTATATGTAATATTTCTTTTTCCACTCGGCACAAACGTATTATTTCACGAAGAATAAACAATACGTAATGACGTTAATTATCAAAAGTGTGTTTTAGATTATTTATCTAATATTTTCCGTTAATATTAATTTATATTAATTAATTAAAATACAAATGTAAAAAGAGATGATATTTTATTTATATATTTTTAAGTTATTATGTATTTGAAATTCATAATTTAATGTTATTATAATTTAATTTTTATTATTTTATAAAATAAAATAAAAATAAAATGAAAAATATAAAAAATAACCTTCTTATAGAATAACCTTCTTATTTAAACAATATCAAATATAAAATAATATGCGTTTACAGTTAATTTTATAGAAAATCACAATGTGTATAAAAAAATTGTAAGGGAAAAGGACGGTTTAATCTATTTAGAAAGATTTTAGTATTAATGAAAAATAGAATTTAATTAGAATTAGAGAAAATGTATGTTAAACACAGACTCTTACATATTATATTATATATTATACTAGACTACTAACAGCAATGTTAGAGTTGAAACAGGACAATCATTTACAATTAAAATATATATATATATATATATATATATATATATATAAATATTTATATATATAAATATTTGACGAATTAATCGAACGAATGCATTTCGATTCATCTTTTCGTTTGGTATATATAAATATTTAATTCGCTATTCGACTTGCGTTCCGACTCGCTTTTTTATTCGATATATATAAATATTTAACGAATTAATCGAACGATTGCATTCGGCTTGCCATTTTACTCGCCGCGTTACAGTGAATATCGCGCGAGAGAGGCAGGCAACATGCGCGGCGTCGTGCACGATTAGACCGTCCGCGCGCAGACGAAAGACGGCCAATTTATATCTCGACTTCCGGACGTGATAGCGATTTCGTTCTTTTTGCATAAAATTCTACACTATTTCGCGGCAACTACGTTTAAATCTCATCCCGATCGCCCGAGGAGCGGCTGACTTACAGTGAATATCCGAAATCTGCTTCTTGGACTCATTTGTCAGACTTAAGTGTAATATTTATACAGGGTGTCCGTCAATTTTCGACCTTAACGAAATAAAGAAGTAGATTGGCTCAAATTAAGAAGGAATGACTTGTATTGTCGCAATAATTAATGAAATATCAAATAAAGAAGATCGGCCAATCTGCGTCAGTAGAAGCGCGCGGCGACGAGAGTCGTCCCACTGTAATCCGATACTACGAGCGCGGCGAAGCGGTGAGCGGGTCGCTCTCCGAGACATGATGGTGGTTTGTGATATATCGCAATACCGCGTCGAAAAATGACCCGTCCTTTTAAACTTAAACTTATTTCACATCTCACCATATGAGATGGCCTTGTTAGCAGTCTAGTATATAAATAGAATCCTGTGGTGTTACTCTCATCATCAAGACATCACATTGTTTTCTTTTCTTTCGTATATCTTTTAACACTTTATGGTATTTTATAAAAAACTACTATTTCAAATTCAAAATATATTATAAAGAAATAAAACAATATTATTCATTTATATATTGTTTATGATTAATATCATGTTTCTTTATTATATTATATCTATATTTTTATTCTTAAAAAGACAATGCATTGATATTTGTATAATTTTGGATATACATATACATTTTCTATTACAAGATAATTATTATCTAAATTCATCTAATATATATTTGATATATATATTTAATTTGATAACCTTTGTCCTTCAATAGTAAATATTATTCTAGTGTAAAATATTTTAAGATAAATTTGCCTTGTATAAATAATTTTATAAATTAGTTTAATAAATAATTTATAAATACTTCATTTGATGATATTTTTGTCAATTATAGAATACTTAAAATTTAGTTTCATCAAACAATCCGTCGTCGCTTTCGATGTTCATAGACATAATCACTACGTTCATCTCCGTAATCATTACGGTGATCGTAATCAACGCTTGAGCTATGAGTCTGTACGTAGCTAGTATGTGGATGTTTCACTACTTCATAAGAAACACTTTCATGATCTGAAAAAAGTATAGTTAAGTAAAAAATTTTATTTAAATTAATAATCTATCTTTCCGTCATATGTATAAAATCATGAAATGAATTTCACACGCAAACATACACATACACACACACACACACACACACACACACACGTGTAAAATTCTATTATATATATATATATATATATATATATATATATATATATAACAATTAAAATAAATAGAATTTTATATAAGAAAATTGGTTCATATAGTTCCCCAAATTTATACATCTTTTATATGTTTTTTTTTTAAATATACTTTTTCACACATATTTCATATATATTCTCTAAAAATTTTAATTGTAATTTTAATCGTAATTTCATAATTGTTTGCTACGAAATTATTATAAGAACAAATGTAATATATTTATGTAATATATTTATATATATATACTTTTTTGATTATAGAATTTTGAATTTATAATAAATATGCAGACGAATGTGAACTTGTATAAAAAATTAGATTATAAATTTCAATTTAATTTACCTACCATATCTACGTACCATGTTTTTTCAAAATTGCAGCAATAGCAATTGCTAAAGCTATTTTGGCAACCAGTACTGCTTTTCCTGCGAGAGCTGCAACTCCATTTAACAATCCATAAATCAATGCTGCTTTCATAGCTGCCAGCAAATATAATATCATTCTGCCACCTCTTTTTCTCTTCCGAGCAGAAACTGAAATTAAAAATCAGCGATTATTATCTTTAAGAAAAATCGCGATATGAACATTATTTAAATTATTTTAACAACATTAAGCAAAATTGAGATTAACATTGTAAACCAACATTCTCCACATGCATAATTCCAGATATATAAATAAATACTATTATTTATGATAAATAGTATTAATTTATAAAAAAAATAATAAACATATTTATCAAATATAATTTACAATTTATAGTTTTCTGTTAATATGTCATCATATAATTTCAATTTAATTATTTCATTCAATATATATTACTGATTCAGATTAAAATTATCCGATACTTGATAAAAAGTTAGAAAAAATGATCATCCATTTTTTAACTGTTTTTGTATTAATAATTTCTTATTTTTTTGCTAAATGTATCAAGGTTTTTAAAATTAGCAAGGTTTTTAAAATTATACATAATGAGTCAATAAAAACGAGTATACATCTATATTTTTTTAATGATAATTTTGAATGAATATTTTTTACAAAATAGAAAAATGATTAGTAAATATTTCTTCTCTTTTTACTTAATATACGATAATACACAATGTATTTGAATCGAAATTTTTGAGATATTTTTCTTTTCCGTATAAAATTGCTTCAGGAAATATAAGAGATACAAATAAATTTACTATCAATTGTGTTGTAAATGAATTTACAAGTTTATTTAAAAGCAAAATTATTTTCTCACCTTCAGCTTCGTTATTGTCATCTAAGAATTCTTGTCTAAATGTAAGTTCTCTGCTGGTCCGTGTTTGATTTTTGCGATCGGATGTGGAATCGAAAGCTTTAACTGTCTCATTGGTTCCACACGTGTTAGTGTCATCATCGATACACTCGATTATCTCCGAAGATTTCGGCAAAAGCTTTCTGTTTACCGGCTCGCAAGAACAAATGGCGATAAAACCGCCTAATATCAGAAATCCGAGGAGCCGCCAAAGCATGTTCGACAAGAACTGACGGTTTGTGGAGATCATCATCATTTATAGGCGCTAGCAATTAGTTGTAATGGCGGAGCAAAGTGTTGTTACGACATACAGAGCGTGAATGCATCTATGGTAAAATGCATCATGCGAATAAAATTATTCCGACCAGTGCTGTAGAACCGGTATTCCGCATATTTCTACGCGCATGTGATGGTCGTACATAGACAATACATAATAGTAATTATTTCAATGTTAAACAGAGTACATGAAATGCAATGAAAGAATAAATTTCAGCAGTATCATGGTGTTGGTCTGAAAGTATGGAATAATGTATGTACGTGAAGATGTATGTGGTATGTAGAAGTTCGGCTCGCATTTTGAACATCAATTGAATTTATGCTTAGTGAGATGGATAGATAGTGAAGAAGAAAAAAAAAGAGTAGAGAGTTTTAAGTAGATGAAATTTTAAATTCATTTCAAGATCGAACAACAAGCATCAACGATTATGTTGGCCAGAGTAGCTGCTTTTTTCAAGTTACTACTACTATTTATTTTCTATTCATATATCATGTTATAGACTCGTAATTTATGCGTGAGGAAGATACGTTATTTCCGACATCAAATAGACCGACAATAGAAAAGTTATTAAAGAAAGTAGAAAGTAATGCGAAATATATAATTATAATTTACCGTGACTAATGCTTTATTCATCTTACATATGCGTATTTTGGAGTTGATTTAAGATATCTGTTAATTATTCAAAAAATGAGAATCAAATCTTAATTAAGCCTTCCATTTTGTCAAATCATTATGTCTGATGTTACATTCCAGCATTTTTTCAACAATATTTTAATTGCAAATAAATAATTTTAATTTTTATCTCACACATGTGTTATTTACAATTGCATTATTTTCAATGTCGTCAAACAGGAAGTGACAAGAGAAATCATTACATTACGATGGAAAAGTTGCTCTGATTTTATTGTCCATTATGATATATTAAATGCACGCATAAGCTAAATTAAATAGATAAGTAGATTGTCACCAAGTGAGTGAGAAGCTCACTTTTCACTTATTGCAGCTCCCACGATTCTTGCGCGCCAGAAAGTGGAGAATAAGGTCTAAAAAGCATGATCTTTTTCTTCGACGCGTGTTTTGTATGCCACTGGGCCAATCGAGCATCCTCGATTCACTACTGAGAATATGCAGGGTTACAGCCTCCGAAGGTTACCAGCTATATGCATCCTAATATGACACGAAGAATGCAACTTCCGTACTTTAATATCTAGCATCTGAAATTCTTCGTATATTTTCAGTGTTGATAGAGGTATAATTCAAGCCGTCATTTTCTCCAAAATAAATGTTTACCATTTAATAATATATCTTCAACAATATTATTATATAGTTTTAATTAATTAATTTTATTTATGTGTTTGTAAATTTTGTTTTACGTAAATTTAATTTGGTATTGTTTTCTTTTTGCTCGGTGATGCCTCGAATAATTCTGAGATTATTAGAATAATTTTCTGCCGTTACAGCGTATCGTCTTAATTAAATCAATTCCAAGAATATGAATTGTGGTATGAGTTCCCTCGTTTTACTCTTAAATCGTACTAGATTTTCGCGGACAAGCATGATCTGGTAATGAGCTAGGTCGGAATCCTCCGCGTGTGAATCGCTAGAGCCACCTGTTGCTGATCGTTGACCTGAATCTAATAACAGACAGAAACGACCCGTTCTTGTCTAAAATATCTCTCGAGAAAATCACTCATGACGGCATAACCTATTGCCTCACTTTTATTATTCCAAGCTATGTTTTATCATAGACAGGTTCCTACACAGATGAGATCTTTGTTACGTGAGCCGCCTTTTCTATTTATATTCTGGTTTAGTAGAATTAGATCCAACGAAACGTGGAGTTTATTTTAATTTTCAATTTTCCTCAGAAAGAACAGTATATTGTCGTGATACAATAGTGATTCAGAAAGTATTCTTTCGGCAAGCTTCCGCGAATTAGACGCCGACAGACAACCGGAATCATAGATGTACCATCATTAAGATAAATGTTTCGTTGAAATGTCCCACTTGTCTACTTTTGCGAACAATCGAAAGTCCAACGCATTTGCGACTTAAAATTTGTGCGGTGTCGGATAATTACAAAAATAATGGAACCCAACCGTACGTAGGCTCGTTGCGGGCAGAATCCATTTTTCGCACCGTTCGTGTGAATGTAACTGCGCGTTTAGAATGTGGCACGGGCCTTAATACAGTTAAACACCGTCTATGTGGGCCCGTGGCACTGACTATGGGATAATCGCGAAGTAGGTAACAGCATGGCATAGAAGATGCATCGTTGGCTGTTGTCGCATTAGAGATGCGCTAACCTCGATTGAGTGTGTCGCTGATGTGTCGGACGCTCAGCTTCGCGCTCCTAACGAAGCGTGATATAACAAGAAAATACATCCGGCGATCTCATGTTGCGAGTTTACACACGTTATTAATCTTTTCGAACGCTATGCTTTTCTACTCGGAGGATGCGCTCGCATTTTTTCATCCTTACAATTCACGTCGATCTGTTAAAAGAAATATAATGCGTTTATTTCTATTAAATATACCGAAGTAATTATTTTATAAAAAAATTTTTGTACAATTATTAAAAATTATTCTTTAATTATTTGAAAATGTTATTGATCTTTTAATAATTACAAATTGATATGAAAACAATATAACGAATATTTTAACGGTAATTAATATACGAATGTACATTAAGATTGATAACAATAAGTAAATTAGCCAATTATGTACTATAAGATTGTGTATCTTCAATATTCGTAAAATTCGTTATTAATTTCCATTTGCATTAATATTATAATTTCTATTTATTGCACCGAAAGTGAGCTGATTTATGTAACACATCTTGATGATTATATACAAGATGTATGCAATCAAAATGTAATTTGTGCAAAAGTGAGACATAATACAGTTGTAAATTTATTGTTATGTAACGTAGTATAATTGCATAATTACAAAGTTACCTGTGTTACGCTTATTTCACATCTTGCTATCAATAAATACTACTATAAATCTGGAATAAAATATACCTCTCTTGTAAAAACATATCTAATTAAAGAAATAATTAGCAAAAATAATTTCTCTATTTATATAATAATTATTTCATTATATTTATCTGAACTTATTTGGAATGATAATTAAAAACTAGCTGATAAAAAAAGCAGTCGAAGAAGCATTTGCAACGATTCGCTACATTTAGCATAAATACGAATTCGATTTATTATTATTGTTAATTCTACAAATACCGCACAATGAGTCTGATACACAGATTCAGGGAAAGTAGATCATCCTTGTTGATAATTTCTTACCCATTTCGTGCCGCAGGGAAACCTATGATAGGAAGGTCACAGAGGCTGTCCGCAACTTGGAACTAGTTTCTAGCATCCTCACGTTATGCGGGGGTCAAGGAGATCACGGTGCCAGGTACGTTGCCAATGAAATCCACGATAATCCCCTCTGGTCTCATCCCGACGTTGCCTTTCCTCCCGCGCGAGATACGTATCTCGACTGCATACAAACATCGCGCGAGAAACCTATACACACGGTTCTTCTCCGGTATATGTACACAGTGTTCACCACGGCGAAATTTAATGAACGAATCGCGTGGCGGCTGTTCAACAACGATGTCGATCTCGAAGCGCGAGTGGGTCTCTGTGTCAAGAAAGGTCACATGCTCTTGGCGCACTACCATCATGAGAATTTTTATCCCGTCCCCCGCGCCGCGATAGCAGCTGTCTAGCGCGCCGACAGAGAAAGAAGAGGATGAAAGGACAAGAGCTCGCGAAGAGGAGAGAAGAGGATCATCCACTCATACAGTGTAAGGTCGCGTCGTCACGTGCACCGGCACATCCGTTCGTTTATACCAGAGAGAGATACCTTCACCCCTTTCGTGAAGGATGGCATCTAGATGGATGGCTCCACGCTGGTATATATCGGTCCGACGACTTCGTCCTGGCGCCAGTTCTCTCTAGTCGAGGATCATTCAGCACGTGAGTGCGCGCAACCTCTTGTAGTATCTCTGGTTGCGAATTTCGAGTCGCGTGTCCCGTGTGAGCCCGACGAAAACGAGGTGTCTGTGATAGTCTTCCAATTTTTTTTGTCCAATCAAGCATTCGCGAGTTTTGGGAAACCAAACGTTCAGATCTAGGATGTCGGCGATTAAGAATTTATCGAAGTGCGTGCTGCTCTTGTTAGTATGCAGTGCAACTATTCACGCCGACGAGGACGACGGATTCCTTGAGCGAGGATACCGTGCTCTTTATCGCGTCTACGAAGAGTGCGAGCATCGGAATTTGGCTATATCGCCATGTTTGAAGAAGAAGGCGATCACCTTCTTCGAGAGGCTTGGTCGTATACAGACCTTACCGATCGGCGACAATCTCGAGCTGGTCAGAGTCGCGTCCTTGGCGAACGATAGCTCAAAGGGCGTCGATCTGGAGAAGACCTTGGCGAGAACCAGCGGAGGTGCCACCGACGAGATCCTCAACGATATTTTATTCGAGCGCATAGCTGCGCTGTTGAACAGCTTCAACGTGCAGATCAGCTTACCAAAGACAACTTCCGGTGACTTAAAACGGAGCCTCGAAGAAGGTCGCGGGAAGATGAAGAAGATGATGGGTATGATGATGATGGGAATGGCGATGAAACTCGCTGCGCTAGTTCCCATCGCTATAGGTGTACTTTTTCTCCTGGCTGGCAAAGCGCTCATCATCAGCAAGATCGCCTTGGTGTTGTCGTTGATTATCGGATTGAAGAAATTATTGAGCCAGAAACAGAGCCACGATCACGGTGGCTGGCAGCAAGGAGGAGGCGGTTGGGACAGGAGTTTGAAGGGAATCACAGGCACACCAATTCCATTAATGACGGAAGCTGATCGTCAATATGCTCAGACTTTGGCTTATGGCGCGCGGATGCAGCATTAAACGATTAACCGTTGAACTGAAAGGAGGAGATTTTCAGGTACCTGGGAGAGAGCAACGCCTGTATCCAAAGGAACAGATAATACGCGATATCCGAGACAGTTCACGACATTGAAATAGATTTATTTATTTATTTTTATATTGATATATTTTATATACATTGCGCAATCCGTCTGTAAAATTTATACTCACGCACTGCATAAATTGTGAGGAAGAAAGAGTGTAACAATGAAATATATTAGTGACATTAATATCGAAATAATAAATTGTGAGGAATCATATCATGAAAATCTTAAAAATATCAAAAATAGAAAAGAAAATTCTAACAAACACGAACTGTCTCTCATTCGTGTAATTTTTTTTAGAAGTCTGATCGTTTTTTGGATGATTGTTGATATAATAATTATACCGCAATTTTTCGCTTTTTAAATTAACGATTCAGCCATAATGTAATTTGTCCTTCGATAGAATAATATAAAAAAATTTCTGTAAAAAGCGGAAAATGCGTGAACTACAGCTGAAATATAAATAGCTCTGCGTCGAGCGAACATAAAGCAAAAGAAAATGCAGTGGCAGGTGTTTGTATTTCCACTACCGACTGCCTCGGCAAATAATCCAGAGAAATGATAGCGAGAGAGTAATTTTCACGCACGCGAGCTTCTAACGGCGCCAGTCAACAATTTTTGTATTGACAATCGGAATCGCGATCAATCTCGAAGCCGAGCAAAAAGATGACTTAGACTTCATCGTTATTAATTAGCCGAATTTGTAGTCGTTTCTCAGCATTTACAATATTTATATTTATTTATAGTATTATACTCTGTGTAGAGAAGGAAAAATATTTATTTTAGTTATAAAATAACCTTAGAGAGAAGGAAAGAGGGAGAGAGGGAGAGTTTTTAGAATGTATATCTTGCGGCAAGTACTTATATATACATAAATATTTTTATCGACGTTACTAAAACCGTGTGTTCAGTAGAATAAGTGGACTAAAACACTTGAATATTAAAATATAGCGAATAAGATATAATTTAATCCTCTATCACTATTTTTTACATAATAACACGCATATATATGTAACATTTTAAAAGACTTAACATATTTATTAATGGTCGTAATAGATATAATATCGTTTGTTTCGCGTAGAATTTTTTCACCTTTAGAACGTCACCTCTAGAACGTCGAAAAATAATTTTGGCTTAACATACCTTGTTTATAAGTACATACTTGGACGATGCGATGCATTCTCGACAAGATGTATACATTCGACTCCCGAGAAACGATTATAAATTCGGCTTTGAGTGTTACTTTGTGCACACAGGCGCTCAACATTCTTTCTCAAAGCAAATATCGATTAATTACATAAGTTTTACCTGACTGTAAATTATTACAAAATAAACTCGTATGTCATTCCGACTTCTTTATGCATTCTTGATGCGCACCCTCCCTAAAAATTATCCAAAAATTAAACTTTGTCATCAGTGTACTTTTAATCCTAGAACAGCAGCGAATAGAGCGAAGAAGAATCCCGCAAGAAGCGTCGTTCCCTTGAGGAGGAACAGACCACCGAGTATCGCTGGTATCAGGGCAATGAATTTGAGCTTGTATGCCATTAACAACGCCAACATTGTACGGTCCATTCTCCGTCTACGTCTTGCTTGATCTAAAACTTATTATAAACAATATTATTAGAGCATATAAAATTTATTAAATCATAGAAACACCGAATTATGTATATTCTTAAAACTACACTATTATTTAATATTAAATTCCGTATTAAATAATAAAATATATAATAAAAATAATATATAATTTTACGTAATCAGTGTGCAAATGTAATAACGATTAGATTACGAGATAATTGAACGAAGTTCCTTACAATATGATTATATGATAATAGAACTTGTATGTATAAATTTAAAAATTAGTATAATAAAGAGCATTTTATAGGTATCATCAATTATTATAAATAAAAATATATTTTGAAATTTCCGAGAAACAAGAATATTTGCTATATCATATTTAATGAAAGCTATATTATACACATACACGGTGTAATAAAAGATATTATGATATAAAAAAATCCGTTATACAACGGTATTGTTCATCATGCTTCATCAGAAGACGGCACAATTCAAACTTAATGCTTGCTACTATTATATATTTTTTCGAGTCAGTATTGTATAACTGTTGGATATATAGAAGCGTTTCTGCCATTAAACACTTTATGACGCTGATTATGATTAGTTACCTCGTTCCTCTACTTCGCTTCTAGGTTGTGCATCAACGTCCTGAACGTGCATTTCAGCCAATGTATCTCTGGCGATGCGATCGGTTGAAGAAATAAGATCTTCGAACGTGATATTGTTGTACATGTACCTGAGGATCTTCCTGCTGAAAGTGACGGCTCTCTCCTCATCCTCTTGTCGCTTTTCTTGCAGAGATTTCGAGTATTCCATCGCGTGGCTGACACAATTCAAGGTCAGCAAAATCGTAATCAGATTAACTCTCGATAGCATCTTTTCCCGCGTTCATGAAGAACGGGCTTGACTGGAAATCCACAGAATCTACTCGTGGTTTCACGATCTCGCTCCTTGAAGATCTTATTTTATCGTCATGGCATCATCACGCACTGGTTGTTTGTCCAGATTACGCAGCATCCGAGCAATGTCTTCGAATCATCCAAATAGACAGACACTTTTTCTCGCTCGGCGATTCACAAGAGACGAGCGTTATAACTCGTCACATATCTCTTCCGTTAGTCGTGTTGCTCTTTTTTATTTTATACTCTGTATGTGTATAAAATTTTCGAATTAAAGTTTGACAGAGAGACACGCAGGTAGCGCGCATCAAGCACAAATATGGAAAGTATGGAAAGATAGAATGAACGGTGCAACGAACAACCGTGAACTAACCGATCCACCGTTGATTTCTGAACGACAAACCGACCGGACGTGTATGCCCCGTCGGGCACGCTTCAGTTGTCGGGAAAATCGGCAGTCCGTGAAAAATGAGCTCCGACTGGCGAGGCAGCGATATATACGCATGTGGTAAACACTATGATCCAAATTGTCAGTACCGATATATATGTCAGGTTACACTGTAGAACGGTACACGATGGAGGTGACCGTCATAGATAAGGAAGTTTCTGCGGGTGCTTCTACCACGCGAGAGAGAGAAAGTCCAGGCATATCTGCGATCAGATGCTTCACAAGGGCAGAAATGATTTTGTTAAATACGACAGTAACATGTCGCTGTCGTTTTGCGACCAATCCGATTTGTTCAGTTATGCCGACATCCGGGTTGAGAAAAACTTGATGAATGGCTCTCGCTTATATTAAATACTATCGCGATTTTATTTTTGCTGAATGTTCTTACCTCGAGAAAAGTCAATTTATAAATAATTGATAAAACACCAATAAAGTTCTGCATTTTATGCTAGTCGATACTAAACTAGTATTTTTTTCTGTTGGTATATCAATTAGAGTACTTTTAAATTTTATTGTAACTATAATTATTGGAAAATTCCAAATATTTTAACAAATAATTAATATCTCTTACGTAGATAAAATAATTTTGAAATTGACTAGAAAATTATATGAAAATACGTTACATTTATATTTTTCTGAAGTGTTTTGTCCAATTTTTTATAAATAAATAATTATGTTTTTAACTTAAAACTGATATTTTATTTAATTTCAAATAATTATATGTTTGAAATGATATCTGACAGATTTTAAAAACTATATTATTTTGTTTCACTTCACTCTACCCGCTTTTTAATTCCATTACGAACAAAAATCTCTTCTAAATCTCTCTCATCAATTGCTTTCTTCGTTAAAGCATCTTACACTTATCACAGAGCATCGCAGACTGCACTACAACCTACATTCTGCTACATATTTATCTGACCCATCTGAAATACTGAAGCACGTAGTTTACGTTTGAGTGCATACTAGGATGTTGCATATTGCTGTAATAGCGAGTAATATAAATGATCTTGTCCATTGCAGGATAAGAAATTAGAAATTTACGTGTTTAACATGCGGAGATTACAAATGATCGATCGTTTATAATTTCGACGAAGTCTATTTTTTAAATCACGCCCAACAAACATGCGGGTTGCTAATAAGCCACAACAGCTTTAAATGATCCTTGCAACTTGAGTATACTCTCTTCTTGCTGCGTTTAATGTACCAGTACATGAGTCCGAAAATATTTATACATTTTGTTCATCTAGTCACACTTTCCACTTGCGACATCTTAAAATAGCACAAAAAGTTACAATGTATTAAGAACATTTTTTTAAATAACTAATTAATTAATTGATTAATTAGTTTACTATAGATTAATAATTTCAAATATTAGTTTAATAATTTTTAAATATTAATTTAATAATTTTCTTTTGTTAATGACATAATTCAGAATATTTAAGAGTATCGCTTTATAATATAATACAATATTTAAATAAAACAAAAACTATAACTACGTCGAATGATAAAACAATGTATTTATTTATAATTATATAAAAAATTGATGTAGAAATTTCCGCGAAAATTTAATTCAAATTACTAGGCGCTTAAGTGATAGGCGGATTTTCATGGATATTAAGTTGCAAAAAAAATGTGGTAACAATGTAACAATTCTGCATAATTAAGATGGAGCATTGAATTATGTTTGCACATGAGATTGATGAAACAGTTGCGCAGCGTGAAATATTCCCATTTTATCGCGTGATTAATAGCTTGGTAGTGTTTTCGAGCAATTATCACCTTCTTATCTGCTCTGAAAATCACGAGTCACACTCTCCACATCGAACAAACTGATGTTTAACAGTCATTATCACGTCTACTATACTCTCTCCATGACTTTCTTCATTCTCGCGGATATTGCGTTCAGTCAATTTCACCAGTAATAAGCCTATATATACAATAATAGGGAATCTGTACGCACTGATTACTGCTCACCGATATTGATTCTGTCTTCTTTTTGAAAATGCAGTATTTCTAATTTGCATTATTAATAAAACATATCGCCTAATTGTCGGAGATATATACACAATGCTACTTTTGCATACTTTTATATTATTTACATCATATTAATATTAGTTACAATGTGTTACAATGTGTTTATCGCTATTGAAATTGTCAGACTAATTATTTGAAGATAAATCATACTGTCGCATTAATAGAATCTCTCATGTATGAAGCCGGAAAGCCATATATAATAATTTTATTTATGTGCTACTTAGATATATTACTTCACATTTCTTGAGAAAAAACATTGGAGGATAATTTGACTGTTTCCTTTACGAACTTGAATTTAAATGACATTAGCCTGAAGGGATACCGGAAGGTGAAATGAAGAAGATGAATACGCTGTTGATTATGCTTGTCAAATTGTCATTGATATATTTTATCATTATTTCTTTTTTTATAATAAATTTTTTTATTATAAATTTATATAACAATTATTGTTATATCCTGTAACTAATAAAATATAATTATATTTTTTATAATTATATATATAATTATATTTTTATATGTATAATTTTATATGTATATGTTATTAAAAATAATTATAAAATTATTATAAATTTTCTAAAATATAAATTGAAGAATACTTTTTTCATTTATTCATTATTAATCAGTTATTAATTATTTAAGCTTAAACATAAAAAATTAATTGAGTTTATAACAAATAAAAGAATTTTGTTAATGTGTCGATTACTGATATTACAAAATTGTAGCAAATTTTATGAACATAATAATTTATTATTTGCCAAATTTACTCACGTAAAACTGTTATTATGCCAGCTATGATTTTAATTTTAATGAATAAGTAGATACTCACAAAGGACATATAATCTGTTATTAGCAACATAGCGGCTCTGTTCCTAAAATGAATTTTTTTTAGTATATGTAACGGTATAAAAAGGTACTTAACCATAAATTGAAACACGCATGAAAGTCTCAAAAAATTATTTCCTGAATAAAGAAGTATGTCTATATAAATTGTAAGTAAATTACTTCCTCCCCTTCAGCAACTTATAAATAATAATACTATTTTTTGTGTGAGATCGAAATTATTTTCAAAAATATTAACTAATTTATATATATTATAGAATAATATGTGTGTGTGTGTGTGTGTGTGTGTGTGTATCTTAATATATATTTTATTTCTTTTACGTTTTGTCGCAAATTACAGATCGTCTAAGGTGAGATTTGTATGATAATATAATTTTTGTTTATAAATGTAGCAAATTAATATATTATCATTTATTGATCATTATTTATTGATTATTATTATTATTTATGTATTTCATTCTATTAGCTATTTTTATACATTGTTGCATATTTAGTTTTAGAGTAGATTTGTCTTGGGATCTTGATGGTTTAATGCGCTGAAAAAGGGTAAAGTGGGAAACTTTCACGATATTGATATAATTTGTAATAAATATATTGCGGTCCAATTATTGAGCTGACTCTTGTTGCCTATTTTATTTGTCATTTTTACTTGATTTTAATATACATTTTATTTATTTATTCATTATTATTATCTTACATATTGTTTATTAGTATTGCAACAATTAATATTATTTAATTAATTACCTGCAATTGTGACTTGCTCTTGGAATAAAATGATGTACTTTGAATTATTTCTGATTTACTTTTTAGCAATAAGCAGGGCGTAGGTCGTGAGGAAGCACATTTATTGTGCTGCAACTACTCGAGTGTGAAAGAAATTCAATTGATAATAGCTGTATACTCTCACAACTGAAAATAATGATGGTTGACGGGGAGAATGATCCATTTACTCCGGTCGAAATATTCTAGGGAAGATCCTTCGTCGAGAGTGGTCGATGCAAACAACGACCCAATGATCGAGGTAGACTATAGCTCAGGTGGTACGGGAATGGACGTTGGATCCTTCGTTACGCATCAGTACCAGGTTAGATGGATAGTCTCCTCCTCTGAGCTTTTCACGGTCCTAGTATATAAACTAATGGCCCGGTCTGGCATGAATGTCAGTTAAAATATTATTGGCCAACAAGTCGGTTGCGATCGCGAGATACGCGCAGTTTTTCGGGATAACGTGAACGTGTTGCAGAAGAAGAAAAAGAAAAGAACTTCAGATGCCAAAAAGATGTTACTACCGTACGTGCTGCTTTTACTACCCTTTTTCGTCACAGCGCAAGAATCGCAATCAATGAATACGCTGGATCGAGAGACGCTACGTAACAACGGTTCTAAAGATGTTTTAGATCGAATCGGTGAAAGCTTTATAAATGCCGTTGATGCATTTTTTCCTGGTTCGAAATTGTACAATAATACAGAAGGTACATTGATAATAATAAACATTTCTGGATAACTTTCTTTTTTCAATGCATGTTTGGTGCTTGGTACTCAGTTCTATTTCAATGTAACAATATGTAAGCAGATGATAAAATCATGAAATAATTTTCTGTAAAAAATAACATTATTAAAATATACTGACTATTATTATTATTAAGTTCGATCGATCCATTTAATAATAATTTAAAAAAAAGACTTATATATTTTATTTATCTTGAATTAACATTTTAACTTACATATTTTGCTTATCTTAAACTAAAATTTTCACTTATATTTTTTATCAAGTAGGAAAAAGAAATATTAAATTGATATACATAAATGATTGAAATTTGTTAACGTTAAGTTTTTTGAAAAAGAAGAGATAGTATTAATATCTTTATATTAGTACATTTGAATTTGTTGTTAAACTTTATTTTAATAACTGTATTAATGTTAGATAGAAAAAAGTTAAAATAATATAGAATTTAAGATTTAAAAAGCGCAAAAATTAAAATAACTAAATTAAAATAATTAAAAAATAAAATAATTTATGTGCAGTGTAATATCAAAGCATTGTTCGCGATTAATTGCATTTTGGTATACGTTGTTAAATACATAATTTGTTAAATTTTAACAAATTTTATATAAAATATCTTAAAAAAATTGCAAGGTAACAAGATAGCTATAATGTGATATATATTTTAAACTTAATTGTTAAAGAAAACTGAATTGGTGATGCGAAAAGAAATTATGAGACACCGCGTGTTAATCAAATGCCGTTAAAGAAGCGTGTAATTACATATGTCCATTAAATATGATGCTTTTGATACGAAGTCTCCCGGTACAAAAATATAAGTGCTCTTTTTCTACTCTACTTCATTTCATTAATGAAGTTCGTACTCCATAATGATCGTACTTAATAAGAAAATATACTTCGATAAAGCTTCGTATTTATCCCCCCTTTTGCGAGAAAGCAAGAGATTCTTCTATGATATTTAATATAATATTTAAAATCAACGCGTGATTAATGGAACACACAATGTATAGTACAATACATTGAGAGAGGATATATGATACATATATTTTATTTAACGATTCTTTCTTTATATATAATATAAAAAATATAGGTGTAAAGAGCTTATAATACATTTACATATAATTATTTTTATTATATCTGTTTTTATTTACTGTATATTTGTTTTATTAATTGCAGAAGGTAAAAAAATAAAGTCCAAGCTCGGCAAATATATTATACCTTTGATCATTGGAGTTTTATTAATAAAATCAATTCTATTGCCTCTGACATTGAAGACACTGGCTGTTTTAAGTGGAAAAGCCGTTGTGCTGAGTTTGATGAGTTTGATACTGGCAGCCATAGTCGGATTGAAAAAAGCCGCTCAGGAAGCTAGCTACGAAATGAACAAGTATAGGCGACAAGATAAATATGATTTTATCGATAATGCACAGGAGTTTGAGCCTTATCGAATTTACAAAGAACGACGTAAAAAGAAGTGAAAAAAATAATAGCGGTATAAAATTCTTTCCGTTATAATTCCTTATTCTTATTTTTAATATAATACATTAATATAATACATTTATCATACTTGAGAATATTAATTATATTTTGATATTTAATATTTTGATTAAAGTAATTAGAAAAAAACAAAACGTTATATAGAAAATTAGAAATAATGTTTATACTTCTCTGTTTATTTATTCTTCTTTGTAATATTAATATATAATATTTTTTGATATTCTTAATAATTATTTTATTTATTTAATATCCAAATATAATTTATTTAATATCCAAATATAATTTATTTAATATAATTTAATTTATTTAAATATAACAGAATTAAGATTAGACATTGTAAATATAATGTACACAGAAAAAAGCATACGTTATTATCGAATATCAAGTACTGTAAAAATTTCTCTCATTCAAATTGATATCATTGAAAGAGAATTTCACGATGAAAATGTGTTACTTGTCCGTGCTAATTGTGTTAATCTGCTACATACGATAATCGAAGACATACATTTGTGAAAGTTGCGAGAGACAATGAAAACTTACTTAAGCAGAAACATAAATATATACGATGCATTTATTCATTTATTATATCTCGATATGATAATAATGTAAAAAAATCTTTAAGATGAGTTATCCAAATGTATTCCAACTCATTTCACTAGCGTGATGTAAGAGAGAGAGAGAAAGTTCCTTGATTCAACAAGAAACTAGTTTGTAAGCAGCGTGTCCATTTCCTAGTGTAACCATCTTCTCTCAAAGTTGAATTATTCAGCAACAAAATAAACATGCTAAAAATAAATTTGTGCATTAGAATTATGTATATAAATTAATGTAATTAAAGTACAAATATTATATATATTATAAAAAAATAAACGTTTCTTCACAAGAGTGTTTATTTATTATCGCATAGTATACGTTATAATTTGTTCTCCTTGACTTATGTATATTCTTTATATAACCTTAATGAAATATTAAAATTATTATACTATATATATATATATATATATACATTGTACACAAAAGAGATGGAGAGAAAGCGAGAAAAGGAGTCATCAGTCCCATTCATGTGAAGAATAAGACGGGAAAAAATAAAGATAAGGTGTTGGAACTTTCTTTTGACCCGGATATAGGTTGTCGACCTTCAATTCTCTAAGTCAGTTCTCTGAGCAATTGAAAATGCCCTTATAAGGTTTTTATCTATTATGTAATCGAACTTTATCCCAATATGTTTATAATATAAAAGAATACGTAAAAAATATAAAAATGTATATACTTATCTAGATAATAGTTTATATTCATTAAATATAACTATAGAAATGAAAATACTTCAATTATTATGTCAATTTTTAATTTTTTATTTATATTATGCGGCGAATAGAATGTTTTATTTTCTGAAAGAAAAAAAAAACAATTCTGAAAGAAGGAAAAATATTTTTCAAATATCAAATGAATTTGTTATAACTAAAAAGTATGTATGAATTCCTCTAAAGTACCATATTTTTTTGTAGTAGAGGAAGTAAACGACGGCACCGACGGTACGCATAACCCAGAAAATTAATCGCGAAATTGTCTCTGCTTCTTCCAAGTCAGATACCGTTATACGAAGATGACGAAGTCCCCTCATACCTGTTAAATATTTAAAGAGATTCACATGGAGCACAATGGAATTCCTCCCGCAAATAAGTTATCTGTTACCTTTCTAAGTAGTCGCCACTTGAAAAGTAACATCGACGATGGCTTTACTGTGGATTATTGTTTCGTCATGCGACACCAATTTCTGTTAATTTGATATATATTTATTTTTATAAATTTTAATAAATTCGATAGATGGCGAAGCCAAGAAGAGTATATGATTATCGTGAGAATCTATTAATTTTCTATTTTACAATGAAAGTATGTCAGAAGCGCCATTTACTTACGTAACAATTTAAGATAAATTCAAATACGATTACTTTCTCTATTTAAATTTCAATTATATTTCATCATACTTATACGTAACGTAATAAAATAATGACGAGTGGATAAAAAAGTCAATGAGTAAAAAATTTTATTAACTCGAGTTATATAAAAAAAACCCGTCGAAGCCTGTACTCGACGTAACCTGTAGTTCACATACCAATGACCGTGTGTCTGGGTCAAGGTAAGCAGCTTGATGCACGTGGTTCTGGGGGAGTGCATCGAACTGTTCTACGAAGGAGACAGAATTGCGGTGCCTAAAAGAAATTTTAAATTAAATCGATTTATCATATATTACAATCAAATCAGATTGTTTGATATAGTTTTAAATATTTCCATTAAAATTTAAAGTTAAATATCAATATACATGTATTTATTTTATTTACACAATACTAGAATAAATTGCTACTAGAAACTGTCAACATTAAGTATCGCCTAAATGCACACGCACACACTATTTGTAAGAAAATCGTATATTCGTGATCGTGAAACATGTGCAATGGCAGTGAGGCGCGAAATGTATGCAAACCTTTCGCCTCTATTGTTGTCGATTTTCTATGCAATCTGCTGAATGTGTTAGAAAGTACCGTTTGTCAAAATGTTATTAATGTCACAATTTCGATAAAAGAGAAGGCAAGGAGGTTTTATATCCTTTGTAATAAAAATCGTAATTATAAAAAAAATTAAGTTATACTTCTTCCACTTAATCAAGATCAAAATCACAGGTTTTTATTCAAATTCCTCAAATGTCCTTTTCTTACATTGAAATAATCTCTGTAAATTCCTAATGGACATGATCTCCCCTACTGACCTAAATACTAAGTAGTTACTGTCGTAACGAACATCTCCTAGTAATGTTAAAAAGAACGACTTCTAGGTCTGCCCAAATGGTGACGCGTCGACATAGCTGTGCGTTTGTTTAAAAAATTATCGAAGAAAGTTTTCTGGGGAGGTGGCCATCGCCGACATCTATAATGATGAGTCGTTCGTCTCACACGTCGTCATACACTTTGTCGTTGGCCAGAGTGGGGGATATCGAGGAGGATTCTCTACTTGGTGCACACCTATAAAGATTGAAGCGACGCAGGGCCAGGTCACACTTTGTTCCGAAAATTTTCCGGAGAGTTAGTTCGCTCCGTATCTCCGGCTGCTGCTTCTCGGTATTTCGTTTCGCGACAACTCGACGAGTGACAAAATGGCTAGGAAGATGAACAAATTGCTGGCACTGGTACTTCTCGCTGCGTGTGTCGTAGCTGAACCTATAAACGTTTCCGTGCAGCCGTCCCAGGATCTGGATTGTCTGCAGCATGACATGCTCTTCAGCTGCATGCTCGTTAAAACGATCAGTACTCTCGATAGGGCGGCTAGATCGAACGACATCGAGATTGTCGACGGTGTGACTTTCATACGAGACATACCGAGTAAGTTTTCATATTTATTTTATGTTTAACTTGAGTCGTATATTGAAAAATGCAGGAATGACTGGAGATAAAAAATCAGAACGTTGCTATATTTTTAATAAGACTTAATTTTGATCATTATTTTAAAATTATATTAGAGAATACATTATATATATTGTATTAAAATTATATGGTACAACAATATAATTTTGATAAGCAACATTTTATTTATCGCTGTGAAATTATTAATATAATATAAAATATAACAAATGTATATAATATCATATATATGCATATATATATATATATATATATATATATATATATATATAAATACTTATACGTTGAGTTTTATTTATGGAATAATGTAAAAAAGATAGCAATTTGTACAGATAATAATTTTGTAATAAAAAAAACTTAATATTATAGTGGAGCGCACTGGCAAGAGTTTGAAGAAATCTGAATTGGAGATCTTGCATGAATTACCACGCGATAACTCCGACAAGATGATAAAACTTTTTAGCATGTTATATGAATCAGCTGTCTCTTTCCTGAAGAGTCATAGTTTGAAACTTAACATGCCTGGAGAATCAATTACTCGCACCCTGGTTGAAGGTAAGTCCTTCGTCTCCATCAAGTATTTCGATTATGCAATCGAAATACTTTTATGTTTGTCGTAATTATGTCTGGACGACGAATGTCACAGATTCACGATGTCATGAGCGATGTTATAAACGAATAAGCGTACCTTTCACCTTCGTGATATCTATATGTACGACGTCAAACCTGTTGCGAATAAACTCGTTCTCTTTGAGAAAGCATGAAATTCACTTTCTTTCTCAAATGTGTTTAAAAAAATTTGAGGAAATTACTGTGCTTAGAGTTAGGATGTAATATCCTTATACACATTAATACTTTCTCTAGATGTATTTAATATTTTTTAATTCCCAAGCTTTTCCGAGCATATGTAGATTATTATTTATTTCATTAATTTAGGTCTCTCTTCCTTTATACAATTTAAAAACTTAAAAACTTAAACATGCTAGTAAATACATATAATGTTAAACTCATATTAACACTTCTTTCTTTATTTAATAAGTTTATTTAATAAGTGTTTAATAATTAATACCCAACAATTAATAATCAAAATATAATGAAAAGGATTCTATCTGTATTCTGTGATTATATTTCATTTTTTTGCATGATTCTTTTTTTATGATTATATCTTTTTTGCATTGGTTGTATATATTTCTTAGACCATATAATAAAATCGCATAATTTTATATATTAATTAAAATACTAATTAAATTAATTTTTTCTCTCAATTAGGTCGTGCAAAGATCAAGAAGATAGTAACACCACTGATTGCGGCAATGGGTATTAAGTTATTCGCGTTGGTGCCGATTTTGTTGGGCGGTTTAGGCCTGTTAGCTTTGAAAGCCTTATTCTTCGGTAAAATCGCCCTGCTAGTCGCCGGTATCGTAGCGTTCCAGAAGCTTTTCGGTGGTAGCAACGTGGCAAGCAGTTTCTTCGGCAAAAATCCGACATCTATCTTTTATGACACAGGCGCCTCAGGAAATTGGCCTGCTGCTAGTTCCGCTGGAGCGTATCAAGGATACAGGAGCTTCGATATTGATGATGCAAAAGTCGATGCCCATAATTTGGCATATTCTGCTCATGTACCGGACGCTAACGATACGAATTAAACGAACTTTCTTACTCGAAAGTTCTATATTTATAAAATTATCGAAAGTCATATCTCGCGAAGCTAATATATCTTCTTTCCCTTCTCGAAGCCATCTGACCCACCTACGACTGTTAGATTTAATATTTATATGTACGTCTATAATGTAATTTATCTATAATGTAATTTATTGATTATATAAATTATTGAATAATCGTATATATTAAAATAGTTAAATTGTTTGTTAATAAACTTAATAAATTATTTATGGAAAAAATATCTGTATATATTTATAAGATTATGCTGCTTTATTTTTATGCAGGCATAAGAATTTATCGCGTAACATAAAAAATTCGCTCTCCTTTGGAATGCATGAGAATTAAAATTTTAATTTAGAGAAATTATAGTCGTAAATATTCAGCACAGCAAGGTGCATAGAAAATGTCATACGTGATCATTTTCTGTTAGTGTGAAATGTTGACAATTCGTGCAATTGAAGTCGTCCCGAGCTCATATGCGATTCGAATCGGATATGGACATACCTACAGGTCATTTACACTCCCACTTTTATCTTGTTCGGTCTTTCTTTCTCTTCGGCTGTTACCTCTGTCGTTCGTTCCATTTCTCTTGTTCGAGTGACTTCCGACTGCATGATTCGGGACACAAGTTTTACATACTATACCGTGTCACTAAGAGACACGAAAGTCTAATTTTCAGAAAGTACGTGAAATGCGACGACGATGACGCATGTAATTGTAGACAATAGACGATAATTGCTCAATGCCAATTGTATTCAAGATGTATTGTATGCATATGTAATGCAAATAAATTCTAATTATGTAAATGTACAATTTTTTTCTTAATGAGAAATTGATTAACAAATTTTTTCAATAAATTTATGCAGAAACATAAGATATGCTAAAAAGAATAATTGAATGATAAAAATGTGATTATACTCTTAAAATCTAATTTTTTAATTATAAAATCTTAATCCTTAATTATACATCATCTTTGTAGTTAGATACCCAAATTTTGACTTATGTTATAATACGATTAATTTGTTAAATTTTAATTTCTTAAATTAATTAAAAAGATCTGAATTCTGTATTTAATTTTAATTCAAACCACCGTAAAGAAAATATTTTTTTTTAACTTAAAACATACGTTTTTATATACATATAAATTTTATAAAGATGCATTTTTTATTATATAACTAATTTTGTATAATTAATAAGTACCATTAAATAGTTGTTAGAAGCTATAATATAAAACATGTTTTATATAACATGTTTAATATAAAACATACAATATATAAATTAATGTATGTATATAGTAAAAATAATACAGAAAATTTATTTTAGTCCGAAAATTTACTTCAATCTGAAGAATCTCATAAATCCGAAAGTGATCATGAGTAAAAGGAAAATTTACTTATACCGGTGTATTCTCTATGTCACGCTATTTTTGTGCGATGCATTTTCATATTCATTCTTCAAGGAGTCGGCTGAATTAAAATTCTTGACACTGCTGCCCTTGTACGTTGCTTGCCAAATAGTTCAGCATGGCCCCACCACTCATCGACAGTTGTATAAAAGAAAAATTGTCCTGGGGCCAAACAGTCAAAAACGTTTCATTGAAGTTGCACTATAAAGCACTTCGCGACAATGAAGACCAGAGTAATCATTCTCCTGGCGCTGCAACTCGTGACGTTAGTGGTAGCTGATCAAAATCAGGAAAATGGAAACGATTTGGAGCATTTAGAAGCCAAGCTCACGATGACGATGGACGAACTCAATAGAAAAGACACTATCAATATTTATAGTGATATGGTTATCCTGAGAAAGATTCCGGAAGACGGGAATTCGTCGCAAGAGAGTGCAGATCCGCTCGTGAACAGAATCGAGAAATTCCTGAGAACTAGAAAAATACAAATTAATCTCCCTAATGATTCTTCACCTGCCGGTTTGTTTGGGCGCGCCCTTGGCCAGAAGAATATCGATATAGAACTGAAAAGTCTGACAACCGGAGCGTCCGAAGGTAAACAATGCATTGGAAAAGAATTACAATAATGCTTAAACAGAAAAAAAACAAAATTAAATGTTAACATTGTTTTATATTTAATGGGTAAAGTAAATCTTATCAAATTTATAAATTAGAGACAATTGAAACATTTATTTTTTAATTTGAAAATTTACACAACAAGATTAGAATAATCTAGGAAAATATGCTAGTAAGTATATTATCTTTTAAAAAATTTGAATGATTGAATTGATTATTGAAACTATTTCACAAAATGATAATGAAATATTTAATATTAGTAAAATTTATATTAAATCGCATTTTTTTAAAATTATTTCCGTAAACTCAAAAAATAATTCTTCCTTCCTGGCATATTTTTGGCTTATGAATTTATGTGTATCTATGACACGATTAAATAGAAATAATTGAAGGCTCGATGATATAAAAGAAAAATTATATATATATATATATATATATATATATATATATATATATATTGTATATATATATAAAAGAATAATATGATTTTTATCATAAACTATGATAATAAATAATATTTGTCGCATGAAATAGTGGATATATTTATATATAGACATTACAAAACATTTAAAATATTTGAAATTATTAAATTTTTATATAAATTTTTGGAATAATAATTAATAAATATATATTACTAAATAAAAATATATATTTATTAAATCTACAAATCTAATTTTATTTAAAATTTTACTATAATTATATTTCTACAGTACATTTTTGTAATTATATTAAGCAGTATTTCTTATTATTTTGTAATTAATACATAATTGTATAATTTAATTTTCTCATACTTAATTATAATCTTCTTTTATTTATATGATCTCCTTTTTTTATATAAAATTAAATTTTTCCGCAAATATTTTGATAATTTAATAAATTAATAATAATAACATTAAACCTAAGATTTTGTGTTAGATCTTGGATCTAATACAAAAGTCTCTTGTTCTTGCCTAACGTCCCGATCTGCTATGAATACATCATTCGACATCATGGGCGCAAACTTATAGCGTCTCACCTTTCTAAAGTCTTACCAATGGGATTTAAGTAGTCCACGAATCTCGGTATTCATTGGTTGGAAAGTATAACTTACAGCATCTTCTTTTTCGGTTGCGGCCGAAATACCATTCACTCATTTTCCATATCTCTCTAACATAATTCCATCCTTCTTTTCATATTTATAAATTTTCTTAAATTCTTTCACTCTTATATTCATAATATGTAAAATATGTGTTGTACAAGTCTAAAAATATTCAAAAATTCGGATATGTATCATTAATGTTCATTGATAGCAGCATTAAGAAAAAGAGAGGGAGATCGAAACGAGAAAATGCATACATAGAAAGCTGTAAGGATGTGTTCCACTTTTATCATATCCGCGAAAACAGATACCGGAGGTGGGAGTGGATTAAAGTGGGTTACCGTTTGATAGGTTGGTGGGATTCCGGGTTTCTAGGACGATTACTGCGAGATGTCTAAGAAAGACCTTGAACGAGAGTGTCGCGTGTCGAAGAAAGTAGATTGAAAGATGAATGTCAATTATAATATTTTAGAAATGCCTCTCGATTACTCAAATATTCCATAATTATTTATATTTATATATTAATAATATTCTCTAACATTTCTTTATATATTCAATTATATATATTTCGAATCCTTTTTATAACATTACTAACATGTTATAATTTAACTTTTACACATCATCCTTTTTCTTCTCATGTGTGTTATAATTATTTATAATTATTAACAATTAAATACACTATGACTATATGTAATTAATTGAAAATATTAATAAATAACATAATTATTCATAGAGAAGAATATATGATATATTATTTACAGCTCGTACAAGATTGAAGAAGATGATTATACCACTTTTAGTTCTGTTGAATCTGAAGGCGCTAATTTTCTTCCCCATCATAGTCTCCGCAATCGCTGTGATAGGCATTAAGGGCTTGAGTGCAGGTCTTATGTCACTTATGCTTTCCGGCGCGGTAGCCTTGAAAGCCCTTATTACGCCACCGCCACCGCCAAGAGTCAGCTATGGCGTTGCGAGACCGTATGAAATTCATCACGATCATTGGCATAGATCAGAACAAGAAGTTAATCAACCTTACAAAGACTGGACACCAGAATTAAATGGCGAACAATATCTATATCAGAACAATCCATAAAATGCAATGTCCTTGCCATTTGTTTATTTATTTATGCGTCTGTGGCACATACTTGCTTCATGTATAATAAATCTTTTTTATACAATTTTGTCTTATTTATTATATTATTGTCTGAATTGTCAAAAACGTTATATTATTGCGATATCAGCGAATTACTTTTATTAGATATGTTCCATCCTACTAATGTTACACTTTAAATGTTAGATCAATAATAGGGATTATTTTTTATATACATATATATTTAGTCATAAATGGTTTACTTACAATCAGTCGGTCAGACGAGAAGGCTAATGACCTAGATGGAGGTTTACGAACGGAAAGAAGATAGAATGTGCGGTTGTGAGGGTGGGAGAGATAGCGGAGAAAGATTGAATCAAGGTGGGGAACTAGGAAGAGGAAGGAAACGAGGTCATTGTGTCAGGCAAGGTAGGAAAGCGGATCGTAGCTACGATTGGTTCACCGAGTTCCCCCTCGATGCTGCGTACGTATCAAGGTCAGTGGGTCATTGCCTCCACGTGCTTCTCCACTTCCATCGTGGCAAGGTATGACCGTGGTCTTCTTGGTGGGAGCTGGAATAACGGCATCGGTTGTGATTAGTTGAGTCATTCAAGAGGAGTGGGACGGCAAATACGGGTATATATGAGCGGTTTGAGAGGACAGCACCGTCGAGAAGCAAACAGGATGAAGAGCGAAAGAGGTTCTTTCGCTTCTCATGCTGAAGGACATATTTTTTAAATACACAATCTTGTTTATAAGATACTTCAAGTTTATATTTTCATTTCACAAAGATATCGTTGAAATTTTTCATATATACACATTCCATACACTTAAAATATTTTTATTTTAATAAAATATATTGCAATTTAAATTCTATTATAAATTCTTTATAACTTGTTTTATTTCTAATTACAACAAAATATCTATGACTAGATTTAAAAATATTATTACATAAATTTGTTTATTTCTCACATAATATTAAAAATTATTAAATATTTATTACATAAATCTGCAATTGTAAATATAGTTTTTGTAAATGCTTTTGTGTAAATAATTTTAAAAATTTCTTTCTCTCTACATTTTGTATTTTCCATTCTTATATTATATCACTGCTTATTTTCATAATATTAATGCTAATTTTAAACATGTAATTCTCTCTGTAGATAAAAAATTAAGTTACACATATAATAAACGTTGTAAACAACAATATATATATATATATATATATATATATATATATATATATACACACATAGTTTCAAAATATAACATTTTTTTATATGTTTTTCTCATTGTACTTATATATAATTTTTCTTTAATTATAGATTTTATTCATCTATATGCAAATTACAAAATACATATAATATTTCATTATTTCGATTATACATCATTCGAAAAGCATTTTCTCATATTACATAAATTGAAATAAATAAATGAAATTAAATGTTTAGTTCACACGTATATTATACAGATGCAAAAAATTGACAGAAATATTTTACAGAAAGCTCTCTCGAAATATAATTATATATATATATATATATATATATATATATATATATACATAATTATATTTCGAGAGAGCTTTCTGTAAAATATTTCTTTCAATTATATAATTCAATTATATATATATATATATATATATATATATATATATATATATAGATTAAAAAATATAGTATTGTTATTTTATATAGTGTATTATTATTTTATAAAAATCAAAAATTTTGTCATAAATATTGTAAAATTATATGTATTATTTTTAATATAATATCAAATTTAATTAAATATAAAATAACAAATTTTTGTAATATAAAAATATAGTTTGACAGAAACAAACATTTTATATGTATATAATATATATTATATTATTTTATATTATTATTACATATATATTATATATTATTATATATTATTTAAGAAAATAGATTGCTCTAAATTTATAAATTTAATAGTTTCTAAACATTATTTAAATCCTTAATATTAAATAAAGACTATAATTGCGACAATAAATTATTTCACACCTTGACAATATTGAGCCAATAGTACGACCGAGTTTTTTAATATGTAACTCATTGAGAAAAGCACAACGTAATGCGATGGCTAGATAACTTTATGCTTACAAATCGCCGTATAAAAGAAATTTGTAGCTTTTAACATTCACTTTAAATTGCCGTGAGAAAAATGCAAAAGTATAAATGCACACGATACATTTTTAGTGCATAACGGATATGCGTTCTTGAATTAACGAGGTCTATGCAATCACTCGGGCAGCACCAAGTGTATCAGAAGCAGTAATTTCACCTTTCTTCTTTTCTTCTTGTTTGACACTTTGACGCATAAATTATATATGCACTACATATGCTCATATTATACATTTCTTTAAAATAAATTTTATGCATTCTTTAAAATTAGACATTTTCGAAAATTATGACATTTTTGATAACAAATATATGATATAAATGTACATAAATAAAAAATATGTATAATTTTTATAATATATATAATCTACTAAATATATTTTAAACAACTGATTAATAACTAATAGATACACAATATTTTTTAAATTTATTTATTAAGTACCATTCTTGCTACGTATGTTAATCTTATCTAATTATTGTATCAACAAGATCAAAGATATTATTATAAGATTTATAAGAATTTTAAAAGAAAATAAATATACATAATAATTTTGTGTTTTTGCATAAATGTAGAAATATTTAGACATAGCCGAATAATTATACAAATCAGATTTTCCCGTTCACAAAGCATTGATGTCTTGTTTTTCCTGGAAGAAGATAGTATGGCAATGTTAGATCTTATGAAATAAAACAACAGTTTATATGCTTCTACATGTATCAAAGTAAAGAAAACAAAACTTGCTTTTCTACAAGCAAAAAATTATGTAAAGATGTTGCAGATATCGTTTATTAACAATGTGGTAAACAATGTTCTAGATGTTCGGTAATCTCCAGCTTTCCAATACAAACAATTTCTCCAATTTATATATATTTTTCTAAATTTCTAACAGTAATTTCTAGCACCTACACATTGATATTTCAATATTTTCAATATGTAAGAATAAAATTCACTAAAATAACTGTCAAGGAGAAATTATTGACACGTTTTCTTCGCTAATCCTGCGTGAACGTTCCCTGAATTGTGACAAATTATTAGGTAAATGCAAGCGATTTCCTTGAAACAACGCCTATCTCAATTTCAACTGAAAATAGGGTAATTACAGTATGTTCCGGAACGCACAATCATAATTTTTATATGAATTCATGCGTTATAGCATTATATTGGCACTTGTAAACGTTAGTATAGCTTCATTTTTTAAATATTATATAATCAAAAATAATTTTATTATTGTTATGCATTTTATAATTTTTAATATTATTTTCGATAATAAAAATTTAATTTGAAATATTTTGTTTTTTATTAAAAAAAGATTTTTGAAAAATATTTTAAAAGCTCATATTATTTATTTGATATAATATGTTTTAAGTACCAAAATACGCTTTTAAAATAAATTTAAATATGTAAAAATAAACATATTGACTTTTCTTCTTTTTCTATCTATCTTTTTTATCTATCAAAGGCTTTAATGATGAATCGTGAAATTAAATGTCATTATTTTTTATCGGATGTCTTAAATACAGCAATAATTGCGGTTTCAGTTAAAGTTTTAGTACTCTCTAAAAACCAGGAAATATAGATTATGCTGCAGACAGTTCTAGATTACGTTTGACAAAATATAAAAATGCAGTAAAATTACAATATCAGAACGAGTTCGCGAATAAATTTGAATGAATTGAATCTATATGAAATATTTTAATATCTTCGTCTACCATGACATGTTTGATTTAATTTGCGATAAAGATAAATGCGAAATTTCAGTTTTATTACAAAATTTTTGATTTAATTAATGATGGAGATAAATGCAATTTCCCATTTCATTCCAATTCATCCCTTTCGTCCGTGTTTTATGAATACCCATCATTGGCTCGATTTGTCGCGCTTAGCGAGAACAGGAACGTGTATTCGAGATCGCGCGATTATTAACGAAAGGAAGGCACCGCATGAAAAAGGAAGCAGTAAATGGAAAAATGGATGTTTCAAGAAGAAGGCTAGTCCGTTCTAAGTCGGCACACCTGCCGTATGGCATGCATGCGCGTCATATTGAGACGTGCACGCGTTCACCGCATACAAATACATACGTGCATGCCACGATAAGATCCTATCGAGTTGCTCGTGAAAATCGACTGCGTACTTTCACATCGGCAGATCCGTCTGAAGCGCCGTTGCTCGAGCGTGGCGCGCGAAAATCGGATCTCCTACGAGCTAGCTAAACTGGACTGATTTAAAGTAGGACTCCCGTCTCGTTTCGCCTCGCCCGCAATAATAATTTTCACGATATACTTATCGGCGAATTTTTCGATTTGCAATTCCCGATTGCGTCCGGCTCGCAAACTTCGTAAAATTCGTCCTGTTGGTCTTGCGGTTTCATTCATGAAATCGAAAGTGACCTTACGCTGGGCGATCGAGCGCCAAGGATATCAGTGATCATCGATTAAATAATTTATATTGAAATGATTAATTCATTTGATTAAACTCCTATGTCATATTATTGCCTTTAATTAGAAATTAGAGCTTTTGTTCAATTTTTTTAAATTATATGTTTATAATAAATAAGAAGAATTTTTAGATTATTTGAATCAAATATATGAACAGACACTATATATTCTTTATTGTATGTTCTAAGTTATATTATATATATTCTATAAGTAAAAAATTGTATTATTTTGTAAAATAATATTATGTAACAACAGATAAAAATCTGTAAACATTTATATAAATTTATAAATAAAGAAGAAATATGGAGAAATTTATTAGATTATAGCATTTAATAGATAATAAGAGATTCTTCAAAAATAATTAATTATATACATATGTCAATATAATGTCGTTAATGCAATTAAATTAGTATCGAGGCGATAAGCATTCGCTCTCATTCATTATTTGTCGTACTCGTCTATTTTTTTTCTCACACAAATTTGACTCAGATTCGAATTCTCCGCTCTATTTGACGCTCCCTCTCGCCGCAGCTACTGGGCGGCTGCATGAGCCCCTGCCTCCTCTTCAACATCCACAAAGAAGAGAGTTCCGTCGCCGGTACTCTCGACTATGGAGAATGTATGAAACGACCGAAAGGCAAAAAGGAAAAAGGACTATCTCGCTCTATATATACTGCAAGTATCCGAGGATATGTCCAGTGCACGATACGCGTCTCATCTGTCAGCTTCAAAGTCCTTTGTCTTCGAGGATATCGTCGCGCTGCTGGCGATCCGTCGACTTGGGACGAAAAAAATATATTCTGCACAAATTTTTCTTACTTTAAACTAAACTTCAAGGAAACATCCAAAAATTCGCGATGAAAGGAATTACACACGTCGCCCAATTGTCACGTTGTCATCTTCTTCTTCTGGTACTTTTTCTCTCGGGATGCGTCAACGCAGAGATCGAAAGACGCACTTCGAGGCAACTGGTGGAAGAAGCTTCGGAAAATCTGACGTCTAATTTAAATAAAGATTGCGGAAAGTCATACAGTGCCACATGCCTCAAGCTGGACGTGGTGTCTTTCCTGGATAAATTGTCAGAGCAGGAGAACATCGGTATTCTTCCGGGAGTATCTGTGATCAAAGAAAACAGTTCCACTGATGTTCCGGCATCGGAAGTGGTCGCCAATTTGGCGAGAGACTTCCCGAATGACGTTGAGAAGAGATTGGACGCCTATTTGGCTCACAAGGTCGGCAGTTACCTTAACAGCCACTCAATTTCCATCAAGCTTTTCGATCCAAAAACCTTTGAAGCTGCCAGGAATTTTAACGAAGATGCGCTCGCGCAACTGGGCTTGGGAGGCAATCAAAATGTTGAAACAGGTTAGCATTTTAATTTTATTATTTATCGAAGTAATAAAGAAAATAATCAATAACAAGATTATTAGATAATCAAACAGTTTAAACTCAGAGATACAATACATCTTACGAAAGTAAATTTACTCGAATTAATCTGTTTTATCTCAATCATACGCACATTTATATTTCAAGATATTAATTATCATTTTATATTTAATAGATGATTTTCATTTTATATTTAATTAGGACGTAAAAAGGATAAAGGCGGTTCCGGTTTGATGGCCGGTCTGTTAATGATGAAGGGAACTCTTGGTGCGATGGGATTCGGCGCACTGGCTCTTCTTGCCGGAAAAGCCTTGATGACCGGTCTGATGGCGCTAATGTTATCAGCCATTATCGGACTCAAATCCTTAGCTAGTCACGGCGAAAAGAAGACCACGTATGAAATCGTCAGCAAACCGGTGTACACCAGTTCGCATACGCATAGCTCGGAGGAGCATCACGGACACGGATTCGGACACTCCGGATACGGAAGATCCCTCGATTCCATTCATGACTCGATTCAACAGGCTGTACTGAAATACGGCAACGCGCGCGATCGCAGATCGATCCTGCAGAATTAATCTCCGTTCGATGATCTAATTCGACGAGTAGTATCTGCACTCGTCGGTACACGACAGAACCGTCTTTAGCACATCTCTACCTCACCAAGTTTCCTTTCTTCCTTGCTGTTTCTTTTTATCCTTTAACGCACTATCGTGTCTCCTCCTCATATCTATCTTCTTGTGTTTCCACCTCATCTCGCTTCTCTTTTCTTTTTCTATCTCGCCATCATTTTACTTCTTATTCGCCTCTCTAAGATCTCATCTGGCGCTTCATTTGTCGTTTCATAAATTATCATATTCTTATTATTATTTATAGTTACCTACGTATATTTATTGCGGCCGCCGTTGCATTTTCGATCACTGTCCATTGAGAAAGCATACCATCGTCATGCACGCAGATTGCCCAAGATCATGTACATGATTTTTGAATATTTATTTTGTTACTGTTAAAGTTGTAATAATAAAAAACATTTGTAAAGATACATATGTAATGTGTTATCATTATTATTGCAGCAATCATCAAGAATCGTATAATGAATCGCGGAATATATATCCTGTAATAAGAGTGTTTAGCATAATGTGTTAAGTAGCAGTTATCAAGTATTTTGTTAATTTAAATAAGAAAATTACGTTGAACTTTTCTAACTAGCCAGCGTAACGCATCGTATAAATGCATCACGCGCTGAAAAGTGCACATGTTTACTGTTATAGTAATTTAATTGCTACGATTCAACGTAGATATCTCTGTAGGTGTACGGACCAATTAAGAGGTAATAAGGCCAGCACCTTCACCACGATAGGCGACCATTAGGCTCGTAATCTTGATAGCATCAGATCATAAAGTGTTGCAATTCTCAAGGCGCGCATAATCGTATACATTAACACACACATACACACACACACACACACACACACACACACACACACACACACACACACACACACACACACACACACACACACACACACACACACACACACACACACACACACACACACACACACACATATAATATAATGCTCCAAGTATATAAAATAAAATTATATAATATTGTCATAATCATATATATAATTATAGAGAACAACACGCTAGTCTTAATGTATTAAGAAAAAGTAACAAATAACAAAATCTATTTTTTAAATTTCGTAAATAATAATAATGTTATATTACATTTCACAAGCAAATACTAATTTTGATATATTTTCTTGCTTATAAAATATATAAAATATAAAATATATTATATTAATAAAATATATTATATTTATTTTATTTTATTATTTTTATTCGATTTGCTAGATTTGCTGTGACATCGCATAGCATAACTATAGTATATTTAATTGACTGTTGGTAGCAGAGTGCTTGCTAGATTTCCGCGGGATGCAATTTAGCGTCACCTACGCGTCGAGAGATTATAAAAATACATTCGTTTAATGTAACGCGTCACTATTTATAATATATATTGTTAACATCGCGCTGAAGAAGGATCAAAAGATGATCCGAAACATTCGCTTTTTGTTATTATAATATGTTTTTAATAAATTAATATTGAAAAAAAAGAAGTGTTGTTGCTTCTCTGCGCTCCAACTACCGCGCATTGGGTCTTATGCCATTTTCTTTTTGATTTTTTGATTATTTGAGCCAAGTCTCTAATTATTAAATATAAAATATAATAATAAGAATATAATAATAATAATAAGATAATAATAATGTAATAACAAAATATAATAATAATAAGAAAAAGAAGAATATAATAATAATATAATAAAATATAATAATAATAATAAGAAGAAATTGTATTCAAACATTTTTAAATAAATAATATATAGACAATTAGATTCATTCTAATTACTGGTTATTATTCTTTTATTCCGATTGTAGGATCTGCGATATTTTAATGTGAACTTTAAACTTGTAATTTAGAAGTGGCACAAACTATTTCATCTTTGAAATGTTCTTATAAGCGTGTCAACGTAACATACAATAGCAGCTTGTAATATTGTATCCGGAAACGTTTGCTTTAACTATTGTGTCTAGTTGTGGCTGAAACTCGATGAATGATTTCGCCTGTTCAATCTTATTATTAGAAGACTACTTGTTTCTCGCTGCAAGTAATGACAATCGTGACAAAGCGTCGCGAAGATACCACGAATGACATAAATCCCAATGTATATAAACGATTGCGATGATCCAGAGATCAGTCAGTGTCAGTCAGTGTAATTCTTCTAAGGTTATCTCCGTCATTTATCATCGCCATCAGTATCGATCGACGTTAATTACTCGCCGTGCAAAAGTGCGTGAACCTATGTTCGTTCTTTGTCTATTGATTGCGTGCGCGATCCATGCGAATGCGTACGAAAAGAATGGAGTCCGAAATATCAAGGATTACATCCTTGACATGGAGTTACGCAAGGCGCCAGTCGAACGTCGAATATTTAATCTCAAGAAGAATGGCTTTAAAATCGACGTAAAGGTAGTTCCATCGCCTAGAAACGATTCCATGAAAAACAAGGACGACGATTATTTTCCGGAGTTTCCCGTAAAGGACATAGGCAAATGCGTCGTTGAATTTTCGCTCGGCTGCATCAGGAAACGTTTCGTTCGTTTCTTGGAAACAATAACTCGCCTTGATGAAATTACCTTGCTCGGACAAGACATGAAATTGGTGAAAATCAGAACAATAAATAGATCGGACGGTCGAGCTATGAATAATACGGATGTCAGCATTGAACGTAGCTTGGATGATTTTTTCAATTCTTTCACTCTGCGTATCACGTTGCCTCGATGGAATAAACGTGAAAAGAATCAGATCGATTTAATGTACGACGAAACAGCTGTAGCGGAAGGTTAGTGCGAAGAATATTAAAACAATATTGTAATATAGATACGTAATATACATAATATACGTAATATACGTGTAATATAGACATGAATATCTTTAGATACATTTTAACAATTTTTTAGGAAATTATTGTTTTTACAATTGTTGAATACAATTTGTTACAGGACGAGGTAAGAAAGACAAGTGTGGCGGAGGGGGCGGAGGTAAGGGTCATGGCAAATGTCAGATGATGATGATGGGCATGATAATGATGGTCAAAATGAAGTTAATAGGTATAATATTATTTTTTATATTTTTTATGCTCTCTTGTTGCATCGGACATATATTTTTCATACTCATTCAAATATTATATACATATTTATAATCTATAAAATTTTTATAAATATTATCAAGATATCTTATTATAATAAAATAATCTTATATACTTTGTACAATAGGATTGATGGCAATGAAAAGTATGATGATGGGCGGTATGTCTCTAATGCTTTCCATGATGATGTTGATGAGCAAATTTGGAAAGGGCGGAGGCGGAGGTGGCGGTCCATGGCAAGGCGGTGGAGGAGGAGGAGGTACGATTATTTCCTTTTTAATATTTCTATGTTTTGTGTCTAATCGTTTAAATCTAAATACAATTAATCTTTTAATGTTCGCACTAATTTACATTAGTTGGTGCTGTATTATAAAATCATAATCAAAAACTTTGGTAATTTAAAAAATCGTTAACAACAATCTTTTAACAAAGTCTGTAAATAACAAAACTAAATATCTTTGTGAAACTTTTAATAACATCTAGATCTTTAACTTGGTAACACTTTCCAGGACAACTCAAAGAAATTGTACTGCTTACGAAAGCCTCGGGTGGTGGTGGCGGTGGCGGTGGCGGACCTAGTGATAGTTATGGTGCACCTCCACCAAGTAGTTATGGTCCCCCTTCAGGAGGAGGCGGCGGCTATGGGGGCGGTGGGGGCGGATGGGGTCGCAGCTTCCACAAACGGCCGATGATGTTATCGTACGACAAAGTGATCAAGGACGAGACCGCAGATGATGGATCTAATCGCATCCCGATGATAGGAGAAGCTATGTCGGATGCGGAGAGTATTGATTATCCGGACTATCAGGACTATCAAAAATCACCATCAGAAATAAGCTCAAATTCTATGATTTCTAATTTGAATATAGCAAACTATAATACTTTCCACGAATATGAGAACGCCAATGTAACTGCTGATTCGATAAAAAATAATCCCAAAGAAGAAACAACAGTAAATACAAAGGAAAGAAGTTTCATCTTTAACAGAAATCCATCTATCAATCTCGTTAATGTAAACGAGAAAAATGTTGATTCTATAACAAGCACAAATCAACCTGATGTTACTCATAAAAAAGATATGACTTATGATGAATGGCAGGCTACAGCTGAAAAAATAAATCATAATAAGGTTGCGTCAAATTCAAATGTAAAAATTGAATTACAGACCGAATCGCATTCTAAAAATGTGCCTTTGTTACGTGGAATTTAGATATATTGTTAATAGTATGGCACATTATTGTGTATGTATGTTTTTAAGTAAAATATATTATAATCGTTATATAATAACTGAAAAAATGTATTTTACTAATATATATATTGTTCATTTCTTTAATATTTTTTATAAGAAATTTTTGAATAAAATTAGATTAAAAATTACATAAAAGATAGATATATTTAAATAAGATGAAATATCGCTAAATTTTTTAATAATTACTACAATTAAATTTAATAAAAGTTAATAATAACATATATTATTAATTTAATAACTAATAACCATTATAAACTTTTTGTATCTTAACAATTTTTTCATTGTCTATTAATTTTATTTATAAGATAGTGGCGCAATCTTCTGAAGAGTCTTTCAAGCTTTTTCCAAGTGACTTTCTAGTAAGTAACCGACCTTGAATGTTGCCGGAAGTATATGGAATCCATTTTATCTGGTACACTTGACATACCGGTTGAGAGTCTTTGAAGAACGTGAAGAACATTGACACTAGGTGTCGAAGATTATTCGTATACTCAATCAAATTCAAGATTTAGCAGATATATGCGAATCGTTTTGAAAAAAGATAGATAAAACATATTCGAGGTCTATAACGGTTTTTCTCTTGCGTCATGGTCCACAAATTTCCATTTCTTCGATATTTCACGTGTACCTTTCATGCTAAAATCGACCGCAATTATTTACAGTCATCTTTATTTGAAAAGCATTTCTCACATCATCAACTTTCCAATGTTAGCGGTTTTTTTGGCAAATTTATTGATTTGCAGAATATTTATCCAAGAAATTTAGCTAACAAATAAGTCTATAATTTATAAAGATAATTATATATAAAAATGTTAAAAACTTAATTAATCATTTGAGAAATTCGTTGATTTTTTAAATTTATAAATAATGTATAAGTTTAAGTCCTCAAATTTAACCGGTTTTGTAAGGAAATTTATATAACGCTTGTATAAAAATAATAAAATAAAGATCTTCTGCAAATATATTTAATTTTTTATAAATTAATCTCTAAAAAGTTTAGTAAAATTAAAATTAATTAATTAACTGCTATATAAATATATATTATTTTCTCAAATATATTTGTTTCATTTGTTTTTCAAATTATTTAACATAAACTCAGTTCGGTGTTTTGGTGAACTATATACATGACTAAATTCTTAAGTCGTGTCATGTCCGAGCTCTTTTTACTAGCGCAATGATCGACCCACATTAATGCATTGACCATCTATTTGAAATTCCCGACGCATAGCTTTTTCGGTGGCAGCGTGATTTGATTTAAAAAGAATAACGGCAGGTGAATTTATCTTCAGTTGTCTTGGTGGACAGCGGCGTGAGTATGTGCCTTTATGGTCGCGCATTTGATTTTCTCAGGATGCTCTCCTTTAGTCGCTTTGATGAGGAAGCGCCTGCTTAAACCACGAGGTCATTTGTCGATTACCGTTAGGTAGCCCACTGATCAACGGGATCCCGCTCCCTTTCGCGATCGGGAAAATCGGTGAAAGTGTTCGTATCATCCGACAAAAAGAGGGTTTCCTGTCCCGGAAGTAGGTGCGTCGCGCCTGAGGATCGGTTGGTTCACTTTCCTATGTTGCTGCATTTCACGATGCTATCGATAGTTGTTGAAAAGATCTATATACGGGATGATAACTAATTCTTAACTCTACAATTAATTATATATTTATAATTATATATATATATATATATATATATATATATATAAATTATATAAATTATATATATATATATAATTTTGAATATATAATTTTTAATGACATTTACATTTCCTTCTCTATTAAAAATATAAGAATTTGTGCATAATCTTTTAGAGAAAAACAATAATAAAATCACCGAAGTAATTTTTATTTTTTTTACACTATGAAGTTTTGAAGGAATAAAAAATTCTAATTTCAATTTTCCGTTATATTTACTTTCTCTAATGTTAACTCAAATAATATTAGTTACAAGAATATCATCGTTTACTTTTAATATTTATTTCCGTGTACATATTTAACACGATGTTTCCGTTTATACTTCTATTTTACTCATATGTATATCTGTCACAAAAGCCAAAAGCCATTTCACCGTCTCACTTTGTCAGTTGACGTAATGGATAAATTGATGGTCTATGCCGCATAATATGAGGCAATGCATAGTATGCTATTTGTTCCATCAGAGATGGTGCGATAATATTATATTTGCATGTTGTTTGATTCGTAGCAAGAAGTGTAGGAGATAGATAAGTAGGTGAATAAATGTCATCGCTCTTTGTTAAAATCTGAGAATCTAAAAAATTATGATTGAATTTCTAACAGTGATGACAATTAATTTTTGATATTTTATAATATCTTATTTAATATAATATCTTATTTATAATATAATTAATTTAATTAACTATAATATCTTTATTAGTAAAATTTAGATTTAATTTAAGATTAAAAAATTGGAGTATATTATATAAAAACTTATAAATCTTAAAATAATTTATAATAAAATTAAAATTAAGTAAAAAAATACTGTATATTAAAATACTTGATAGATGAAGTATTCTTTATAAAAAATTATTTAAAAAATAATATTCATGTGCTATTGAGAAATAAAAATCTAAAGTTAAAAAATAAAAAAATTAATGTACTTTTTTAATATCTTTTTTAAACTATTATTGAATAATAAATTTCAATAGACTTTAAATAGTCATCAATTTCCATACAATACATCTTTTTTTAAGTTGGCATAAAGCTTAAATTTTATCGCTCACCCAATATGTGACATGTCCCAGTTGCTTGGTTCACTTTGTGCACGTACAAACCAGTTTCGATGCACCGCAAATACTTTCCGTTGGGGTTACTATCACCATTGAAATTTGCGTTTCTGATTTACGAGCTGACAATTTTCAACTATCCATTATCCGAAATACTTTCCAATGACATTAGGATATATAGCGGATTATTTGAAATATATCAATTGCACATGCAACTGATACATTTCGAATAATATACTACAGTCAGACCGGCACAAATTGCTTCCTCTTTTCGAGATCATTGCCATGAGATGGTATGCCATAAAATAATTAAGCAGAGAAAAAGAGAGATTGGATAGACCAGTAATACACACATCTACAATCATTAGGATTACTAGTAAGTCCATCAAATTAACCTCTCTCAAATGTAGATTTCAACGGTATAATTTGCACTGTAATAACATAATAATCTCAAGGGAAAATTAAAATATGTATAAGAATGAATTACTTGTGGCTGTGAACTATAAGATAGATTTTTTAATTGATTAGCGTATTTATCTTAGAAACTTTAGCATCGTAAGTAAAATGAAATAAATATATATTCTTTCATTAACTTACACTTAAATATTAATCATATTGTTTATCAATATATATTGCTTTTATTTTCGCGAAATGAAAAAGCCGATAGGTCTTGTCGTATTAGTATATGATAAATTATGGTCAAGACGTAACTGGGTTACGTTGGAATGTTGAATGAACCTCTTGTTCCTCCATGGATATCGAGAGCTCAGAAGAAGCGAGGTAAAATAAAAGAGTGTGCGCGTGCACGTTATATTTTGTATTCGTCAACGGAAGCAAGACAAATCTTCGCGTGGCGGAACGAAATTCTCAACGTGAAATCCTGTTTCCTTGAATGCGTGTGCGATCGCTTTTCGGCAGCAAACGCGTAAACCGGTCATACACCTCAACCTACCTACGTAGTAGCATCTTCGATTAGTGGGTCAACGGAATTCATCCGGTCCACTCGCTTTGGCTTGGCCCACCTGATCAACTGCTCAGTCAATTCGTACTGCAAGATGATGTCGTCAGAAATACCCCTTAATATTAAAATGACCTCTCCACCTTTGGACTCGGGCCGATTTGACTAATCAGCGTGCCACTTTCAAACCTGATTTATATGTTTATAAGAAAAACCCACCTATGTTCAAAAAAATATAAAGTAACAAAAACTGTTATCAATATTATTGACATATGTAAAAATATGTTAAAATTTTGAAATATAATGCAAGAAGATAGATGTAACCACTATAATGGGATTTTATATCTCGAGAGAAAAATTGTTTTAACAATTTAAAATTAAGAAAAATAAAAAACACATTGTATAGATGTAATATATGAGGCAGATATCTTAGTTATAGATATATTAATCGATTATTACGTTATCGAAATATCTATAAAAATATCATTGAGAAAGGTAGAATGAGAAAGGTGAAATGAGAAAGGTATTATTATCGAAATCATTAGAGCAAGATGAAAATGTATCTAATTCTCACTTAAATAACTTAGTATAGATTAAATATGTATTTAATACATTGTAGTTGCTCGTTGGAATAATGAGAACACCTTCACCAGGAAATCCATCTAGTGAAAAGCCTGAGAAAGGCGATGTAAATGAAACAAAATGCTTATCCTCTGACTTATGATATTTTATATCATATTAAAGCGTATAGAGATAAACATCGTAAGTATAACATATTTCTTCCGAGATTGCAAAATCATCATTTCTTTAGGAATTATAAATTACATTATTTCACAAAGTAAAAGCATATTACATTGTTGAATAATAAGTGAGTTTTTCTTCGAGTACTACTTACGTCGACACAATTTTTGTCTCATTACAATAATGATTATGCATAAATAGAAAATATTATGTTTTAATACAGTCTTGTTTTAGATATCAATAAAAAAATAAAGTGTATATAGCGCGGTATTTGCATGTGGAAAAAGCTACTTAAGCTTCATCTGTGATTCATTCATGAATGCCTTATTACATTCACGGATCTGAAAGTGTGTTTCCGTTAATGTCTCCGGTTACATACATAAAATTTAAAAGAATCTAATTTATCATCAAATTAAATGCATACATTAATTATCTGACCACTTGTCGCTGCTATTTTATGCTAAAATATTTTGATAAATGTCAAAACATTTTTTAAAAATCGCCGTTATTGCTGATTATTTTAATATAAAAAATAATAAATGTAAAATTGTAAATTGTAAACTACAATTACAAAAAATATATTTACAAAATTATTAATATTCGCAAATAATTGTTTTTATATTTATATTCAAATGTGCAGTATGCAATATGTATTTTTATATACATATGTGCATCTAAATCCATCTTGCAATTAAATATTGCTATGTCTAAATGATTTTAACATATTAATTTTTCTAATTAGAATAATATATTAATTCCAGCTTAGTGTTTATAAATCCTACTCATTACGTTGGATAAGAAAGTTGAACTATATTTTCACCGGAACACGTAGCAGAAGTACATATAATTCTGTATGGCCGACCACGTGACAATTCAACTATATACTTGCTTGTGAGGAAATTTCTCGTCATTATCTTTTGAAGAAGAAAACTGTGACTGACAGGTTCATGAATGAGCGTAATTAATTTTTTGATAAAAGTGACATTGCATGTTACTGCATAATATATATTTATTATGTAGCTTAATTGTATCGCAGATGTTTAAGTGACATAAAAAAATTAATAAAATATATAAAATTGAATCAAAATACGTAACAAAAATATAAAGCAGAGCTTTCTAGAATTTAATAAAAGTTATTAAGTTAAATTTCATGTTCGTGCAAGCATTTGGAGATTTGTATTGACAAAAGTGCAATTTGAATTTTAGTGAAATGTGAAATCATATATTCGATTATAAACATGATAGAACGCAAATTGTATTCAAACTTAAGCGAAATAGTATGTCCCATGAGCTGCATATTTATGCATCTGACCAGGTCTTTGGCCAGGAGCCCAGCGGTCTTAAACGTGCGTATAACCACGTATAACCACAAGTCTGGTCGGTTGCAGCCCGAGAGGAGACGATAATGACCTTCCACGGAGGAGCTCGCCAAAGAAAGAGTAGGAGGGTATTTGACACACTTGACGCTCAGGTGAATTGTAAGCGAGAACGGAAAGGCTCGTGGTTAGTGCGGAGCGAGAGATTGAACGGTGCACGTCTCGACGGAAGAGAGCGAAACAGATAAAAAGATAGGTAAAAAAGACAGGACGAAAGATGTGACATGTGACAATAGTCACGAGCGTATTACTAGCATGACATTTGACGTTTGCGATGCAACGTGATTGCAACGGCAGAGTCTGCCGATTGTACATCGCGTCGAATCGCCAAAGAGGCTCTCGCGAAAAGCGGATCATCGACAAGGGGTGGGAGAAGGGTCAGGTTTTCGGCTACGAAGAAGGAGGGAGGGTCGACGTTGAACGGCGAGATCTCCAATAAGTAGAAAGAGCATGTGATGACCGCGGGTAGACACCAAATAATTCGACGTGTACGTGGACGAAGTGAAAATGGCAAATTCGCAAAATGTAAAGTGCGCCGGTTTCAGTTATTAGATAAGTAATTGGCCAGTGGTACCACCGGTGGTGTACATTCAGAGCGTGCAGTGCTTCCGGTACGCTACCTCACATATTTCTGGTCATACAGTTAAAAACCGAGTCAAATATAAGATATATACATTAAACGTAGTTAATCTTGCAAAAGTGCTATCGAAGATGCATTGGGAATCGACGTTGTTCCTGTTATGTTTTTCGATAACATTATCATATTCGAATTTGTTCAGTGTCGAGAAGCTCAGGTCGTATGCGAAGATCCTGAAGTTCGATACGTTGAACATCAACGAAACGGGAAACGAGCTTTGGCACGGACTCTTCAAAGACTGTGACAAGAGAGTGACATTTTCCTGCATACAAAAGAATGCATATACATATCTTGACAATGCGTTCATCGAGAGAGATAATATCACCGTTTTCGATGGTCTGATACTTACGAGAAATAATGTCACTTATGATACGTGTCCTAAAACGGAAAATCCCAATGATGTTCGTGAAAATCTCGTAGATGATGTTGACACGGACGATTGCGAGAAGAAAACGGCCGAGGAAGCGAAAGAGCAAAGTCGAAAATTCAGAGATGAACTGAAATCACCATTTGAAGAAATCACGAACGCTTTACGACAAAAAACAGTGAAATTTTTATCGACACGAAATTACGAAATTCAACTTCCGCAGTTTTTTTTTGAAGGTGCAAAGATAAAGATAAGCCCGCGGGAGATAGACGAGAATGGAGCTCTTCTCAGAGTGGACTTCGGAAGTCAACAAGTTGCACAAGAAGAGGGACGAATCTTCTTTAAGAAAATCAGTAAGTATCTTTGACAATTAATATTATTATAAGTTATAATTGTTTTACAAGGACAGATATTGCAATTAAATTACAAAATTTATAATGTAACATTTCGTTGTATTTTAGGAAAGTTCATACAGAATAGATTGTTAACCAGCTTCTTGGCGCTTCTCTTAATTATCAAGCTAATTAAAGTGAAGTTCCTGTTCGTTATTCCGTTCCTTTTCGGCGTGGGCGCTGCGAAGAAACTTTTCCTCAAACTGGTACTGTTCTTCATTCCTGCGTTCGCGCACATTTTCAAGCTCTGCTCCAGCTACTACTCGACCCACGCCACCAAGTATCATCATCATCATCATCAAGTATGCGAGTGCTTCCTCTATTCCTCTCATCTCAATTTTTTTCAATACATATAATTAATTAAATAATTTATTTTATTTTTTAATTTAATTTATTAATTTATTAATTTTATAATTAATTTAATTTATATAATATTTTATCAACAATCTTTCTCTTTCGATAGATAGCGCATCATCATCATCACGTGCCGGTTCCGGTAGCTGTCCCATCTTATTACGACAATCATCACCGCGATGATTTCGACGGTTATGATTACACCCATCCTCATGTTCAATACCGGAAAGATATGGAAGAGTTAAAAGAATGGGGAATCGAACCTTACGACGAGCCTTACGAAGAGTCCAGTCAGCAATTAAACCGCGTGGTCCCAGCTCCAAACCCAGCTCCAGTTCCCGGTGTCGTGTATCCAGGTTCGTACGGATTATCGCAATATACATCAAACACAAAACTGATTGCATACATCATATCTAGATAATCCGATAGCAGCTGGCGCGCATAACTTGGCCTACTCCGGATATCTCAACGACGTTAAATACAATCGACGACCCGTGGCGCAGCCAACTGCTGTACTTTCGGTAAATCCCGTAAATCTCGTATCTGGTACGAAGACGTCAGTGAAGAATCCTTATACCGTATTCGCGCCAAATGTACGGCCGAGTCATCAGAGACTCTTGACACCGGTTGCAACTGCCAAGAGCTCGTCTATATCGATCTCGCGACAAGAAACGGACGATGAGTATTATGGGCCGATACTCGCACGTCTGGACGAGATCTTCGACCAATTGAGATTCTACGAAGAGACGTGCAGGGAGATGCTCGTTTGTAGCATGTACAAGAACCCGACGGGCTACTCGCCGCACAGTAACCTCGTGTCGAACGAACTTTCCAGGTAGTGCAACTTATCGATTAAATCGCCGCCGTATCACAAAGAGAAAGGTGGAGATCGCTCGCATGCTCCGAATCACGTTAATCGGGTCATGTTGGCTTTGACTCTCTCTCTCTCTCTCTTTTTCTTTTTATTATATTTTATTATATCGTTTCTTTAAGCCGTTTCTTGCCGCGATTGTAAATTCATGCGTTGTATGAGAGTTATCCAGTTTTGCATTGCGTTTTGCTTGGAATTCCACTAACAATAGACGTGAGTTATAAAGTGCTTTCATCGAGTCGATTATCCGCCTAATTAAAAAGTACTCCGTCGTATCCGGGACGTTTGTTGGATAACTAGCTTACGCATAATTGCAGCTTTTCAAAGATTAATTTTCTATTAATCATGTCCTTTAAATTGACGCGCTTATATTGAATTATTTTAATGAGCAAGAAAAATAATATAAATCAAACGCAGTTTAAAATATGTATGAATAATTAAGATTCATAATTATTACATTTTTCAAAAATATTATTGTCAAAAATATTATTGTTATGCTAATAATGAATTTAAAATAATTACATGCATTTTCAGAGATCCGCAGGAACTCAAGAGCAGCATAATAGAAAGCGTGTACAGTCAGAGATTTTATAGATACGTCAACGCAGCCAGGTACGGTCAAGATGGTGGAGATTGCCTCAGCGCATATCCTTGTGGTAATAATTCTGAATAGATATTATGCATATTAAACGTACAATTTATAATGACTTGTATTAAAATATGATAAACGTTATGCATTATATTTAGCAAATGCTAATAGACATATTTGCTCAATAAGCTGGAAGAATTTCATCAGATAGATCAATATCGTAATGTTGTGTAATATAATATCGGTATAAAAGAGAGGCCGATGATACTGCCATGTATTATTTATAATAATATAATTTGTAAGACGTGCGACAATTTATACCTAATTTTCCTATTAGAAAAAAACTTGAAGTGTTTTGCGAATAAAATTATTCGTCGCAGGAATTTTAACGATTAATTTAGTTGTAAGAAACTAAGCGAAATGTTGAATGTAATATTTATTGTAATTTATGATAATTTTTAAGATTAAATTTAATGAGGAGTTTAATGAGTGAATTTTGTGATGATGTGTCGAAATTTCTAAAGTTTATTGACACATTGTCAGCAAGATTACTCCAAGGGTATTATCACACATTATTAGATATGATTAAATAATAAAATTAATATGACATTAAATTTTGTGGCATTTTAGCGGTTAAATGTGCTTTATAATTTCTAAGTAAATTTTAACGTAACTTAAAATATTCAAAAAAAAGAATTTTATATTTTAAAAATAAGAAATTTTATAAAGGTTATTTTTTAAAAGCAGATATTTGATAAATAAAAAGAATATTTTTTGTACTATATAAGTAGAATATATAATATTGTGTGACGTATAAAATATTTTTATTGTTTATTTATAAAAAGAAATTTGTAAAATAATTATTATTTCATAGTGGCTTTATATTTTCTATAATTATTTATTTAATGGCGTAAAAAATGTTTATTTTAATATTTTGTAATAATTTAAAACTCTTATATTTCCTATATGAGAAAGATATGCATGTGATGCTATGTAAAAATTAGTTACATAATATAATTTTGTAGAAATTGTTGAATCTGTTAGAGATATAATTAATTAGAATTATTACATGTGATTAATCGTTTAAAAAGAGAACTGTCGTTACAATTAATTGACAGATTTTTACTGATAGCGTCCATGAAGAGAATGTTGTAGCTACATTTGTCATAGATCAGCCATAAAAACGAATTTTTTACTTTTAGAGCGATTTATTTTTTGACTAGAAGGACATTTCTATTTTCGTGAAAAGTACAGTTAGAACATTGGCTGTTAGTGTCATTTTGATACAAACGCGATATACGACAGTGTTGAGATGTAAATTTTCCTCAATAAAACCATGCAAATATTAGCCTTATTCTAGCAATTCTCGGATGCCTAAGATTTCGAACAGCTGATCAATTGACAGTGTCTTCTTCAGTTCGAAGAACATTAGATATTACTTTTCCGAACATGACTTTATGTCATCTAACATCTTGCATCTAATTCATCGATTCCGTTCTCTCTTGGTCATCAATTCTTCAACCAACTTGGAAATGTCTATTAATCTCACAACATTAGGCTTTAAAGCAGCGTAACCGGAAATAGTAGGAATAATAGCTAGTACTTCATATAAGTCGTTGACGTATAGATTGGGCGAAAAAATCATTAGATACATAAAGCAATAAAAAAAGATCGATGGAATGAATCATTATCTCTAAAATATTATAATTTTACATCAACAGTTTTTAAACATTTGTAGAATGCTTTTAATCTGTAGAATTGCGCCTTTAAAAAAAGCTATCACATTTTAGTCACATGTTAGAAATTTAGAAATAAAATAGATAAAATAGAAAATTAAAATAAAAAATATTTGTTTTGGTTTTCAATATTTATCAAAAAATGTTTAATTATATTTAAATTTTAACTATATTAAACTTTTGTAATTTGAAATTGAATGTTCTTCACAAAATAAAATATTATAAAATATAGTTTATTTACAATTAATTCAAAAGAAATTATTATAAAATGTTTATATAAGTAATATTTACAGATATATTTTAATTATCTATTTGATAAATTGGAGTCAAAATTGCTTGATTTTATAAAAGATCTTTTGATTTACCAGTTGAGTTATCTGAATGTTTCTACCATCCTTATCTAGAAATACTAAAATAGTCGCAAAAACTCAGCAACTCGCATTGCTTATGCAAAAAACCATAAGTTTTATGTCTAATTATCTCGATTGTGATATTATGTAGCTACTATGATGCTCGCTTATTAGTGTTGCCGAACGTAATTTATGCGCGGGAAGTTGAGCCAACTATAATTATAAGACGACTTTGTTCTTTCTTATGTCCTTGTGATTTGAGATTCTTCTATACTATTCTATACTATTTCTTCTATACTATTTTTAAATCTATTGTTTGATTTCCTGACTCTTCATACAACAGAATCTTTATTGCAACCAACTAAGTTTAAACACAATCATGTTGATTTTGTTAAATTTAAAAATGATTTATAGTTATTAAATATGCGCTTTTGTAATTACTTCGCTCTGTAGTTATTTCGAAATAATAATCATATTGAAATACAATCCTTTAAGAATATAATATAAAAAATATGTACAAATTAGACATTCTATATATCAAATAAAAGCTAAAATTCTATCTTTAATTATGTAAATCCTTTAGTATGAAAAGGCACGTTCAGGATCTAATTATATTATCGAAAATATAATTTAATGTTGTAATAATAAGTTAAAATAAAGAAAATTATGTACGAAACACAATTACATTTATTTTAAAAAAAGATACTTTTATTTTTTTTCTGATTAGATTAAACACAAGATACTTGAACTTTAAAAATTTTACGAAATTCTTACAAATCAGTATCAATTCAAATATATGTATACAATCACACATATATAATAATGAAAAATGTTACTTTAAAGATCTTTTATTTCGCTGAAAAATGTTTATGACGGTAAAATTAATAGAAAATCTATAAGAAAACAAGTTAATAATAATTATATATAATAATAATAAATTATATATAAAATTAATAATAATTAAAAATAATTAATTAAAAAATTAATAATTAACATTTTTAATATAGGTATATCAATATTTGTATTAATATAATTTTATATATAAATACATAATGTGTGTGTAAAAAAGTTTGGTAAATTTATTAAAGGTAAAAAGGTAAATTTCATTTTTTTATTTCAATTTTTCATAAATATTATGTTGCGGAAATATATAAGAAGATCGCGAATTTATCGAAACTATCATGAATTTACCGACATTTATTGAATATAATTTGCATCAATATATTTATCTGAGTATCCACTCACTGAGTGGACATATTCTAAAAATGGAAGTATAATAATATATGATATGGATGTCGAAATCGAAATCATTTCAGAGGAACGAGAGGGCGCTTATAGTTTGTGAAACCATCGACATCCTAGATAATAAGGCTTTCTTCTTTTCTTTCGGCCAGCCAGCAACACGTCTCTAATCAAAATTCGTCGAACGTACGCGAATGCCATCGCCTATAAAACCCCGTTGAGTTCGTTCGTACTGGCATTCGGTGTTTAGTCTTTAACCAATCGGTGATACTGCCATGAGGCTCTTAACCACTTTTGTGTCAATAGCTCTACTGGCCACCTTCACTGGTGCGCAACAATCAGAGACAACTGTCAATGTCTTACAAAAAATTTATCACAGGTATGTTATAACTATAATATAATTTAATATATCCTAATATTTATTATTTTAATCATTAAAAATTAATTTGCATCATACAAAGTCATAATTTACAAATTGTTTGAATCAGAACAGATTATTTAAATGTTTTGTTTCATATATATAAATTTAAAAAAAAATGTTACAGATGCGCAGATAGCCAATCCATGTTATCTTGTGTCAAACCGAAGGTGCTGGCTTACCTCACCGATGCTGTGAAACAAGACAGATTGGCAATTACGGAGGATTTAGCGCTAGTTAAATCCCGTGACGCGACGTCAGATAGTGCGGAAGATCTCTCGCAGTATGATGCCACAGATCCATCCAAGAGAAAACTCCTGCGAACATTGATGCTCGAGAAATTGGATGCTTATCTGTCGAGCCATCAGCTTGAAGTTAAACTACCAGAAGCAATAGCAGAATCAAATATTGTTCCTAGATCTTTAGTTGATAGCGTGCCAAGGAGTCTTACAGTCCCTCTTAGTGATTCTTCTAATGGACAAGGTAAACTAACAATAAATAATAGACACATAATACACATATTTTTATCTATAATTCTCATTAATATATAAGAGAAAAATACAGAGAAAAATAATCGTAAGAATATGTTTAGAACACAATATTTCTTGAGAAACATATTGATTTTAATATATATTTACAGGTCGTGGTTTCGTTAAGAAGGTGATGATACCATTCATACTTGGTCTCAAATTCAAAGCTACTGCTTTAGTACCCCTTGCTCTTGCTCTGATCGCCTTAAAGACGTGGAAAGCGCTAACTCTGGGTCTCCTATCGTTGGTCCTCAGTGGAGCGATGTTGATCTTCAAATTGACTAAACCGAAAGTCGCTTACGAACTTGTTCATTACGGACATCCACCTATCGAACATCCACCTCACTGGGATACCGCACCTCACGGACCTTACAGAGCCTATAGAAAATAAAATGACATAGAAAATTGATCATCATTTTCATAAACTTATTTAATATTTATTGATTACATCTAGTATGTATATTTCATCTGCGTTACTTACATGTAATAAAAGTTCTCATATTATTCTCAATCAATCAATTCTTATTGATTATTTTTATATCTCAATTTTCTTTAATTTAATGTAACTTATGTTATTTTCCTTTAAAATGTATCTGCAAGAATATTATTGCTTTAATATTCATAAGTTTAATAACAGAAAAGAATGAATTCTTTAAAAGATAGATAAAAGTATTAAAAATATTATATAAAAATATATTAAAATAGAAGAAGTGATATGTTTGTCAATACTTTGCCTTATATTTTCGCATAATATGCAATGCGAATTTAAACAACTATACATGAATCAATTATCACTAACTCGAGATAACAAGTTAACATTTTGACAAAGATTACATATAATACATAAAAATATATGTGCGCGATTATGTATAAATACAAATATAAATAGTAAAAAGTAAAAAAATAAAATAAAAGATTATATATAAAGATTTCTATGATATAAAAATGTTAAAACTCATTTCTGCTAAAAGTTCTATTAGGTAGCTATTAGCTATTATGCTTATATAATCTGTGTCTACTATTAAATATTTTTTCTCATAAATATTTACTATATCTTTAAAAAGAAAATACAAAAATAATAAAGTGTTTGCGCGTTTTCACCTTAACAAGCTTTTGTTATCACATATAAATTTAGTTTGTCAACAATAAACAAATTAAAAACACAATTAAGATATTGATCGATATTTTATTAACTATACGGCCTGAATGTTTATGCAAACTTGACCCAAAATTCCAATTGCCATTTTATTGCTACCACAGAAAAGAAGTCGGGCAAGACAAAAGTGTCTCTGATGGTACTCGATATGCATTTTCGTGCGAGAAACTTGCACGCAACTCGCATCACTGATGTACCGTCGTGCTATTTTCCTTAAGCTCAATCAGGAGCTACAATTTAATAAGGTCTAACAGGGTGAAATTGGTAGAGACGATAATGACATCAAGAAAGACAGAGAGAACATAAAAAGATAGAACGAAACATTGTATAGAAAGTCATGATTGTGGTATGAATGAATGATCGATTCAATGTCAATGTTACGACTTCGATGTCAAAAATAAAGGAGTTTTATTACGTATGTATATGTGATTCCCAATTACTTGTCTTAATTAGAAGAATAAAATGAAATAGATAGCTCTTTAATTTTCTGTCTAATTATTTTTTTGAAGTCCTATAATTGTCGATATATTTAGTTCTATCATTTGTTGTTACGTTATAAATTGATTGTATAAGACAACGAATTAATTTTTAATTATCATTTATCAATTCAAAAAATAGACAATAATTAATTAATATTTATGAAATTTTTTATATTTATGAAAATTTATTAAGAATTTTATAAAAATAATTTATTTTTATAAGTAAAATTTTAATTTCATACAATTGTTTGATACTTCATAAAATTCCACGAAATCTTTAACACAGATTAGTTTCTTCTTTCTTTAATATTTATAATAACTTTTTACTTCTGTTCGCTTTCCTGTCACGACAAACTAAGTTCAATTAAAAATCCGGTTGCATTCATTATCAAAAATTTAATTTCAGGCCATGTGTCAAAAAATATTCCACGAACGTTTATCGCCACAAGTAGGTCTTCTGATAGCGTCGATAGAAAGCAAACTGCTACTCATTAATATTATAAATTCCATTGCGTTTCATGATCGAAAAGTATGACCTATTGGCATATTGACGGGACCGCTACCCCGATTTGATATCGCGTGTAACGTGTCGCGCGATCTCACGCTCGCAGTCTATCCTCCCTCATCAGGTAGTCGCGGCATGATCCACGGCGAGGCCTCAATAATCGAAGACCATACTGAACGAAAAGAAAATCCACACCCGGACGGAAGTGGGGGAGTGTTCGAGAGCGCCGCTACGCGACTCTTCGACGTGCATTGTACGATTCGACGAGATAGGCCTTCGTATAAATACCGAACTGCCCAACCCATTGGCATCAGTCGTCGTGTTGCGATCATTCCAATTCATTATCCACGAATCGGGTGTACAACGTGAACCTTCCTCACGAATCTTCAAACGGATATAATTGACTGCCAGCGCCATGAGAATCTTCATTTTGTGCGCCCTATTCGCGTTGGCCGTCGCGCAACCAACCAAGAATGAGAACTGGAAGAGTGCAATGGACGAGATGGTCGATCGATCCAGATCCGAATGCTCGCAAAAGAGCGACGAAATTGCTTGCATGAAATTCAAGGTGTTCAATTTGCTCGACCAAGTCTTCAGCAAGGATAACTTCAAGGTAGGTATATCAGTGATGCTAGTCCTTTTTTAAAGTAATTCACGCAGCTTTCATATTTTTATTCTAGTATTATCGTTTTATATTTTGTTTATCGAAAATTTTGTAAATTTATTTGCTCTCAAGCCATATATTATTTGATCATTTTTAATGAAATATTGTGCTTTGATAAATTCGCCGAAGTTCATTCTCTTGATTTATTCAGGTGTCCGAAACAATGGAAATTACACGCAACTCGCATCCTATCGAAGAAGTATCCGCTCGTAGCGAAAGCTCCTTCCTTGACACTGTAGAATCCTACTTGGCCTCTCACGATGTGACCTTCAAATTGCCGCTAGACTCCACCGTGAAGGTGAGCTCGCGCAATATCGAGGACGATAAACTCACCTTTGACGTTAAGTTCGGTCAAGGCCGCGCCGTCGATGAGGCCCGTAGGTCCAAGCTGAAGAAGGTCATCATCCCTATTCTGGTGTTTGTTCTCCTGAAAGCGATAACTTTGATCCCCTTGGCCATCGGTGTACTTGGCCTGAAGGCCTGGAATGCCTTGCAGCTCGCCTTCTTCAGCTTTATCGTGTCCGTCGGTATGGCCATTTTCCAACTCTGCAAAAAGATCGCCGCTGATTCTCATCCTGCGCCCATCGCTCATGGACCTTGGGAGTATCAAGCTCAGTACAGATCTTTCCAAAATCAGGATCAGATCTCTTCGCAGTTGGCGCACAATCTTGCATATTCCGCCCATGTACAATCGTAATGTTACTATCGGCCTAATGACGCTTTTGTAAAATATTTAGTTTCCTATTTTTACTGTCTATTTAATAAATTATTATTGCAAATCATTTTATATTATGTCTATTTGAAAACCTGCATTCCCAACACTATTTCGATACTGATGCTTAATAATAAAATTTACTCTGAGAAAAAGACAAAATTAGATCGTCAATCTAATTAATACATTATTATTGCAAGTCATTTTGTACTATAATATATTTATTTGAAAACCTGCATTCCCAATACTATTTCAACTGACGTTTAATAAAATTTACTCGAGGAAAAAGACAAAATTAGATCTATTTAATAAATTATTATTACGAGTTATTTTGTACCGTACTCATTTGAAAACCTGCCATTTATCATACAATGTTAAAATTTATTTGGAAGAAATAGGACATTAAAAACTAAATATATAAGAAATTCTATATTTTCTATGTAACAAATTTTATGTAAAAAATACAATGATAATATTTGCGGTAACTTTTTACAATCTTTAATAATTTAAGTAAAATTAGAGAGAAAATTTATAAAAAAAATGTATTCTGTTAAATTTGTAAATTTTCTTTATTATTAAAACATGAATTTCTCTCACAATTTTGAAAAAAAATGTTGCATAAAACGTTACATATAAATTATAGCTCTATATAATAATCTCTTTAATTTGATTTTATTTCCTTTTGTATGTATATGTATGTTTTATTGCTTCATTTTTATTCATAAAAATAAAAAGTTAAATAAATATTTTATATTTTTGTATAAATACATATATATTTACATTATATTGCAATTGATTTGATAATATAAGAGAGAGAGAGAGGGGGGGGGGGAGAGAGGGAAAGAGAGAGAAAGATCTTTCAATTTTATATAGAGATTCATATAGAGATTATCCAAAATTTGTGTAACAAATCCTATTTCTTTCATTTATATGATATCATCTTATTGTTAGATTAGCGTTTCTTTTTAAGGCTACAAGAATGCTTTTTGCAATCCAAATCAGAGACATTTATAAGATACTTATAAGAGACCTACATACACGCATGTGATCACTTTCGTCTTTTACGAAAGTTAATTGGAAGTCACTACTTTGAAAGTCATTTCACTGTTTTAACATATTATGTGACTTGCAATTTCCATAGGAAAAAGAAAATGTTATTTTAATTTATACATCAAACCGTGTCTAAAGGTTAATAAATTACAAATATAAAATAAAACGTGTTAAAATTAAAAATTTTTTTAAAGCTAAATTTAATAACTTTTAATAATTAAAATAAATTAATTTATAAAAATTTTTATAAAAGTTATTAAATTATTTAGGCTCTAAAAAATATTGTGACAAAATAATAAGTGCATTTTAAAGAGAGAAAATAAGATAATATAATAAATTAAAGTAAATAAAAAAATTGACAAGTGAATGAAAGCTCAATTTTATATTTATATTTGCAATCATTTAATTATAGATAATAAAGACTTTATATGATAAGAATGTGATGATTGTTACTTTCTACATTTGTCTCAACACTATTTGCTATTTAAATTACACTATTTAAATTACAAAATCTAAACTCCTATTTAGCAAATAACATCTCACTTATTATTATTTTAGAAATATTATAAAATAAAGGTCCGGAAATTTTATTAAAAAGAGCAATTACTACGTAAGCAATACAAAAATAAATAAAATATTATAATTTTGCATATATTTATGAATTATGGTATTTAAATCAAATTTATCTTATATTTTATACAAAATAAAATAAAAATAGTGCATAAACTTATACCCAACATTTTCATGTAAGAAACCATTGTTCCTTTATAATAAAATTTACACATATCTCGCTTTTTTCGTTGTGATTTAGGAAATTATATGACAAGTGTACAACACCAAAATTACAACGCATAAATCACTGTAATCATTAGAAAACAATATAATAATATAACATGATATAGAAGCATTGCATGTGCATTTCTTTAAAATTTCATTATACAATACTTGCGGTTTTCAAGAGTACTACAGGGATGACAGTTACTCATTCTGTTCTCGTAATCATAGAAGGCATACGGGCCGCTAAACGGCAGTTTACAACGAGGCAGATAAGAACACAAGCGAAAAGAGATGCCAGACGCAAGTTCCGTTTCCTGTATGCGTCGCATGCCATCGTGTACGACGTACGCGTCGCGCAACAATCGACACGTACATATACGCGTATTTGCCCGAGTGAATGGAAAAGAGACTCGCGGGGGTTCGACGAAGAGGGTGGTGGTACGACGCTCTATGCCAGTGAAATTTGAATAATTTCCCTTCGATCGTCGATTCCCGGCATGCGTGACCGAATAACATAGTTTCAAGGGGAACAAATTAAATAAAAGGGGCAGGCCACTCCTCCGTCAGTCGCAGTTCGATCATCGGTCGCTCGCACGGGTGGACGATCGATTGTTTTTTTATTGACACGCGATATCGCGCGGTGAGTGGAAAAAAAAACGATTCGAAAAATTTTCCGCAAGATATCGAAGAAAGGAAAAGGATCCCGATATGCGATTGATAGCATCGATAAGCACGATCGTTCTGTTGATCGGATCTTGCGCGGCCAATCAAGATTTTTTAACGAACTCCTTAAATGAGTGCATAAAGGCGGAATCATGGATATCCTGTTTGAAGCATCAAGTTTTGAGTTACCTCGATGGGAAGTTGGGAACTACCACAGAAGCGAGGTCGCTCGAAACCGTCGACGAGGCGATTGTTGCCAGAACTATCAAGTATATGAAGAGTTTCGATTATGGGGTTGATTTGCCGTTTGTCGATGCTAGTTTAAAATATAAGCCTAGCAGAAGTTTGATCGATCTTGACGTCGAGTTTAAGAATAATGACGTAGCCACCAGTCAAGCTCGAGGACTTTTGAAGAAAAAGCTTTTACTACCGTTCTTGCTGTTGCTGAAATTGAAGTTAAAAGCTCTAATGCCCATCTTTGTCGCCATTATTGGATTAAAGGCATTAAAAGCTCTTGTCCTGTCGAAGCTCGCTATTCTCATCGTGATCGGATTTGTCGCTTTGCAGTTCTTCAAGAAAAGTGGCATGATGATGCCGGCAGGTATGTATTTATACGAACATCCCTAATGCTTTATATTGAAAATTGTGTAATATTTTATATTTATTGTATGTGTTGTATGAGTAGGCGTACAACTATTTCACGTTGCAATCTTTGCAATAATTACTTTCTCTATTTAATTTCATAAAAATTGTTTCATTTTTTTCGTAAAAATATTGAATAATTTTTAAACAATTCCAATATTTAATATGTTGAAGAAAAGTTATTTAAATGTTTCCGTTCAATTTTTAAGACAAATAATATCTTTTAATAGTTGCATGCAAAAAATATCTTTTAATAGTTGCATGCAAATAATATCTTTTAATAGTTGCATGCAAAAAATTTTACATATGTATTTCAATCAATATACAATAAAGTAAAATTTTTTGATCGTAGGAATGTCTATGGAACCGGCATCAATATATGGTGCTTCACCTATGTCCTCGACGACATCGAGCTACGACCCCGCCAATACGTGGGACGGCAACGGTCCGTATTCCCGCGTTTGGACGCCAACAAATAGTGTGGAAGCCCAAAATCTTGCTTACAGTTATTATTCACCTGGCAGCAGCTCGAGCTCGTACAGTTCGGCAGGCGCCCCTTCATCGTCCTCGTCCTCAAGCAGTTCAACGAATTATAACTAAAGTCGCTCTAATACCTGATTTCGATGACGCATCGACCGCCCGATGTTGCCCTCGAATGGATTCTCTATCACATGCCGGCAAATAAGACACGACCAAAGAAACGCCAAATAATTGTAAAGTAGATTGCGATCGATACTGACAAGTCATATTTTGTTATTGAGAGTTCTGTATTTAAAGACTATAGACTCCGCGTCGACTATAATTGTTTCATCGATTTAATAAAATCTTCAACACAATTGGATTAATTTATCGAGAAATAATTGCACCAAGTAAATTTTCTATAAAAAAATTTAAGAATAAAAAGTATTTACCCCCTGACCAATATTTATAACACGCGAAATTTGGCGAAAAAAATTCATTAAAATGGTTTAAAGAATTATCACACAATCGCTGTTTCTCTTTGAGCGTATCACGTATGCGCTGAGAGATAATTAGTAATTATCATTGTATGCATAGGAATGTACAGGAAAGATATTCGCGATGATTATGATAATTATGATAATTATGATAATCGTCAATATTATCGCCGGATATATTTGCGGATATAACGTGAAATTATCATTTCTTCAGTAAACTTTTTTTATTTTCTGTGTGACAAGATTATTTATTATTATTGTATTTGTTAATAAAATAATTTCTTGTAAAAGAAATTAAAATTTTGTATATATTTATATATATATTTTTAATTTTAATATTTCTGTTAAATTTTTCTTTAACGTCCTCAAATATTAAACAAGTAATAAATAATAAATAAATAATATAAGAGATTAACCATAAATATTTAAAAAAAATTTCTCTTAAAAAAATTATTGTTCTTGTTACTTAATTAACAATATTTTTTTAATTTTTTTTATTTTTTTAATTTTTTTAATTAAGCTCAACACAAAGTTAACATTAAATTGTTGTAAGATATTTATCGTGCCATATGTAAAATCTACTATCTACTATTGAATAATATAACTCGAAATTTAGAACATTTGAAGCAATCAAAAATGTAAACTTTGCTAAGAAATCCTCTAATAAGCAAATAATTACATACATGTCTAAAACAAATAAAATTATAATAAAATATATTGTAATAAATTGTAATAAAATGTATTGTAATAAAATACAAAGTTTAGTTTAAATAATTAACAAAGAAAATAATTTCAAAAATCATCGAAATTCAAAAATGTTTGCCAGTGTTAAAAGCAAAAAGTTATAAGTGCTAAAAGCAAAAAGTTGAAATTGTCCAAAATAAATTAGAATATTACATATGTATTGTATTATATTAATATTATATATGTATTATATATGTATTATATTAAAGTATATCGCTATTATACACTGCATTCTTGACTTTTATACGCAATTCGATTCAACTCGTTGCAATTCTTCGGAGTATTGATAATTTATGAGCAGAGACATCACGCGAATCACGCGACGCTCAGTTAACTCGCTGACTCGAAAAAACGTGGGTCTATTCTAACCGATTATCAACAGGTGAAAATGAGTGGAAAAAAAGAAGGAATAAAAAAAGATGATCTTTAGAATTCTTTTAAGAACAGGGCGATATTCAAAAATAGATAGATAAAGGGCATATGTGCATGATATTTATTTCTTTTTAAACACGATTCTATCTACAGTGGCAACGAACTCCACGACGCTCAATCATATGATTTGTCGTAGCGTCGTGCGACCACGTGGCTCACGTGATTGACAATGAACTGCGCGTACGTGCTACGACTTATTCCACTCCCCGCGTTCGCGCTACTCATTCATAAAGCACGCGATTTAATAATAGTTTTATATAATTTCACGAGCGATAATAACTCCGCAGAAAATTGATGTAGCAGCGCATGACAAAAACAGATAAAAATTTGCAATCGCGAATCTTCTTATGCGTCTAGATACGATTGAAAATTTCTCGTCTCTCAAGAGAAAGAGATGTACATACAAACATGATTAAATAATTTTATATACATAATTTGTATAATATTTTAAATTTATTATAATACATATCAATAAGCAGTTATTTCAAAACAGTTTTTTATAAAACTGAAATTACTGCTTATAAACAGTAATTTCTCTTTTATACGCAAGAACTTTATATACATTATAGCGATCAATCAATTCTGTATCAAATTGATTAATAGCAAATTTTATAAGTAAATTAATCCTGTTTATACAAATAAAACATATACGTATATCTTAAAGAAATTTTCTCTTCTTTGTTCAATTATTTTTTTAAACTTTTTACATAATAATTAAAAAATTAAATCAAATTTTATATTTAATACTTAATTAATATTTAGAAAAGAGAGAAAAAATTTACACAAAAATATCAATATTTTACCTCTCTCTTTTTTAATGAAGTGTTAAACAAAATATGATTTCATTTTTCACAAAAACAAAATGTTACAAAATGTTAAGTAAATAATATTAAATAGAAACGAAAGTTTAAATTATCGAGCAGCTTCACTATTTATAGTTAATCTAATAAATGTAATTTCACAGAAACGAACATTTTAAAATTCGAATTTTATATATAGGAATGCAATTTTCATACATTTGTGATAAGAAGACATTAAGAATACTATATACATATCTCTCTTATTTAAAAATAAATATATAATAATAATATTTAAATACTCATTTTCCAAAAAGTACACTCCTCTCTTACAAAACTTTCGATATTAATAGCTATAGAAATTAAATAAATAAATTTACACACACACACACACACACACACACGGAGGCACAAATAATTATTTTATATGTATATATATATATATATATATATTTTATATATGTATATATATATGTATATATATATATATATATATATATATATCCTTTAATATTGCTTATTACTATATAGCACTCATGCTTGATTAATTTTTATTAATCAAGCATTACTCATAAGAATACATCGATCGATATAAAATAGCCAAATATATTAGTTTACTTACTTGCTAATATCTGATATGTCAATATGCCGTAGTTATTTGATAACACATAAAACACCTTGTTTAACGTACGAAGATTGATAAAAGAATAATAATGTATCTTTCTGCGCGCATCGGTCTTTGCTCTTTTTTCCTTTCGACTCTCAATATTTCTTGTGATAGTGGGGCGCATCCCCACTACTGCTCAAATCTGTTTCACCACAAGGTAGAAAGGAGAGGGGACAAAGGACAAAGATGCGCAGAGGTTATTATTCTTCTGTCGTTCGTACGTTAAGCAAGATGTATTATACGCTTATAAGTTCTTCTAGCTTGATAGCCTTCGATAGTGATTCTATCCAATTTCTCGTAAAACTAGTTTTTCTTACAGTTATATGGCACTTCGTATGATACTCTCGACATGTTTATCATATATATTTTATTTTATATTATACCGGAAGTTAACACGCAAATGACGATCGCACATAGCTCAATCGCGAAATTGATAAATCGCGCAAGTTGACAATCGTACATAGTTCAATCGCGAAATTGATAAATCGCGCAAGTTGATAATCACTAATTTTAATAAATACATAAAAAAATCGCGTTAAAATAAAAAATATCCTGTTAATAAATTTTTAATTAATTATTCATTAATTATTGATGTATAACTTTTCGTTTACTTGAATTATTCGATTCTGCGATTTATTTATTATCGAATTAATATAAAAATTAATATGAAAATTATCTAAAAAGACATTTAATAGTTGAAAGAAAATGCGATACAATTATATTCGTATACAAGAGTCGTAAAAGAAAGTAATAATCATTCGTAAAAATTCATAATTCCTTGCTTCGATTTTTATTTTAAATATATAAATACGTAGCGCAAAATAATTGGTTCGATAAATAGTTTGTGTTCTTTTAATATATTTACTTACTTATTTATTGTTAAAATTTTAATTAATAATACAAGATAAATTCTAATCTTTCGTAAAGAATAATCGCGGCATAATCTTAGGCATCAATATAACATTTAATGGCATCTGTTTATATTCGCGTTAATGTTTACATTTGGTAGCCTTGTTCGCGTAGTATTCTTTCTACGACTATTATTCTTCGAGACGCACGATAATACATATTATAAATATAATTTTATAATATTATAAGTATGATATATATCAAAGAGTTTATGAATAATTAATTTAAAATTTAATGAACAGAATATTTTTGTATGTAGCAGTTTTATATATATTTTATATGACAAGTATGTTAAAAATATTTCGTTATTAAAATAGATATATCGTTAATAGAATCTAATTGTCATGCAGTATTTGGTATTTGTTTTTTTTACAATATGACAAGAAAGATTATGCCACAAATTCTTTCATATATTGTTGTATTATCTTGTCATAACTATTAAAAAGAACCAAAGCAATCCACATAATTTTACAATTTGCGATAATTCCGCGCGCGGTTAAATAATTCTCGTTATTATTGCGCTTTAAATAACCATTAATTAGATTTATATAATGTCCTTCGGTATCGGGATAAAGTTGCTGACATTTTTTTTGGATTATTAACAAAAATAAAAAAATTAATGCAAGTAAAAAACGGATGAGATTTAAGCTAAACTGCATTTTGCATTTAATAATAAATATAGTCGTATTTAATCGCTTACTTTAATATTTGTCAAAATCAAATCCGGTGTTTGTAAGACATCAACAATTTATTAAAATATATTTTGCGTGATCGGAGAGTATCGTGCGAAGTATTACACAATTGTCATATTTTAATAGTGCGAGTGCAATTATAATTGAATGATTAATTGTTTTCGCGAGTGTTCTTTGAGTGCTATGAAGAATCTACAAAAAGGAAAGAGGACAACGTTCGATAAGATGTCGGCTACGGAAAAATTGCTTAGGTAATTTATATAAACATTTTAATTTATCATTTGTTATTTATATAAAATTAAATGTTTTTATGGGTGTATGTATTGATTAATTGTCTTTATATTTATGTATTAGTGATTTATTTTATATTATCTTGTAATATATATAATGTATAGAGAATCTAGATTATAGAGAATCTAGAATTTATTTTAAAATACACTCAAAAATATTTAATAAATATTAATAACAAAACAGTTACACACACACACACACACACACACACACACACACACACACACATATATATATATATATATATATATATATATATATATATAATTAGTTATTAATTTCTAATTAAACGAAAATATTAGATATTTTAATAAAAAAAGCACATATTGATAAATATCGGTTTAAAAAAATATTTAAAACTGTAAGTTCTACAGTTGATAGCATTGTTGTACTATCATGGACAACTGAAGAGAGCAGTATGAGATGGCGCTTAACATGTAAGAAATCACAGGTGATCCATGGATCACGCTTCTTTATCGATCGTTACTTAACTTATTTCTGTTATAAGTTATTTAACATATCTTATAACAAAACAACTTTAAAATTTAAATTATATAAACATATATATACATATACATATAATATAATTATATATATATTATACATTATATACATTACTGTTATATTATGAATTAAATTATATGTATATATATATATATATATATATATATACATATTAATTATTAATTATTTATTAATTTTT